TTCAAATAGATTAATGTATGAAGGCTTTTGTTTTTAAAAAAAATAATCAATTTATCAAATAGATCGCGTTTTTGTAAATCATATGGTTAAACTAGCCATTTGAATAGATGCTATCAACAAATAAATAAAACAATCTTCGTACGATTTGATCGAACAAAAGCGCAATTTGTTTTTTGTCTCTCACACCTCTCTCTCTCTCTCATTCATTTTCTATTTTATTATTTATTCATTAGATCAAATAGGTATCTAATTTTTTTCAAATAAAAATCTTGCCTTTTTATTTTTAAGTCAAAAAGTACGCTTTGAAAATCAAATTAGGTGAATCGAATTGTGAATCGTGTTTGTGCACGAGGCGAGGGTTGAGCATTGTCACAGTACAAACACCAATTACACACTCTCGAAGAAGAAAAAGAAGAAGCAACTCCTCTATGGGATGAGTCTCAGGACACCGACCAAGGGAATTGGAGGGGAGAGCTCGCCGGGGTTTTTGGTTACAAGAGCGCTCGAGGCGGCGATCGAAAGGGAAAGGAATCTCTGTGCTCGAGGACCCGGCAACAAGCAAAAGAAACACCCACTGACGCCATTGAATCCCTCCTTGGCCATACGAAACCACAGACACCCCTTTTCTATCCCTAACGACTGATGGGCTCACATTCTCCCTATTCACCTTCAGAAGCTTGCACTTTTTTTTTGTTGGTCTTATTTTTACTCGTATAAATCTTTATGAAAATAAACTACAACCTCTAGAATCTAATTCTCCGTAAGCGTATTGGATTTGAATTTTCTTTTTCTTTCTCCACCTGATCATTTGATAGGTAACATCTCTAAAAGATGATTCGCTGTCGAAAGATACAAGGCGGTGATCTCAGATATCAGAGAAAAGAGATCGGTGAAATCACGACATCTTGCGACAAACAGACGGAGGATCCCTTTCTCGTATTGTGAGGAGATAGAAGGACTTTCCCTCTCGATGATCCCCATTCGGCGGATCGTCCCCGGGCACAAGCCCCACACTCGCCGATATCGAGATTTAGGCAAACATTATAGACCTCACATAGTCTATCAAAGATGCAGGGTAGAGGCGCACCGAAATTCATCCTCTCTTCTTTATTATCTCTTTCCCTTTAGGCTGAACACAATTTTCCCGTGACTTGCTGCGAGCTGTACATAGCTTTATGGAATAGTTTCATCGAATTTGTTTTGTACTTGTTGGATTACTTGTCGTGTATGTATCTTTGCTATACTTATCTCAAAGAATTTTACTTTTTTTTACGAGAGGAATCTTATTGCTTGCAAAGAATTGATTGAAAAGCGAGTTCTTGAATTGCATGCACTGTCGGGAGGGAAGGGAAAGGCTGGAACAAATCCGCGGGGCAAACTCGCTGGTACACTCAAAAGGCCGGCCAGGCGCCGGGAATAACATGTGCTCAGGTCTTCATTCTTTCTCAATCTTTCTCAGTCTTTCTCTCATCAACTAGTTTTTTATAAACAAATTCTTACTGTATGTTTGAGCCAGTTCTATTGTACTCTTTCACAAGTATCTTTCTTCGTTTAAAGCCCACAGATATGCCACAGATATTTGCGTAAAAATTGCTGAAATGATGGATTCCTTGGGTGGAAAGGTTTATGTTTTGTGGTGAGGGACGTTGAGGAGGTTGCTGGGGGGAAGATCGGTGAAGAGGGCCGCCTCACCGCATAATTCATGATGAGGCTCCTTTGTGTGGACCCCGTCCAACACCTTGTCTCCCCTTCCCTTCTTCTATGAGCTTCTACGGACATCTTCTCAACATTCTGTACCCACTTTACTTTCACCACTTTCACTCCTTGGAAACCATCGACCGCCAAAGCTTTGTAGCTGGTTCATTTTAAATGAGATTCTTAAACTTTGATTTCGATATCTTTTTTAAACTCATTATTATCATCGTCATTATCATTGTCATTGTCATCGTCTAATCATCAAAGTTTTATTGAAGAAAATTGTCTTTATGCAATGCTTAAAGTTTCCTTTTCCATTTTCGTATCCATAAGATTTGTATATCATCAGATTTTTCGCATTCTGTCAATCTATTATTCATAAATAAGAGTTGAGATAAAACAAGTCAGAAAAGTAGGAAAGAATTTTGTCGCGTCGCGGGTTGGCGATGGCGGTCGTATGGCAAATATTTGCGCAGGTCAGCCGTCGGTGGTAGAGGACGCCGACCGCCCCACCAGCCCCTGAAGAGAGTCCCGGACAGGGAGGGGAGAGGGAAGGGAGCAGTGGGGAAGAGCGAGTTGGGGAAGGGTTGCGGAACGCGAGGAGCACAGCTACCGCCACCGCCACGAGCGGAAACAGACCAGTCTCGCCCTTTACTCCATCCCCCTTATTCCTTTTACCCTCATCTGTTGCCCAATTCTCTTTCCATCAACCATCACTAAGACTTTCCTCATGATCTCTCACTCTTTCATTTCTTGCAAGACTCTCGATTCTTTACTCTTTTTTTTTGCTAAGCTTGTGACCCAGATTCTTTTTTCTTTTGGATACTGTTTATTCTCTTGGAAAAGGGCCAATTCAAGCTCTTATCTCATTTTCTTTTGATCCTTTTAACTTAAAAGCCGCTTTGTTGTTTGACAGGATATCTCTAGATCAGTGAAAAGTTTCTAAGCTATGAATTACAGCTAAAACTCAGCTTTTAACCTCAGCCATAGATTTGATTGATACCTTTCTTAAAAATAGAAACTTCAATGTTTCCATCTTCCTCAGACATCTAGAGGTATCTAGCTTCAATGAGCTTCAATGAGCTAGAGGTATCTAGCTTCAATGAGCAATTCAGAACACGATATTTCTTGTTCTTATGTTATAGAATGATGCCTTTATCGAATCTAGTTTTTATGTGTATTTCTGATAGAGGAAAGTGTATTTGTTGATGCGTGCCGAGTCTGAATGAATCGATGAGGCGCTGTGTGGTGATGGGAACTCCGTTGTGGCAATGTTTGTCTAACGTGGGTGGGCACAATTTCTGCCGCCGCGGAAACGTGAAACCTTCCCTTCTTCTTCTTCTCAGCCTTGCCTCTATCCTCGGGATCGGATCCGGCTGTCTCCAAGCCTCGATCTTTACATTCTCCTACTCTTTTCGTTTATTATTCCGAAATTACTTATCGATCGATTGCTCGTGCAACTTTTGAAATACTTATTCAAAAAAAATCCTTCATAAAGAATTAAAGCTAGTTTTACAGCTAAAGCTTTATCGAAAGCTTTAATATTTTTGATGGTTATCTATCTAGCGGCAATAGAAAGAGCCCTAATTGGATATCGATTCTTGCAATCCATCGTTTTCTTTGAATTATATTATAGAAAGGAATCCAAGACGGATTGAAGGAAAGCTGGGGGGAGTTGATGGACGAGAGGGGAGGGAAGGCCGGATCTGATTTCACACGAGGGCTCAAGCATTGAGGGAAGGGAGCCTTGGGCTTCCAAAGGCATGAGCTCCTTCTTCCATTAGCGCTTGGGTGTTTGTTTAGTGCAGCCTTCCTTTCATCCATCTATCCCCATCTATCCACAAAAATGAAGACTTCAATGTCCCCTTTCATACGCGGCTTCCTTCCTTTCAACTCAGTCATTTCATTTGCAAACTAAACAATCGTTGTACACACTTTGCTTATTAATCCCGAATTCTTGAATTCTCTCAATAGTATATTGATCCCCCATCTTGAAATAAGCTCTTTGAATTAAGTCTCTTGAAAAGGGGTTCGAAAGATAAAAGCCTGAGAAATGAGAGGCGCTGTGGGGAAGGTTTGGCTTATCTTATCACCAAGCGTCGACCCGTCACTATTCACAAGTGCCCATCATCACCTTCATTGATTGTTTTTCAAAAGAGACAAATCACTGGGGTCTCGGCGATTTGAAAAGATTCAATTTTTGCTTTATTTAGTTATACATATTCTACCTGAAAAGCTAAAAAAACTTTCGAATCAAGGAAAATATTTCCCAGGAGAGAGTCTACCAATTTCGGGGCCAGCACTTACCACTTTTCGGCAAAGAATGTCCGTTTCGTTTTGCGTCTAAGGTGTGAAGTGGGTTTAGGAATGGGAAGAAGGGAAAGGATGGGGCAAAGGAGAGGCAAAGGAGGGGCAAAGGAGGGGCAAAAGAGGGGCACCCGGGGATCGAAGGGGATTCCAAGCTGGGGAGATGGGACAGGCCTTTCCTTCCACTCCACCACTACTTTCCCATCATCAAATCTTTAAGGAGTTTTTAGCATACGTTTTTATCTATACTCACTACAATTCTCATCGATTTGTAATTTCTTTTTAATTCTGTACTCACCGCGTTTACTAGCTCATGTTTATATCCTTTTTGAAGTTATGAAATTATGAAGTTCTGAGTCTGATTGATCAAGAAATGAAAAGAAATGAAATAAGTTTCCTCGTTAAGTCATATCCCCTTGTTTTAGGCGTATTTGAGAACAATGAGAGACGTCTTTCCAAGCGCTCCTTTTCCACTCCCATTAGTAACCACATCACACAATTAGGGTACCGCCTTCTTCCCGAATCCGTCCTTAATTCACCCCAAATCGAAAGGCCCAACATTCTTTTTAGCCTTTCAGGTCATTCTTAACTTTCTCCAAATCTTTTTACATATTTTTCCCCAATTTCTTGATGAATTCCCATTTACTTAATAGCTTAAAAATGATTGATCGAGTTACTTGTTGTAAATTGACAAGTGTCTGACGGAAAAAGGGAGTGAGTGAATGTCTCCTAAGCCGATGCACCTCGAAATCCAAATTCAATCGGGCTTTTCGTCGGCGGCTTGTCCGTCTCGAATGGCCCAGTCCACCTTGGGCATCCTCTCGGCATTTGCATCGATTCCGGTCCCCTTCCCCCCAAACTCCATCCCATCCCTTCGAACTTCCTATCTTTTCTTGATGATCATCTTTGCATGATAAATCTTCTATTATATAAATATTTGCTGAACTTTGATTTCTCAAAGTTTTTCCTTACGATACAATTTACAATTCACTTTTCAGATGGATTTGCCACCACAGTACCCGTCGGCTGCTTCATTTGCCACCGCTTCTTTCACTCAACCATCATCTTATGCAGCTCAATACACATCACATAATGACATTCCCGGTAATTTATATTTGATTACAAAAGATTCCCCGTTTTTCAGAACCCTCTAGTTCTGCTTCGCCGCCACCGGGTGGATCTGTGCCTGGAGCTCCTCCGATGAGCCTCATTTTAACTATTAGATTATTGATGCAAGGAAAGGTTCGATCAAGCTGGCTAGATTTTAGAACTAAAGCAATTCAGGAAGTTGGAAGTATAATTGGAAAACGAGGAGATCAAATCAAGTTGATTCGGGAAGAGTCTGGAGCCAAGGTTTTTGAGGAGAAGTGGTGATTACCAGTAAACGATTTAGATCAATATCTCCGATGGATCTTGCCCGGAAAGAATTGTGACAATCACTGGCTCTTTGAAGACGATTGACAAGTCTTTTTGCGATGATTTGCAACAAATTCTCAGATGTGGGTCGCTCAAGCAGTTTTTCTTAAGAACTTACCTACTTGATTCTAAGAGAAGAGCCGGGTCTTCTAATAGAAGAGCCGGCTTTCAATGTTGAAAATTCTTTTTCGTGTCCTAGCTACAGTATACCCAAAGTTAAGAGCTCAAAAATAGATGTTTTTATTGGATTTTCATTTGGTTTTGGACGTCATTAAGCTTTTTTTTAGTCTATAATTATTATTTAAAGTAGAGTGTTTTCCTCGCGAGTAAGGCGTTTTTTTAAAACGCACAATGAGGAAAAATTACCGTACTTTTAGCAAAAATTATTGCAAATGACGCAAAAATCACGAACCTCGCATTATATATGGCACTTTTTAAAGATACTCAGCCGTTTAACTGATTTGGTGGGAAATTCCCTTCTAATGTAAAAACTGATTTTTTTGAAAAACCTGCGCAAAAAATTGCTTTTATATTTTTTCGCACTTTTTTAGAAAACACACTATGCACTACTCGACAATCACCGTATTTCTTCGAATAGAAGACCGGGTAAAGAGTATCATCGCGTACTCCTGCGTAGCAACCCTTTTTAAAATTTCTTTTCTGCATAAAAAGCTTTCAATGAAGTGCTATAGGGCTGGAAAATGACTCAAAAATCTGTTAGCTCATGTGTTATTTTTGAGTCATTTTCCAACCCTATAGCACTTCATTGAAAGCTTTTATGCAGAAAAGAAATTTTAAAAAGGGCTGCTACGCAGGAGTACGCGATGATACTCTTTACCCGGTCTTCTATTCGAAGAAATACGGTACTCGAGCTATTACTCGAGTAAAAAATTACTCATGCGAATTTACTCGAGTAATTACTTTACTCGCGAGGAACACACTCTAATTTAAAGCCTTTGAAAGTCTTTGAAAAGTTGAGAATTTTGCTATTCGAGAGTTTCGAATTCGAAAAAATAAAAATTTCGTCTATTGGGCTCTTCAATTGTAATAAACATGGTATTTTAAGTTAATCGAGGAAACTTTCAGGACATGAAAGCTTTGCCCAACTCGGTACCAAAGCCACCGATCACTATGCGAATGATTGTGCCAGCCACACAATGCGGATCTCTAATCGGGAAGGGTGGCAGTAAAATTAAAGAGATTCGAGAGGTTCGATGATTTAGATTCCAAACATAAACGTTGAAAGCATTTCCAGGCTACTGGAGCTTCATTACAAGTGGCATCGGAAATGTTACCCTCATCAACGGAACGAGCGGTCACCTTATCCGGCACTGCCGACGCGATTGTGCTCTGTATGAAAGAGATTTGCAACATTCTGCTCGAGGTGATCGATTTTTAGAGCTTACTTGTAAAAAGTTTCATATTTTAGGCACCGCCAAAAGGCGCAACCCTGCAGTACAGACCGAAACCGACCTTTAATCCCTTATTGATCGCCTCTTCGGCGGCAGCAGCTGCGGCTCAACAGCAAGCCGTAGCTGCTCTCCTCACACAACCATTTCACGGGCAACCAATCCTCACTGCTTCGGCTGGGGCAGCCGATGTGAGTACACGATCTCCGAACGCCAAACCAACACTATTTAGTTAACAAGAGCCTCTCAATTTGGTGCTTTTATGCCATCAAACGCGTCACTTTCACTCGGCGATCCAACCGGAGCTGCCACTTCATATGCCGGATATTTGCCAAGTGAGGAAATAAAAGGCTTACGTAAAAAAAGAACATCTTTACAGTGTATGGTGGAATTTTAATGCACTCTGATGCAAATGCGAGCGCTGGCTTGATGGGCGCGGGATTGCCGCCACAGTGGAACAGCGATGAGGCGAAAAAATTGGAACTTGGTCTTTCGGGTCTTGGCCAATATGCGGCTCTTAACACCAGGTAATGGATGCAAAAAAAAACTTGTCATCAGACGCTAAATGCTCAAGGAGTACTGTATTTCTGCCACCTTTTAAAGGCTTTCCCCAGATTTTACTATGTTCGCTTTGATTGTTAGTGGTTTATACAAGGAACCAATGGCCACATCGTTCTGCCTTATTTATTGATCAACGGGACAAATCAATCAGTTATATTGCTCAATCATTATTCAATTGCGGTTTATGATTTTTGTAAAAATGGGATCTTCTCACTGAAAACCAATGCACAAATGATGCACAAATGAAAAGAAAAAAAGAAGGGGATTGTTTTTTTCTCCCTAGTTTCTTCATCTATGTTCTAACATTTGAATTTACAAAACTATCCTTTTTTTTCCCCACCCAGCCTAGATAGGAAAAAAAGTCTGTAGATGCCCTATCCGATGTTCGGTCAATTGTTTCCCCATGGGAATTTTTGGGTGAAAGCACAAATTCCCTCTCCATGTTAATGGATCTGTGTATGTAGCCTTTTCCCCCGAGCTTTTCTTTAACCCGAAAAATCAATTAAAAACATTTCTTAAGAAAAGCGCATGCTTCCTGGTAGACATGGACGCTACAAACTACAAGTTCAGACTATAAACCCTTCTAGAAACACGTAGAATAGAGATTTTTCAAAACTTTTTTTGCCAGAAAATCAAGCCAACTTTAGGCTTTCGAATGACACCAAAATCAAGTAAATTCATGATCTCTACGCCGAGAACGAGCTATTTATAGCTGTTTGTAGTCTCGTTCCATGGGATGAGACTACAAACCTAGAAAAAACGTTAAACCTCAGCATATAGAACATGATTTGGTCTGGTTTTGGTGTCATTCGAAAGCCTAAAGTTAGCTTGATTTTTTAGTAAAAATGTTTTGAAAAATCTCTATTCTACGCGTCTCTACACGGGTTTATAGTCTGACCTTGTAGTTTGTAGCGCCAATGTCTACTTCCTGGGTCTACTCTCTTGTAAAATTGGTTTAAAAGAAGAAACGTTGAAACAAAGCTCTCTAAAACTTTTGTCTTGCCACAGTGCTTTTAAAGAAAAAAAATTTTCAACTTCGAACCAATTTCACGGGTGAGTTCCAAAGAAAATGAAAAAAAACATGTGTCGAAACGAAAACATGAGTGTTGCAGTATGTTGTTGGGAGCGCATCTCGTGAAGGGCACCTCACCTCCATCAAAGCAGCCAACATCGCAGACCGGCTCATCGACACGATTCACCCCGTATTAGCCTCATAGAAACAATCTCTCCTCAAACCACCACCCCCCCTGCCCATCTTCTCCTCTTTTCCTCTTTTTCTCCCGCAGCCTGCAATCCTTGGTTCCCCTTGGATCTATCCTGAAAAGTTTTTTTTTTGATTCGCACTTTATAGAAAAACACCGTAAATCGATTTAATGCCTAATTGCGACCCTGTGTTTTTTTTTCGCTTCCCTTCTTTGTCAAAAGAAATTTCTGTGTTTCATTTTCCTATTCTTTTATCAGAATTTCAAAAAAAAAAATCAGTGAAAATTAGTGAAAATGAGTGAAGCTTTTCTCGTATCTAGATTACCGAAATATCGGTTTTTAAGGGGGTAAATTTGTAAATTGTGTTTTTTTCCCTTTGTTTTTTAGTCAACTTATTCATCCGAAATGCCCGTTCCAGCATTTGAGCTTTACATTTTGATTCTATATAAATCGCTTTATTTTTTTTCCATCAATGTGTGCCATTCATTTCTCATTCTAGTTTTCGAATCCTTGATTATCTCCCATATTTTCGTATGTGCCTCATTTCATTTTGTGACGGATTTCGATTTTTTCTCTTTTTTCTTTTGCCCTTCGCCCTGTTCGAAAACAAACAAGAATTCTGGAAATGTGCCCCGAAAAACTTTGGTCATTCCATTTGCAAGGCCCTAAATATAAGAGCTTTTTGAGTCTTAACTGTGTTATGTTATCAAATCTATTGCTCTCCAATAATTTATGTTTAATTTGATTTGTAGAACGTACTGTAGCAATTACCTGGCACTTCTCATTGCTAACTATAAGGTTGACGTGGAAATTTCCGAATTAATCAATTAAAACATAGTATCATGATTTCCTATCAGTGAATAGAGCAATAGAAATTTCGAAAGCGATAATTTTGAATGTACTCTTCTCAATTTAGTCTTCACGAATAGGTGGTTGATTGTGTTGTTTAATTATCCATTGTCAATTATTTGAGCCATTTGGTGAATAAATTTACTCGACAAAAGTAAGTATTCAAAGTTAGTCAAAGCTGAATCACAAAATGACAAATTTATAAAGCCTAGAAAGAACTGAACTCACAGAATTAAAACAGGCAAGTAAAAAATAAAGCAATAAAGCAAATTATCAGCTTGTGCTTTATTGGCTTGAAACTCCATCAGTATTCAAACTTGCCTTGAGACCTTTGACTGCTTTGGACTGTACGAAGACCTCAAAATGGATCAGCCCAAGTTTTTGAGTGATGTCGTGTTGAATGTTGCCAGCGTAAGCCCGACACTCCACAAAGACTAACTAAAATCAAAATAAAGTGAAGAATATACGAAAAGTGCCAATTTTTAATCAAAAAAACAAACCTTATTTGTTGGGAGGCTTTCAAACTTCACCATTGCAATTGGTTGATGATAATTTGGTAACACAGAATACGGGAAGTATTTTCCCTCAATACCGTGAGGTGGCACGTACGTCAAGTTTCCAATGTGTTCCTAAAACGCGAGTCAAATTATAGAACAGTAAGATTAGTACGGAAGTGAAAATTAAAAAATAGCTTACTTTATCAATCAGATTGGTTCCATCACAGTTAATTGCAATTGAATCGCTACGATAACGGTCACGAACAGCCTAAATATAGACAAGGATTTTAAAAAAATAAGCAAATATGAGTGAAAAATTTTACAATACCTCAGGAACACTTTCCGAGCTGTACGCGAATGGCTCCCATCCAATGAGTCGGTTCAAAGTAATGATCACACATGGTTTTCCACTCTTGTATCCAAAATGATCTTCAGGTGAGCAACCTGCTTTCTTGAACAACTAAAAACAAAAAAAATCAACTCTATAAAGAGTTCGTCAAACATCGAGCTTAAATTGACAGGCTGGCACATATTCATCTCCGCTCGCCTGCCAATTGCTATCATCTGGATCATTGCATTCTCGAGTTTCATTCGCATCCTAAACTTGAGAAAAGTTTTATACAAAAAACGTCTTTATTGATTGGACTTTGTAAATCTAATATTACGGACTTGCAAAAGAAACTCCAGGTCATAAAAATCATCACACAACGACCGTAAGTAAAGATGATCCCATTTGATTAGTATTTTTAGAAACCACAATATCTTTTCTTTTTAACGGCATAAATAGATTATACAGTGATCGCGGAATATAGACGTTTCAAAAGGTACCAAAAAACGACTTGACGGCGGCTTAAACTTATAACATTTTTGAAAAAACCTTGGTCTAAATTCTTGACAGATCAGAAGCCCAAACTTAATTGAAGCTATTTACAGAAAACTAAAACAAATTTGGTGAACTATTCCATTATAAAAATTCATTTGAAGAGTTGTGACTCTAAAAAAAGGGTCAAAATTCTGTTTTCAAGCATATTTAAAAAAATTGTTTTAATAAAGAGTACGCAACGAACAAATTTGTATTTGTATCTTATTTGTTTTAGTTAGTAAACTTCTTTCATTTCATATTAGTGACAAAACATTTGAAAAACCGTGGAGAAATCTTGAGTTGAAATTCCGCTAGGCCATTTTTGGTGCCTTTTTGATAATTTCACTGGGCTTCCAAAAGGAAGTTTCATAAAATTCTTTTTATATAGTTAAAAAGAGAAGATATTGGGGTTTCTAAAAATACTAATCAACGCGGATCATCTTTACTTACAGTCCTTGTATGGTTGCTTTTTTGATCCGTAGTTTCTTTTGCAAGCACCTAATATGAAGCTTGATGTTCAAAGTTTCTCAACTGATAAGTACCAAGAAACTAACATTGTATTTATCCAAATATCCGGTCAATTGATCGACGAAAGGCTTGTACGTCCTATGATCTCGAACGTTGAACTTAATCAGCGTTGAATCTGGCTTCTCCTAAAGAAAAATTGATATTAAAGTTTTAATTGAATAAGTAGAATGTGCTGATAATTATGTAGGTAATTAGAGCTGTCTACAAAACAGACTCGCTTCTTTAATAAAGTTGGAGACTTTTAGACTCACAATAAAGAATTTGCTACTTTTCACTATGTTAAAAAGATTTAATATAAAAGTGCTAGGCTTAAGGTTTGTTACAATCAGTTTTGAGATCAAATTTCAAGTGAACCTGGCAAACTGCTTATGCACTTAAATACAGAATGTCCATGTAAATGTATGCACCAAAAAAAACATAAAGATAACAGAAGCAGAAACCTTCAACCATGGTTGATAACCGACTCCAGGGTGAATTCCACGAATTGATCCTTTCCCATAGAAACGTGGCACCTTTCGATCCAAAGTTCCGAGAAATATAGAAAGGCAAGCAATCTAAATAAACTCTGAATGTTTAAACAAGTAAAATTTCCCTACCCAGAAAGCGGCTAAGATGGTATAGAAAATAATGTAGAAAATTGTGATTTCCAGCCAACTCCTTGGAGTTCGTCCGCAGAACTCTCCTTTCTAAACATACAATTTTTGCTTTCTTTTAAGTTTTTGGACAAATAATCGCTTTTTTCCTGGGGTGCTGAGTAATAAAAATGAATTGGCATATGTTATTGGGTTACCAAATATTTTGAACACAACAAGAGCCAACGATTTAAATGATTTTACCCAAAGTCTTGGAAAACATACACAAACATATATAAATTTAGCACCGCATTAGCATATTGGCATTTTCAAATTAATGCACAACAAAAAATTTTGCCAATTTAATACTACAATGGCAGATTATCACTAATTATAACCTATTAAACAAACCTCTCTGGTGAAGAGAAAAGTGAGTAAGGCACTGGGTGGTTTCTGTTGAAGCGTCCTTCGTCGAGCAATTAATGGCCCTCCTTCTTCTTTCTCAACTCCATTTTTACTTGCAGCAGTCATTTACAGCCCACGTTAAACTACCTGAAAGTATTCAAATTGTTCAAAGCCAGTGAAACGTTTGAAGAAAATCAATAATAAATCTAACAAAAAGTTAATAAGATCTTAAAATAAACGATGAAGGCGTTTAAACGATCTAACAACCAAAAATTCGAAGAGTAAAATCTATTACAGAAAAATTGATGGCGGATAGACGCAGCCAAAAATAAGAAAGATCAGCATAAAGGAGTTGCGAAAAACATAAAAATTTTTTACTCCAATTGATAACGGGGCCGACTAGGTGCCGCTGCTGTCGCCCCATACAACCCGAGAGTCTTCAGCGATATGCCGAGATTTTGTGTGCCGCAAACCCGTTGCGATTTTTCGCTGTTCAAATGGGAATTGAACGGCAAAAGTAAGAATGAACCGAATGATTCAAGAGAAAAAACATTTGGAAGAGACTCTAGAAAAAGGCAATCAATTGACATTCTTTTGACATTAAAATCCTTCAACAATTTAGATCGATAAATAATTCCGATAATGCTAATTAGGTTTAAAAACGATGTTTCGATTTCATAATTTGGATTATTGCGTAGTTTAAAACTGCATTCTTTAGAGCCTATTCAAATACAAATAATACAAATTGCGAAACGAAACGTCACCAGCCCGACCATAATAATGATATGGCTTTACAGAGTGAATAATGACAGGGGAGAGCCCCTGTCATTTCTTTGATAAAATGCGATTTTAAAAAATCTACAAGACGGGTTTTGATAATTTTTTCACCACTGAATTCAGCACATTTTTCTGCGTTAAATGGCTATTCAAACGTAAAAATCCTATAGAAAACAACTTTTTGCCTTATTTCGCGCGGATGTGGGGGAGGGGAAAGATCAAAGGGGCATGATAATGCTTACCGTAAATACTGTAATTGTCTCCACCCCTCGTACAGTCGCGTAGTCGCAAAAGTTTTTTGTATTTAATTTTTTTTTTTTTTTCAAAGCGCCGGTACTTTCAAAAAATGCGTCTTTGGTATCAAAAAATAGCTGAAATTCAGGGCTATTTTTTGCTACCTAAGTGCGCATTGTAGCATAAACCAGTGTCGAGAAAAACGCGTCCAAAGCTAGACTACGCAACACTCCGCACCGTCATTATGGGGGTGGGCTACTACTACAGTATTTACGGCAATTGTACAAACGGGATTTTTGTTGTCAAAGCTAAAATGGATTTGTTGAGAAAAAAGCCGAGGATTTTTTTGTGTAAACTAGCATTTTACATTTGAAGCATTCGAAAATTAGCACTTAAGCCAAGAGCTTTTGTAGATAAGATCATGCGTCGAGGTGAATTTATTTATTGCGTCTTTATAATTGATTCTATGTAGGCAAATATTTGATAGGACTCAAGTTTAAATGGCTACTTTATGCGTACAATTAATATTTTTAAAAGCAGATAGGTCTGAAAGTTCACTAATGGAAAAGAATACTGAACGTAATCAATAGACTCACAGTCTGAAACCTGAAGACGTCAAAGGTTTAAAAAAATGCTTTTTATTGGAGAGAAAATGGGAAAAGAGGGAGAGCTTTTGCTTGTTGAGCCTTCACCGCTCGGTCAACGCCTAATCACAATTCGTTCCTGTTTTTTTTTTCTCGGGAATGTATAGAGGAAGTGGTTTCTTATAAGAAGATTAGCAATCAACGCTATGATTTAACTCTTTTAGACGCTTTTAATCAATTTGTGTTACCAATCGGCAATTATCCAGATTTTTGGCCTCACTAAGAATTTTTGACCGACGTACAATCTGTTGTTGTGCTTTTGTTGCATGTCTCGCTTTTAACCATAGAAAACTCGGTTCTTCTGGGAAATCCGGACTTGAGACTTGAGGCAAAACTTGAGTCTTGTTTTGCCTTCTCTTGTCTCCTGTCTTGTCTCCTGTTTTTCTCAGGATTCGCTAGTCCAAGCAACCTCTATTTGGTACCATTCGAAAGCCTGAAGTGTCCTGGTTAAAAGTATATCAAAAGTTAACAATAATAAAGCTATGGACACTAAAACCTAGTGCTTACTTCAATTACCTTAACTCTTGGCTTTGGATTGACCTATTCCTCTCTCTTATGCGCTCTATAAAACGAGTACTTTCGGAATCTTGTTTCTGAAAGACTGATTTGTAGCAGAAATACAGTGAAATTTAAGGCAGAAATTGATCCCATAAGTTTGAGCATAGTGCCCAAAAAACGGGAAAGTTCAGTCGCTCTCCGCTCCTTTCCGAAGAGCACCTCGCCACTTTGCACAGTGTTCCCAAATGAGATTTAGTGTTAAAAATTTGTGCCCCCGGGGTTTTCAGGGTCGTAGAACCTATTGGCGGAGTTTATTTTAACCATTTGCCCCAAGAAAAGTCACAAGAAAACGAATATGATAGCTTTTCACAATGAAAAGATTCGTATTTTATCAAAAGACCTTTTTTTTCAAAAGATTTCAGAGAAGAACCGAAAAATCTTTGTCTGGCATGAAATTGTGTTTTTTTAAAATATAAATGCCCTTTTTTAATAACTTTATTACAGATATTGATCGGATCTTTAAGAGCAATAGAGTGTGCTGCTGCAAGGAGAGTTCTGGCAAGTGTAGAGATAATCCGTGAACTGAGGAGCACCAAAGCTGTAAATTACGATATTGCCTTGAGTTTTCAAGCTTAACAACAGACAAATTTTTTTTCAATGAAATCTATAAGTTGAAGTTTCTATTTTGTGATTTGAAGAACTCACAATCCATTGACAAATCCACTTGGGTTGAGTTGAGCAACGGCTTGTCCATTTGTGGCCGTTCCGTTCAACCATTTTGGATTGGTATCGGGGTAGCAATTCTGAATTCGTTTTTAACGTATATCTTTTTCTTAACAAATTACAGCATATGGAGTCTTATCGTCCCAAGTGAACTGCCCGTTGGAGCTTCTTGAAAGTCCCGTCCATTGAGCCTCATTGCGGTTCTTGAGCACTAAATCGAGCGTTCACCTGTAAAAGTTTGAACAAATTTACGCGAAGTCATGAAAATTGCTTTTGGTCCATCACAAACAGTTGGAAGTGTTGCATTGTTTTGCATAGCACAATATCTGAAGAGAATTTTCGTATATGGTATGGGCTAGTATCTCTAACCTTTGAGCAAGAGGCCATGCAGCTGGGATGGTTACCTAAAAAGTACCGATTAATGATTGAGTTTTGGAAATTACTGGAGAATAGCATCCATTGTCTGGAGTGTAGCACTTTTGATCGAGTGAATAAGGATCCCAGTTGGCAGAGCAGAAGCAATTAGCTGAAATCGTGAAATCGTTACATTCAAAACAATTTACTTAAGCGAAACTATTTGTTTTTTCAAATGAAGAACCTTGACAGAATTTGTCGAGAAGATCGGAAGCACGAAGATCCTCATTTCTGTTTGTAAGTTGCGAGCAGTTGGAAGCCAAACTGTCGAGAATTGGCACTGTCGTTCCATGGTTTTGAACGTATTCTGAAATGTGTTCCAAATATCAATTTAGTTTTTAGTAAAATTTAGCATCCTAGCGATCTTACAATCCTGGTAACAAAGGCTAGAGAAATCAAACGAACCAATAGTAATGATGATTCCACCATTTCCACGGAAAGTGGCAGCTGCTTGCTGAGGGTCAGTCGAGCCTCCCGGTCTAAATTTATCATAGACTGGTAGATTTTAGATCAACTCGTAGTGCTTACTCGTAGTGCGAAGCTGCGATGATGATCACCTTTTTGCGGTTTGAATAATTGCCTTTTCCGTTCTTTTCGAACTCGTTTAGAGCCACGCGAATTCCGCTGAAAATCAAAATTTGTTTCATTGCCAACAGATTTTCTTTTTAATTATTTAAAACATACTCTTCAATGTTACTTCCACCATTTCCTTCAAGTTTAACGTTGAAGACAGCGTTGAGAATATCAGTTGTGCTTGCGAAATCGGTGAGTCCATAACGCAAAGTAGCGGTATCCGAATAGGTGACAATACCCAGCCGAGATACCTATAAACAATTATTCTATTTAAACAGATTTAAGCTGATCTTTAAATAATATAATCTCAAAATTTCCATGCCTGTCCAACTTGTTGTCCAATGGTCATTTGCAATGAAGCAGTAGCGATGTAACTGAGCAACTAAACAAACAAAAAAAATCCTAGAAATAGATGATTTGGTTACTGTTTGAAGACCAGCTTGAGTCATTGAGGACGAGGAATCAGCAACGAGGATCACATCCAACCATAATCCTGGATAACTACAACCACAACCCACTAAATTAAGGTTTTAAAAATGAGAGAATTTCGTGCTTCTAGGTAGATAAACTATCAATTAATAATAGGTTGTAACTATTTGAGTCTTTTGTTAGTGGTATGTTAGGCATATTAAACCAACATGAAGAAGAAGAATTTTGAGAGGGGCTAGGCGAGGGGCTCGTCCGACCATCTGTCCAACCATCACTAGCCGTCCAACCATCACTAACCGTCCAACCATCACTCTGTGCAAGAGCTAAATATTAATTATTATAAATAAAATAAATAAAATCCTTTTTATAACAAGTTTGTCTCATTTAAAAGAATACCCATTGTGGCAGTTGACAAGAGGCACACGGCCAGTAGCCCCAGACGCATTTCTGAAAACATTTCACTAAGCCCAATGTAAAGGTGCTTTTCCTACAGACATCCAAAAAATCACTACAAAAGAACCAATAAAAATTGGTAATAGGCTTAGATGGGTTCAAAAATGACAATGAGTCTTAAAAAAGGCCTTATCACAAAAGGAAAGCTGCTTAGAAATTTGATGGTTCCATTTTGACAGTTGAAGAAAAAGGAAAATTGGGAATCAAAGTATTCCCGTAAAAAAAGCGTATTGACTTATCGTTTTACTTAGTAAACAATCGACAAAACTAAAAAGTTTTATAAGTTAATAAAGACAAATATATGTTGTGTCCGATTTAGATTTCCGTCCGATTTAGATTGAACTTATCGCGGACGTCCGATTTAGATTACAGTCTATATCGGACGTCCGATTTAGATTTAATCTAAATCTTATATAGATTGAACAATAATACGTCTTATATAGATTGAACAATAATACGTCGTCCGCGATAAGTTCAATCTAAATCGGACACAACATATAAATAATCATTATTTTAATAGATGATGATTGTTTAGGTTAGATCTCATAGTCAATAAGATCTCGGTCAAATGTCAATAAGTCAATAAGATGTCAGTCAATAAGATCTCAGTCAATAAGAGTCAATAAGATTTTGTTCATTACAGTATCCAGCCAGTTAAATTTCTTTCATTTCTACAATTAAAGCAAAAATATTGAGTCATATTGTCAGAGTACTTTTTTCTAAAATATCGAAAACTCTATGCACCTTAACTATAAGTCATTTATAATTATAATCTTTTATAATCGTCATTTATAATCGTTTTCCTTTTGCATCATAAAAATATTATGGTAAGAGTAATTGAAAAAGTTTTCCAAAGAAAAAAAACCCTATTGTTTTGCAGAAAATGATTTGACGGGCAAACGTGGGTTTCTTAAATAAAAAAAATTATTCATTCAACCATATCCGGTTGAATGATAGGAACATATCACAAAAAATTTGGACTGTAAAAACGCCCCTAAAGAAGTCGATTACTCTTTTTGTTTCATGGAAAACGTTTTATCTCTTTCTGACGCCGTTTCTGGTAAAAAAAGAGCCATTCTTTTTTTTTTTGAAGAATAGGAATTGTCACTCTAAAATCTTTGAAGCCTTTTGTTTAGGGGTGTGTTGTCGCATTCGGTGAGTAAGAAATTGATAGCAATTTTCAAAACATCAGCATCGATCACTGAATCCTTTATCTAAATTTTACAATTCTGAACAGATCCTAGGGAATTAGTCAGCGATTAATATTAGCTCTGCTAGTTATGAATGCGAACTATTTCTACAGAAGCTCCCCTTTTGCCATAAAGCTTGTTTTTGACTCCTGGATCAAGCTAATATAAACTATTATCCTTGCTCATAAAAAATAGTTTCAAGGTGATTTGGTAACACTTTTATTTTGTAGATTTGTTAAGGTGCAAAGGCGAGCAGTCAAAAGCGTCTTTTTGACAACTAAAGTTCGGTCCAAAGCCGATCGTTTTTAGGCAGCAGAATGTATTTTGATGTTAAAAGAAAAAATCATATCTTTTTCTATAATTAGCTAGATTCACAGACCAATCCGTTTAGCCGTTTGTGTTGTATGATTTTTTGAAAATTGTGCTCAAATAAGCGTTTTCGCCAAACATAAAAACCATCAAAAATCGTCTTTTTTTCAAAGATTGTCCTCCAAAAATTCGAGAGATAAAGCTGGCAGCTCCTCCCGCAGTCTACATAAAGTTTAGACGTATCTCCATAGGATCATCACATTTTCCGAGTTCTAGAGCGAGAATCCGCTTAGCAGCAGTTCCATACTTTCTAGGGTTTCAGAAATTGAATCACCCAGCAAAACCAAAGTTTTTGAGTCTTTGAGATTGAAGACTCTTTGAGTTTTGCACAATTGTTGCAGACAACTAACTTAAATTATCTGAAAGTTTAAAATAAAATTTCCGTTAGTTGGTACTTTCACAAGAAAAATCGCATTCATAACTAGCCAAGGTAATCGTTCAACTTATCCATATTCGTTTTGTACATACAAATGATGACTTGATTGATCTTGATTGAACTCTTTGAATCTTCACTAAATAAATCATTCTAATCGTAAGACCTTTAGAATAGTAAATTGTTAATCATATCGATCTCTTTATTATATTTTGTAAAGATTTTGTCTCACTATCAATCCACTTACTTGATCTTTTTCTTGACATCATCTCTGTACCTATCGTTACACCAAAGAGGCTATTGTTACACCGTGGTACAGTACTGGACAATGAAATATCATATTTGAAAAAGATCGTCACTTTCGCGCGTCTGTAACTCCCTCGTCTTTGAGTTTAAACTATTAGTGTTATACATTTTCTGAAAGCTCTTTTCAAGGGCTACACAATGGTAATATTAATATTTAGAAATACGGTAAAGACAAGGGAGTTACAGACGCGCGAAAGTGCGAAAGAGTTTTTTCAAATATGATATTTCATTGTCCAGTAGTGTAGGTCAATAAGCCTCTTCATTTCTCTTCTTTATTACTCTAGACTTTATGTTCTTTTACCATTTGATGACCAATAAAAGCCAAATGAATATCTTCTTGAAGTTAATGCGATGAAAAATTTATTTATTTATTTACAAGATCTTAAGCATAAATCATCAACTCAAAAAAATGATTCAAATATAAAATTGTTCAAAATAATGTTTGAGTTTCTTAAGCAAATGATTAGAATAACAATTTCTTTTTGAATGAAAAACTCGTCAACGAAAGCATTCTCCATAAAAATGAAATTAAAAATGAACTACAGAGTACAGGAAAGACCTGACTGACCTGACTGACTAGGGAAAGAAAGTCATTGTTTGTTAGAATTCGAATTAGAATTTCATAGTACTGTTCATCATTTATTTTTACGCAAAAGCTTTATATTTTTTTTATATGATTTATTTGATTGTATTGAATTTTTTTAAATGAAAGTAGTTCTCAAAACACAAAATACTTTTTCATTTCAGAGAGAAATGAGTCAGGTGAAGGTGCTCATGCGTCTCTGCTTGAGCAGCCGTATCCGTTCTCTTTCTTCTTTATCTAATTCACTTTGTGATCTCTCATCTTTATCCGCCAATCCCAGCCATCTAATCTTTGATCATTATTTGACAGATTCATTTCAAGAAAAAAACCTGAGCAAACGGCTTCCTTCTTTCTTTTCTTTGAACATTTCAGAAGAAGGTGAGCGGCCAGGAGTCGAAAATTGCTGAAAAGAGTTTTTTTAAAACCTTTTACTTTACTTTGAAATAAAGATTAGAGAAATTTTAAGAAACATTAAACGGTAACTAGATCTCTATCAAACATTGAACCTTACCAGATTGCCTTTTTGAACTACATTCATGTTCATTGTGTGCACGGAATGGCGATGAGCAAGAGCATCAGATGATGCAGAAGTGCCTGAGAACTTTCTTTTTGAAAAGTGATCAAATCGAAATCCAACCCATCCCTCCATGTTTGATTTTTAGTGGTGGCTCTGCTCGAATGTCAAGATTCTCAAGGTACTGAAGAGCGGCATCTTCGCTAAAAATTTGAAAATAACTCTTTTTACCCTTCTCTGAAGTATTCATTTTAAATTTTCATGATTCTATTTTTACTTGCCCATTCTTTCACATAACCCCATCGACCCAAAAGGGCATTAGAAACGAAATTTATGAGGTCGCCGGGTACTTCCATCATAAAAACTCTCACTGCCACATTGGTAGCTTAATTTTCTTCAAGTAATGTCAAAATATTATTGACGTTATTTAGTTTTGAGTGATGAAAATAGGAGACTAAAGATTGGGAAGTCGAGAAATTTTCTCAGCATAACCCCAAAGGAATCAAAAGGAAACGCGAGCAGCATTTTGCAAGTGATGGGGGAAAAGTGAAGAAGAGGCTGTTTTTGGAAAGGAATTTCGGGAAACTTTGGAAAAGACTTTACTCGAATAGAGCGAATGGAGCGAATAGAGAATGCCTCTCTTGGGTAATGTGCTCTCACCCATCCTTTCCTCCCATTCCACAACATCTTCTCATCCCCACCAAATGCACTTGTTGACTTGATAAAGAAAATAAGACTTTGACACGATTCTTGTTAAATATAACACTAATTTGAAGAACAACAACACTAGTTTTAACTCATTTAACTCATTTAACTTATTTAACTCATTGAAGAGATTGAAATCGTTTGACACTATCCCTATGGGAAAAGTTCTTCTGTAAAGCCCTTTCGACAATCACTTTTTAAAAGTCTGAAACGATTTCTTTTGAATATTTTCTTATTTTAAGAACTTTTCACAGATTGACGTGTCGTTGTTTTTAAGAGAAAAGAAAGCGGAGGAAAAAAAAGCAGAAAAGAGCAAACTTAAATCGTTCCCCGGGGGAGTCCCCCCCCCCCCCCCCCAAGCAGCACCCATCGGCTCGGCTCGGCTTTGCCTCTCGGGGATTCTTCATCCTGAGGATTTCATGGCCTCTACCCTCCAACAATTCTTTACATATCTCAAATAACACCCATTACCCTCAACCTAGAGGAACAGTTATCTGAAATCCATAAAAATAACAGAAAACAAAGAGAAAAGAGTGATGAAACAGTGATGAAACATCGTTACCAGGCTTGTCGATGAGCTTTCTCCCGTTGAATTTCGATACTCTTCAGACGTTCTCTTTGTCTTTTCTCTTTTTCCTTTTGCTCTGCTTTCTAAATTTTTTTTTCAAGAGTCTCTAGAAACTTTCGAGAGTTTACCTGTTTGGTTCGAAGGGCTTGTGCTCCCAACATTTGTTGATTGCTTGGAAGTGGCGGCTTTAAATTTTGCTTCTTCACTGAAAAGGCAAATCTTTGCTAAAAATAGAAATTGAGTATTCAGAAGAAAAAGGAAAAAAAGGTTTTTGAGATAGGGATCTATTCAAAGAGAAGATAAAGGAGAATGTGCGGAAATAGGTACGAGGTTCTGTCTTGTGAGGTCTTTTCCTTTTCTACTATATCCCTCATATCCCATTGTGACGAGCACGTCCATCATCGTATCCAATTCAATTGACTTCCTTTCTTCTAACAGCTAACCTTCTAAACGTTTTTCTAGAGTAAGAGTAAGAATCAATGTTGATTGAAGGGTTTCTGAATTAACAACATGCTAATTGGTGATCAATCCGTTTTTTCACTAAACTCAAGCATTGCTTAGGCAAGCTAGAACATAGGCGCATCGAAGAATTAAAGATTCTTGAAAATAAGTATTCTAGAGTAATGATAAAATAAAAGAACTAGTATATGATGTAGCTGAACTTCTAGAGAAAGCTGAAAAATAGAAAGCTGAACTTCTAGAGAAAATCTGGTGATAAGTCGAGTAAAAATGAAAAGGAATGGGTGAAGGGAAAGTAAAGGATGTGGGTTGGGGGTGGGATCAAAGGATCGAAGGGAGAAGAGAAGGAGTCCGTTGGGGGTGGGCCTTTCGAATCACGCTCTTTTTGAAAAAACAACTGATTTCACGCTAGAATCCTGAAGTCAGCTAAATGGGGTGAATTTGAAACAGAAATTGTTTAAATTTGCATGAAAGAATCTGTATTAGAAAAAAGAAAATGCCGTTCTTAGCCAAAAAGGAGGACTGGGGACTAAAAATTGCCATGGAACATTGAAAAGCAAATGCGAAATTCGAAGTGGAGTGAAAATGGGGGGAGGTGTGACATTGAAGGATGAGAAAAGGGTGACCAATCGGCCTCGGTTCAACAGCTGTGTGTCGCCACATTCAAAGCTTGATCCCATCCGGTTGAGGAGTGAAGAGATTTCATCAATTGCCCCCCTCCCCCCTTCAATTCCCCTTCAATTCTCACTTCTCTTCATTTTATGCCATAAAACAAATAATAAAATTTAAACAATTTTGTCTTAAAGCCAATGTTGACCACTAAAAAAAGAGAAAGCGGGCGGAAATTTCTCGTTGAATCGGTTATGGACTCGGAAATTGTGATTTTCACGGCCTCATCACTCGCCTCACTTCCTCCCTGTCACCTCTAATTCGTTTGTTTACGTCTGCAATATGAAAAAGTGCTTATAAAGAGTGTTTTATTCTATAAAAGAAAGAAATTTTTATTCCTACAACTCTTCTTTATCAACATTTTCGTCGATTTTCTTGAATTCTGGATAAACATTTTCGAGAAACCATGAGAAATCCTTGCATTTTAAGCGTTCTTTTATCTCGAATCTTTCTTTCAGATCTCCCACATTCAATTTAGCTGCTCTCGGATTTGCCCGAATGAAGTATTTCTAGAATGAAATTGAAATTAGTTTCCACCATTCTCTCACCAAATAATCGCCTAGCCAAACTTTAGCCGTTCGAGCTGAATTATATGAGTTCGTGTCTCTAGCCGCTTCTTTGTTCTAAATAGATTAAAACAGCTAAATAGATTTTGATAGATTAAAGCAATATTCTTTAAATAAATAACGATTTGAGAAACTTCAAATGCGACTCACTTTTGGTGCACTCTTGTAAGGTCTTCTCATTCGAAAGACATGTCCCACTCGTGAACATGGAGCAATCAACACTCGGCCTCCGCATAACCAAGTCTTTATTGATTGATTGATTTATTTATTTGATTTTTGACTTTCAATTGTCTACTTCTGCTTACCCTGAGCGATAATTCGTGATTTTCGGCTCCCCAAATCTCCATTCCCATATCATATTCCCCGATTTCTCGGAAAAACTCGCTTTGCACCGCCAAAAGCCCACCGGACATTGATGGTGATCTGGAATGTAAATAAAAATAAACGAGGAAGAAGTAAATCCAAATGTGTACTGTGAATGTTAGTCAAAAAATAAACTAAAGCTAATCTTCTGTAATTTTATCCAATTCTATTAGTAAGTTCTGACTCAAGACAGTTCGAAAGACATGTCCCACTCGTGAACATGGAGCAATCACCACTCGGCCTCCGCATAACCAAGTCTTTATTGATTCTATTAGTAAGTTCTGACTCAAGACAGTTCGAAAGACATGTCCCACTCCCACTTCTGTAATTTTATCCAATTCTATTAGTAAGTTCTGACTCAAATGGTTTCACGATGTTCTCTTCAACATTCCAATATTCCCAAGGTAGATAAAGCCATTTAAAATTGAGAGCATCATCAAAGCCACAACGAGCGATTAATGCCTGAAAGGATCAAATATAATGTACGTCAACATTAGGACAAACCTTTGAATATTTGAAAGTGATTGGAGAAATCAGGTCAACAATCGGTAAAACGATGCTAAATTGCTGAATTGCTTACAAAGCGTTAAGATCTAACCTCTTTGGATTTTTGTGAATCGGATCGAGAAGTGGTGGCAGCCATCCTTCGCTCACTTCACAATGTGAATCGAGAAAAATGAGCACATCGCCAATTGCCATTCGTGAAGCTAACACCTAATAATTTGTCTTCAAAAAAAGTCTTTTAAAAACTCTCAACTTTTGCTCGAATCAGTCCTTCTCGTTCCGGGTTTCGATGGATTTTCAAAATATCGCTTTTCTCGGTAATATGTCCAAATTCTTGTAATTTCTCGACTAAGATATGCTCGACTTCACTAGCGTCATCGTAGAGAATTATCTGAAAAATGAGTGTTCTATGGTGTTTTAAGATATCATACCGTAAATACTGTAATTGGACCCCACCCCCTCGTACAGTCGCGTAGTCGAAAAAGTTTTTTAGTATTTCATTTTTTTCAAAGCACCCGTACTTTCAAAAAATGCGTCTTTGGTATCAAAAAAATAGCTGAAATTCAGGGCTATTTTTTGATACCTAAGCGCGCATTGTAGCGTAAACCAATGTCGAGAAAAACACGTTCAAAGCTAGACTACGCAACACTCCACTCCGCTCGGGGGTGGGGTACTATTACAGTATTTACGCTAGTTATTAAAAGTCATTGTTGTCATCATTGTTATTAAAAGTTATTTTGCGGTCTTCACAACCGTGAAGACGAACGAAAGGTTTCTTGTGAACGGCTTCTTGCGTTCTTGCGAACGAAAGGCTATCACACAAGCGCCCGCCTTGAAGCACCACAGCTAAGTGGGAAAAAAGGTTATATGATTGGTATTTTAAAAAAGTCACATATAACATTGTGACTCTTTAGTCGCAAGATTTCTTATGATTTGATAGTCACGATTATCACTGCCACCTCACCTAAAAATCACATAACTATCCGTGATTTTTAGACTTGAAAGTCTTCACTGAAGACTTCACGTTTCACAACCGTGAAGAACCAAATCTTTAATGCATAAAACTAATGTTTGGAAAGGAAGTGCTGATGTAGATGATGCTAATCTATTTGGTTACAGATATAATTTTCTTATCTCTCACTTCTTGCAGATTGCTTTCAGGTGTTCGATCGAAAATCGATGTGAGCATTCGAAGGAGAACGGAAAGACATTCGTTGTGATAAATGATCACAATTGACACTGATTGGTCGTGTTGAAAGCTCGCATTTTTACAGCTAAATGCAAAAATTTTGCCATAAAAATAGCTTCGATTTTGGAAGAAAGATAAAATCTGAAAATTTTGATACTTCTTTTCTGCCTGATAGTCGAGTATTCGTCTTGGACCGATTTTATCACTGGAAACCATGTCAAAAGAAAATGCTCGTTCACCCCATTTTCTGTAAATTTTCTGTAAATTTTCCTATCTAATACAATAGCTTATCTGTTATTTTATCCAATATATTAGCTTGGTAAATATGAAAGGTTATTTTTTACAAAAAATATTGCCCTGTCGTTACGAAGAACATTCGCTGTGTAGGATTTTTCTCAATAATATGTCAAAATGTGCTAATGCTTTTTTTGCAAAAACCTTTTTTGTTTTGAATAATATTGGTATTGTTTCAGCTCAGCAAAGATGGATGACCAAAAATTTAAAATCAGGGCCGCCATTTTCTTTGAATTCAATTTAAACAAGAAAGCTAGATGCCATCAGAACATTTGTACTGTTTTTGGAGAAGCTGCTCTTACTTACAAACAATGTTGTGTTTGGTACGATCACTTCAAAACGGGAAACGAGTCATTGGAAGATGCATCACATGGAAAGCCGCCGATTACTTTGGACGATCAGCTATTACTGAACGAGGTCGACTTGGATCCATTGCAAAAGTGTAGAAAATTAGCAGAAAAGTTCGGATGCACTCATGTTACCATTTACACGTTCTTGGGAAATCATATCGAAGCGGGAAATGGCTCCCCCCACGACCTCACTGATGCCCACAAAGTCACACGAGTCACCTTGAGCTCTGTTCTTCTACGTAAAGCTAGCCATCGTGACTTTTGGAAGTATTTTTTGACATCTGATGAGACTTGGCTTTCGTATGAAAATATTCAACTCTATGGACAGTGGCTGAGTTCGAAGCAGACCTCTCATCCTATCCCGAAGCCTCCGAAAAAGTTATGCTTTGTGTGTGGTGGAATGCTAAGGGATTGGCTCATTTGGAAATATTAGATAAAGGAGACACTGTTGACGAAAGACTTTATGCAGAACAAATGGGTCGAGTCGATCCAGCATTGAGGAAAAAGAGGATCGATCCATCGAAGGTCAGATTTCTTCACGACAATGCTAGGCCTCACATTTCAAAGATCGTCCACGAACAAATCGATAAGTTGAGCTGAAAACTTCTTCCACACCCACCATACAGCCCTGATCTAGCCCCATCGGATTACCATCTCTTTCGGTCTATGAAACAAGCAGTTTCTGGACAGCAGTTCAAACAAAAGCAGGACATCGAAAATTGGGTTGTCAACTATTTTGCCTCTAAAAATCTTCAATTTTACGAGGACGGTATTCGTGATTTGGGGCGATGTTGGAAAGAAGTTATTAATGCTTGTGGTGGATACATTTGATTTTGAAAGTGTTTAAATAAGTTTTCCTGTTATGTTACAAATGATCAAAAAAATAACCTTTCATATTTACCATGCTAATATTATACGTTTATAGTTTTCTTAATACCTCCTTTCGGCTTCTCTTTCCGTCTCTCGATCAGCTTGTGTAGTGTGATTGCATTTCGAACTTTCAGCATTCACCTGCATCCAATCCCCAAGGCTAAACTCAATATTTAGCTGAAATCTTGTTTTATTAGCTATTTATTCATCTCTATATTTAGTTGAAATGCTGAAATGCTGCTTAATTTTTAAAAAAAACCGTAGATTTACTTTTCATAAGGATCCACATGAGTACAAGCTGGCCACTCTTCTACATGATCACTTGAGATGACAAGACCAAACAACAAAATAAGCACATATTCTAAATTAATTAAAGATATAAAGAAATGAAAGATAAAATGCAAAGAAACAAACTTTTAATAAAGCCTTCTAGCATGTTGAATTTATATTTACACGAGATATGCTCATTTCGAAGAAACGAAATAAAGTGGAGAGGGTGAGCGGGTCAAGGTCATCAAGGACTAAAGGATCTCATTTGGCAAGTCGATACCTTGAAATCAAAAAGCCTTGAGTACTTTATAAAAACAAGTTCGAAACAAAGCAAAAGCCAGTTTATTTCATTTGTTTTAGCTAATAGCTGAGCAAAGAACAAGATTCTACTACCGAGAACTTTTCAAAAGCTGTAGATTTGGGAGTGAGATAAATGCGACCTTTTTTACGCACCCGGACATTTGCGCACCTTTTTTTCCGCATCTTGTCCATTAGCGCACTTTTTTCACGTTTTAAAAAAGCTCTAAAAAGCCAATGTTAACCAATTTCTATTCCAAAAGTTGTTTTTCTAGGTAATTTTAGGGCGTAGAATCGAAATTTTGACATAACAGAGCTTGTGGAAACAAACGGACGGAGTTATACAAAGAGAAAAATCGACAATTTTCTGTAATTTGATCTAGCCGTTTTGTCTTTCAAATTGGTTCCACACGCTCTGTTATGTCAAAATTTGAATTCGACACCCTCAAATTACCTAGAAAAACAACATTTGGAATAGAAATTGGTTAATATTAGCTTTTTAGAGCTTTTTTTAAAACGTGAAAAAGGTGCGCTAATGGGCAAGGTGCGCAAAAAAAGGTCGCATTTGTCCCACTCCCGTAGATTTTGTTGCTGGCAGCCTATTAGAACTCACAATCACGTTTACTTTGTATTCGGATACAAATAGCTTTTGCATTATTACTGTTGATTCTTTAAATATGTTTAAATTGTCATGTCATTTTAGTTTACAAAAATCGCAAAACTTTGTTGTTTTTTTTGTAGTGGTTGAGGGTGGTAGAGGGAAATCAGTTGTCAGTGAATGGGTGTGAAGAAGAAAAGAAAAGAAAAGAGGGGAAACAATCGTAATAGAAGTGAATGGATGACAGCAATGGCTAAAAGAAAAGACAGTTGTTCTTGTGATCAACCAGGAAAAAAAAATTCATTGATGCGAAAAACCCTTGGCGAAAAGCTGCCACCAAAAGTGTCTCATTGGCTTTCATTCAATCTATTCAAACGTTCATTCTAGTTGAATTTTTGTTTTTGCTTTACAATTTTCTTTATATAAATTTTTTACTTTTTCCTTGCTTTTAGGTAAACCGTTTCCTTTGAGTCTACAGCTAGATTGCCAGACAGATACAGATTGCCAACGACAACAATGAGACGCTTGGTTGATTGTACAAAATAACCGAAACTAAAGGTAGAACATTCATTCTGTTTTTCTTTTCGTACATTTTACATACCTAATTGCAAGTTGTTGAAAAAAAAAACATCAAAAATCTGGTGGAAATTTGTGAAAGATGAGCTGCTCAGTCACGCACAAATACTCCCCAAAGACCCATTCACTACACAAAATACGAGAGTCACATTTTTCACAATTTCTAACAAATATCTGAAGCATTTTGAGATTTCAGATTTTTTTAACCCTTATTTTTCAGAAAAAGATTTCTTTCTTCTAAATCTAACAATATAATCATTTAGATGTTGAAAGCTTTGTTCGTGGTGCTTTCAATCGTTTCCCCATTTGTCTTGTCACACTTTTTTGTTCAAAAAGAAGAAAGCTGTCGAGGGCCGAGGTTTGTTTAATTGAGGCTAAGGTAATTAGTGTTTTTTGTTAAAGCATTTTGATTGTGAAAATTCGATCAATTTAGACCCGGTGATTGCGATCCTGAGGCGTGTGGAGGATCGTGCGAAGCTCGATACATCAGATTTCACGATCAAGGGATTAAAGGTGATCGAACGGTGAAAAGTTGCCAATGTCAACGGGTAAATATTTTCGATAAACTTGCATTAATCTTAAATTCAGGAAAAAATTTGTCAGATCATTGGAATGCATGCCTATGCTGGTTGCAGAAGTTATGCCACCCTAAGTCCATCCGGTAGAAAAGTGCTAAACCTTTACAAAGAGATTAAAAGAAATTAAAAGAAGTTTATTTATGTGATAAGTGAAAATATTAAGGCCAACGAATGGTTCGTGTTTGGAGCATGAGCAGAGATGAGAGGAGAGCGCGAATCAACAATGACACGTCATATCGATTCGCGGAAAAGAAAAGGTGAAATTTTATGCGATTTATCGATTTTGCAATTTATATTGTGCTATTCTACAAAATAAAAATCTTTCTTAGACATCAACAACTGATTTATGGGAATAGCCGCTTCTGTTGTCGAACGAAAACTGGCAAAGTGACCGCACAAGACTCGGAATTTTTGGTAAAGACTAGAAGCCAAGAAAATAAATCAGCTATAAAATGAAATACCAACAAATCTAGTAGAAAAACTTTAGTTCGATGATTACGAATCGGCAACGATCATCTCTTATGTGGCTGGGCCAGATCGTCGAGCTGTGTACGCTCTCGCCTATCGCAGCTCAGCCACAACATTTTCTCCATTGATCCCTTTTTCTGTTTTCATTTCTTTTCTTTACTTTAGAAATTCTTTCTTTACCTGACTACTTCAACTTGGACATCTTTGTATTTTATATTTTATTTTATTTTATTTTATTTCCTCGGTGCTTTGCTTTTTTTACATTCCATCCTTGTTACTCTTAGCTTTGATTTTATTTTTATCAAGACTGCCATATAAAACTACTCTCAATAAGTTAAAAGTTGAAAGAGCACAAAATGTAAATATACGAAAATGGAAAGCAAGCTTGTGAAAGCGAATATGAAGTTAGGATTTTGTAGCCTTAAAGAATAGAGTTGAATTTGCTAGAAGAAACTAGTTGAATTCCATCTAAATCAGTCACGAATTTGCATATTAAAAACTTGAATTGAGTGTATTTATTGTATTCTCCTTAATAGTATTGTACCCTGAGCGTCACCTAAATTGCTTGAAACCTCGAAAACCGCTAATCAGAACGGAAAATGGTCGAAAAATATAGCTGACGATGAGATCTTAGAGTGTTGGGTTTATGCGAAAACTTAGAAAACCGTAAAATAGTGACCAACTTGGCTCGGCGGGTTGCAATGCTACTAGGAAGAATACGGTATGCGGATTAGAGACTAGGATTTACAAATAGAGAAGATTCTAATCGATAAAAAAATCTATATTACATCGTTTCATAAAGCGACTCTCCAATGTCCACGATTTCATCAATGAGAAAATCGAGATCGGCTCGAGTGATGGCCTGAATTTTTGGGTTTAGATTAGAAAAGATCTTCTTAATCAAAAAAAAATAAAACTTAATACCTGATTGGAGATAATCATTCGGAAGAAATTTGGCCTCTTTTTATCTGGCTGATATCCGACCATTGTAGTGCCTCTCTCCATCATTTTCGCCTTGATTTTTGGAGCAATCTGAAATGAGCGCTCATTTAAGTGTAAATAGAATTTTAATAAATACCTACTAGGTAGATAGAATTTCAATCTTTGATGTTACTCGAGTGACTCGTTTGACTCGAGTTTACTTACTTTTTCTAGTCGAGCCATTTTTTCAGCAAGATCCAAGCCGCGCATCTTTTGAGGAATATACCAAAAGCAAATGTTCAGAAATTCTGGCTAAAGTTTTAAAATTGAAACAAACGTTGTTTTAAAATCACATTGAAGCGCTTTTAAAGTTTCATAAGTCTTACCGGATCGACAACTAATTCATAGCCATCGGTGGCTCGGAGACGCTCAGAGAAATAGGCAGCCAAATCCATAAGGTAATTGATCTGTTTTCGATAGCCCTCCATACCCTAAAAATATCAAATATAAACCAGTAAACTTAGTGAAAACTTTTTTTTATAAACTTATAAACACCTTGCTTTTCCACATTAACCACAACTTGAAAGTGTCATTGTGACGACCGCACTGGATCGCCTTATCTCCTAGAATTCATTCACTTTCAATTTCAAACCAAAACTCAAACTACCGGTATCATAGTTGACATCATAGGGTTTATCTTGTTGGAAAAGGTAATCAGCTGACATTTGATTGCATTGGAAGAGCAATCCCTGAAAGATTCATAAAAAAAAGCAAAAGGATATGTTACATCTTGTCTGAAAAGACACGCTGAACATTGTAGAATGGCTCCCATCAATTTGTGTGGATTCCATGTCACTGATTGAGCTCTCTCAATACCTGGAAGTACTTTTTGTTTGCACTTTTTTAAAATCTAAAAATACCGGATAATTTGTAGCGATGCTCGGGTGAGAGAAGCAAACCGCCGCCCCAAGCTGCCTGAAATATTTCTATTTACCGTATTTTCTCTAATAGTAGTGCACCAAGAGAGTCGCCTAAATTGCTCGAAATCTCGAGAACCGCTTATCAGAACTTATCGATGTGGGGTCGGAAAATGTAGCTGATGACGAGATCTAGTGGGGGATTAGAGTGTTGAGCTTCTGCAAAAGCTTGGAAACCGTAAAATAGTCATCAACTCGGCTCGCCGGGGTGCACTACTATTAGAGAAAATACGGTATTAATCTTTTGAATATTTTCCATCATTTATATTTATCAATTTTTCAAAATTTACATCAACATGAAGCCAGATTCGATAACGTTCACAGATGTCGGCGATTTTTTCAATCGGATCCCATGCTCCATAAACGGTTGTACCGGCGGTGGCACAAACAAAAAACGGTTGCATCCCTGAAAGCACATTTCAATCTTCAAAAATCTTCATTACCCAGAAATACCTTCATTTTTGCAGCGAATAATCTGTTGTTCCAACGCTTCGGGAATCATTCGACCACCCGAATCGGTTTTGATGTAAAAGCAATGATCCGAGCCGATTCCTGTCACCGAAGCGGCTGATTTGATTGAATAGTGACACTTAAATAGATCAATATTTCCAAAATTCAATAAAACTTCTACATCTTGAGAAGTGAAACAACAAAGAATGGGAATTTCCCCATTCCCGAGATGTTTGCTCCTCGGGAACATGTGATGTCGAGCTGTATTCATGGCATACAAGTTGGCGATCGCTCCTCCTGCAATAGGATTGTTCTTATTGAAAAATTTAAATCAGATATGCTGATAGAAGAACCTGGAGCGTGTTACCTGGAGCAAAAAATCCCATCGGATTTTTCGGGATCCCATCCAATCGCCTCCCACATTTTGCGTAACACTTCTTTCTCCATCAAAATGTACACAGGTGCAATCTCGTAAGTGAACCTAGCAATAAAAGGAAATTTCAAAGTGAAATAATTTTTACAAACATGTTTGTATTCGCTGTAGCGGTCAGCCATTCACCAGCCATTGAAACGAGATCAAGACCACAACTAAATTTTAAAATAGCTTCAAGAATTGTCAATGCTTTTTTATTACTTCAAGTTTTAGGTATTAATATCTAGAGATCTATACTCACAATCAATACCTGATTTGATTAAAGAAGCGTGGATGTCCAGTTCTGACTCCGAGTGATAAAACTTGTTCACAAGCCTAAATTTCTCATAGTCAGCTTTAGAATTATCATGAATCCTTTGGCTGCCGTAATGAAAAAACAAAAATTGGCATAGAAAAGAGAAATTACATCCCTTGGGGGTGCAATATGTGCTCGTTGCGAGATTTTCATTTTGAGGTTCGTAATGGATAAGCAAAAAGGGGAACCTATGAAAGAAAGATTTTCGAAGAAAAAGGAATAAATAAAATGATGATGAATGAACCTTGACAAGCTCTTCAAGTGGTTGAGGCTCGTCAGGGATTGTCAAATCGATGATTTTCTTCATTTCGGTTGGATGATGGAATTCGAGGATCTTTGTTTCGCGTTGATTCTCCTCGCAGATGTATCTAGAAAAATTTGCAAATCTTTTCTACAATTCATATCTGAGAATCTTTTACTAGACTAATTATCTAATGTTATTATTTTACTAGATTTTTTCCATACTTGAGTAACACTTTGACGACTTCGCCGAGAAAAGTTTCCGTGTCTTCCCAGTTGTTCGATTGGGGTAAAATATCTGAAAGTCTTTTTTCTTATAAAGCTATTTTTACTCAATACCTGTAGCAAACAATTTAGCTAGTCTTCCCTTTCGGTCTTCATTTTTCGGTAATTGATCATTCGGTTGATCAGACATTCTCTAAAATCAGTAACTAGATATGTAAAGCAAAATTTGTACATATAACCAAAAAAAAAATTATATTTGTGGTCATGAGCTCGTTAGGTGGGCTGATCTGAACTCACTGGCGAAGGGTTTTCATTTTGGCCTCATCCCCAAAAAGGAGGCGGGCCTTTCAAGTACCGTATTCCGTTTTTGATTATTTCGGGCTTTTTTTTTCAGAAATGGGGTGATTATTTCTCTTTTATTTGAGCCTCGGTGTCCCTATATGAATACATCATCTAAGAAATCTTTTGAGGTCGGAAATTCGGGGGGAAAGTGGGAAAGGAAAGGGGGGTTTCCTTTTGAGATGAGTCCAAAGTAATCCTCGGGGATGACGCTCTTCTTTTTTGGAGCGATTCTTGTCGATTCTTCCATCGAGGATGAAGAGGGCTTAGGTGGTGTCGTGAGGAGTGCCGACCCTTGAGGTACACCCCCAAAATGAATCTCTTTTCTTTGGACACTCTAAAAATGCCAAACAAAATCGAGAATTTCCTTAAAATCACATGACAAAGATCCTGACAAAAAAAGTTTCCAACATGACGTTTAAGCAACGAGTCTTTACGTAAAAAGAAATTTGAAAGTTGTTTTTGATGATGGTGATGATAATAATACAAATAGTTTTTAAGCGTTGGAATTGTGAAACTTGTGGCGCCATTGTTGAAGTAAACACACTTATATTTTTAGTAAAAATAGTAAAGACAAAAGTCATCACTCATTTAGTGAACTTTATTGAATTTAGAACTTATGCAACTTACAATTGCTTAGCAGTCTTTAAAGAAGGCGTCCGAATTAGGACCGATTCTCATTAAAACCAATTTTCATTGAGTATCTCAGCTTACTTGGGTATCTTGGTTTAACGGGATATAAAAGTTATAAAGCATATAGTCAAATTAAAGGCAAAAATTGATTCCAAAAATTTGAGCATAGTGACGTCCAAATGGAAGGGAAGCTCAGTCGTGCATAACTCCTTCCCCTTTACGGATTCCAAAAGGAAAGCTCCTATACCGAGGCGGTTTTCTAGATGGAGAGCGATTGTGCGCACGCACAAAGAACATTTCGAACCACTTTCACTCAGGGATTTTTCTGTTGCTTTGTAGATGGCACAAAAAGATATTAAGCTGTAAATTTGTACAAAAATTATATTACGACAACTATCTGCGTTTTCCCAAAGTTTTGACAAGTTTTGGCATGATTACCGTAAATACTGTAATAGTATCCCACCTCCATAATGACGGTGCGGAGCGTTGCGTAGTCTAGCTTTGGACGCGTTTTTCTCGACACTGGTTTATGCTACAATGCGCGCTTAGGTATCAAAAAATAGCTGAAAAAAAAGGCTTCTTTTGATACCAAAGACGCATTTTTGAAAGTACGAGCGCTGTGAAAAAAATTAAATACTAAGAACTTGCGACTACGCGACTGTACGAGGGGTGGAGACAATTACAGTATTTACGGTAGGTATTTGAAAAAAGAAACTGTTTTCTGTGAATAATAGCAAACCGCATTGCCGTTTTTTTTTCGATGAAAACTCTATGCAATGCATCGATTTAAAACAAGCACAGGAAATCACACGAATTAGTCTTCATTTCTCAATCAGCAAACAGAAATCTTCTCTCAGCTAGCTTAGTACTTTCATTTTGTCCCACAAAAATTTGCATAATCTCCTTTTAAAACAAAGTTTGAGATAGCTGGGTTGATAGAATATCGAATGGAGAGCGTCTTTGAAACGCAAGGATTCTGTAATGTTGGAGGATGATGTTTTCAAATCGAAGTCGAGTGATTTGTCAAATGGTGCTTCCCCCTTTCGTATCTCCCCTAAAGTCAAAATCACTTACCGTAAATACTGTAATAGTGCCTTGTACAGTCGCGTAGTCGCAAAAGTTTTTTAGTATTTCATTTTTTTTCAAAGCGCCCGTACTTTCAAAAAATGCGTCTTTGGTATCAAAAAAATAGCCCTGAATTTCAGCTATTTTTTTTGATAAATTCGAGTAATCGTTTAGCCAGTTTTCAAAGGCTAGTTGACTAATCTGATACTTACGAAATTTTTGCAATTTCTGAGTCCTGGTTAAATGATTCGATTTGTTCATCGCTTTTAGACCCTTTAAATCAGATTATGTCATTCGTTGTGAAGATTTTCTTCCACTAAACTTCATGGTGGTGAAGTAGTAATGTTACTTCATATATCTATCCCTTATAATGTGGTTAAATCTTTTTTCTATGTTTGAAAGTGAAATCTTAATAGTTGATGTTCTTTTTCCCTATGCTTTTAGGATTTTTCTTGCCTATAGATCTCCTGACGTAAATTTGGTTGATTCAGACTCTATTAGATTTTCTGGCGCTACATTTTCATGACTCAATGTGTAATTTAGTGTTAAGTGATTTAAACTTTAAAGTTCCTTTCCGTAATCGTATCCCAGTTTTCGATTTTTACCATAAACCCACTATTGCGTTTAAAGAATTTTTGTCTTTTAACAGTCTCCATTTTTTAAACCGTTCTCTACTTTCTTGAGCTCTTTTTCTACTTTAGATGTCATCCTTGCCGATGATGAGAGAATATCTGATGTCGGAAGACTCTCGCCTTTGCCTGGATCCGGTCATTATGCCACCTGCCTTTTGATTGAGTGTTTTTGTCCCCCGCCGGAACTTCAAATCAGGTGCAGACATTTTAATAGTAATCTAGATATAGCGGCATTTAAATTTCTTTCTAAATATAACCTTTCGACTTTTTGTTTTCCTAACATCCCCATAGTCCTGAATAAAGTATATATATAGATAGATATTGACTACAAGTCGTTTTTATCATCTCAAATTCTGGATATTGAAACGAGTTGTACGCATTCAGGTCTACGTACCCCTAGTCATATTACTAGGGTAAAAAACTCGAGTACAAGCTCTCGTTAAAAAATGCGTATCACTTCTCCTTACTCTAATCCTCTATTTGAGCCTCATGTGCAAAAAGCACAATTTTACTTGGTATTTCACCATACTTTGTCATACGTCTATCTAGGGTTTTAGTAAGCCCCATTTGTAAATTATTTAATAAAATCCTTCTAATAGGGGAAGCGTCCGTCTCTTTGGAAGAAAGCGCTAGTTATCCCGTTATCTAAAGTCCCGCCTCATAATACTTTAAAAAATTACCGTCCCATTGGTTTAACCACTCCTTTTTCCAAATTATTTGAGATTTTATTGAAGGATAAAATCATGAATCATTTTGAAGAGCATAGTCTTTTCTCTACTCAACAATTTGGTTTTTTCCTCAAAAACAAGTTGACAGTTGACCAGTCTCTTTTAGCCTATTTGAAATTTATTAAAGTTTTAGATCAAAAACGTAGCCTTCAATTAGAGGCTGTTTTTCTTCATTATACCAAGGTCTTTGATACGGTTTCTCACTCCCTCCTTTTACGCAAACTTGCTTCATATATGCTTTGCCCCCAAATTTTAGGTTGTATAACTGATTTCTTATCAAACCGATTTTTTAGGGTTTGTTATGAAGATGTTTTGTAGTTCCCGTTTTCCTCTCCTAGCGGTGTCTCACAGGGTAGCATCCTTGACCCGCTTCTTTTTTACCATTTTCATTAATGATCTACCCGAATTAGGGTTTTTGGTCCCCAAATTCATAAATATGGCTTTATGTCGATAATGTTAAGTTAACATTTTAGGTACCGTTAAACTGTAACCTCTCTGAGTCACTACTTGCTTTTCAAGCCATTCAAAAGATATTTTGTTGGTTGAAAACTGGTCAAAGCCTTGGAAATTAAGACTTTCTCGTTCCAAATCCTCTCATTTTTTAACTGAGAAAAGATCTTTTCCACTTAGAATAGATAATAATGTTATAAGTTTAGTCTCAAAACATGAATCTATTCGTGATTTGGGCTTTTACATTTCTTCCCCGTTAAATTTTTCCATTCACATTGAGAAGATTTGTGCTAAAACGGTTTTTGTGCAAATCACATTTTGAGGGCAACCACCATACCTAATGTCCTAATGTAGGGATTTACGGGAAATGCTTTATAACCTATGTTCGACCTATATTGGAGTATGCCTCTATTATTTGCCCCCCCCTCAGTCTAAATCACATTAAAAAGGTTGAGAAAGTTCAAGAACACTTCACCCATGTTGCTTTATTTAAAATTGATTTTCTTAAATATTCACAATTAGGTTATAAAGAAAGGTCAAAACTCTTTAACCTACAATCCCTTCAACAACGCCGCTATATCTTAGATTTAGTAGATTGCTTTAGGATTGTAAAAGGTTTGCATCCTAATCCTCTTTTTCATAATATTCTCCCTCTAAATTCAAGGTGATTTACATCCAGGTGTAGATCTTTTCTTTTGCAGCAGTGCCCTTTATCTTCAGAAATTGATAAAAAAATTTCTTTACAAATCGAGTAATTAAAAGCTGGAATTCTTTACCAAATCGTTTAAGAGAAATCACTTCTTTATCTAAATTTAAATTCACTATTGAGTCATTGTATCATTGATTTTTCTACTGTCTTAAATGTTTTGTGTTTTATCAGTTACCTGTAAAATTATGATTGTGCTCGTGTATTATTTTTACTTATACTTTATGTTTAAATAAAATATCACATAAAAGTCCTCTCCTATTTAAGAACTGCATCCATTCAATATACCTTTCTTTTCTTCTCTTTCAAGGGGTTTTGGGTTGACAACTCTTTGGATAGTCTACCGTATCTTAAAGGTAAAAGAGTTCAAAATCGTTTACGGAGCCCTCTCAATCAAATCCATTTATTCCCATTGCTGATAATTCTATTATTTTTTGCCTTGGAAGCAATAACTAGGGAATTCGATAAAGATGACTGACTATATGGCACAAATGCTGGACGAATTGATGGGCCCATCAAGAAATGCTGTCGCCGGTGAATCAAAGATGACCTATGATCACAGAGATGTAAGCAGAGTTTATTTTCAATCTTAAAAAAAATTCTTTTTAGGTTTGCAAGCACTTTCTTGCTGGCTTTTGTCCAAATGAGCTCTTTCGAAATACAAAAGCCGATCTGGGAACTTGCTCTTTGGTTTGTGCAAAAAAACAATAACTTTTTACATTTCAACAATTTAAAACGAAAAACCTTTTTCAGCGACACGATGAACGATTGAAGCTTGAATACCAGAACAGTTCTCGTTTTGGTAAAATGGGATACGAGGAAAATTTCATTGAGAGGTGGTTAACAAAGAAATTTTTTCTTGATCGATTCATTTTAGGATACGCTCGCTTGATCGAGAAGTGAAACGACGGATTGAGAAGAATATGCAGCGCTTGGAAAGTAAAGTCATTATATATTTCTTGAAATTCTTGGTAAAATTGAAATATTTGAAATTTAGGTGACCTCAAAAATTACGATGGTGAAGCAAGCACAAAACAGGTGAGAACAAAAAGTGGATCTTCTAATTTTCTTTCTAATTTAGGCCGACGACGAAAAAGTCACCGAGTTAATGGAACAAATTGAAGAGACTTTGGCTGTTTGTGAAAATTTGAGAAAAAAGGCTATGATAAATTTAGGAAGCCCAGCGACTTTGCGAGTCGGGAAATGTCACCGCTGGTGAGGCACTTATTCGACAATCTGAAGCTCTTGAGGTATGGGACTCTTTGAAAATCTATAAACGAAAAAAATCTAATTAAATAGATTGAAATTTTCAGCAACAACGCAAAGTCATGCTGATCGACAAGCAAGAGCAACAACGAAGAATTGAGGCCACTGCACAAGAGTTGAACAAGCCGATGCATGTGTGTCAGGTGGGGCTTTTCAAGTAATTTTCTTTAAAACATCATTCAATTAAGTCCGAACACTTTCTCAAGCAAACATTCGTTTCTTCGTATTAAAAATATTTTTTTGCAAAGTCTGAGTGATTAGAAAGAGGTACGCCAAATTGAAAATCGTTATGCAGTGAAAATTTTTTGCGAAATTGATCACTTTAATAGGTGTGCGGATGTTTTATGTTAATAAATGATGCACAAGCACGAATCGATGATCATTTGATGGGCAAAATGCATATCACCTATCAACGAATTCGGACAACAATCGAGGATTGGGATAAAAAGAAGGTTAGCGATTTGGCTATTGAAAGGGAGTATGCGAAGTTTGTAGAAAGTTTTGTAGAAAAAACGTGACATATTATACAGGGTGTTCAAAAAACTTCCCCATTTCAACTCAAATTTCTGAGAAAGTTTAAGTGCCTCAAGTGGGTTTTGGTGTCAAAGCTTTTTTTTTTGGCGTCACAATTTTTAAATTTTTTTGGAGATTTTCCTGATTCCATGACCCCAGTACACGAAAAACTCATCAAAAAAAGCAACAATAGAGTGAAAGATTAGTTGTAGGCATTGAAGAGGCTCATGGTAAAAAAAATAATTACGGAAAAAATCTAAAGTTCTTGAAAAAAATGGACTTTAAATGGACAGCAAAACAAAACTGAAATTTGATGTTGTGATGGTGATGAATTTTTCATGGTCATGTAATCAGGAAAATCTCTAAAAAAAGTCAAAAAATTGTGACCCCAAAAAAAAGCTTTGACACCAACACCTTGAGTCACTTAAACTTTTCAGAAATTTGAATTGAAATGAGGAACTTTTTTGAAAACTCTGTATCTACACAGTTTGCCTAATAATAAAAAAGTATGCACAGTCCAAGTTTACATGTAAATTCAGGAGGAAGAACGAAAGAAACAGCACGAAGAACGAGAAAAAAGACATCAGGAGAAAAAAGCAAAAGAAAAAGAAGAACGAAGAGAAAAAGACAAAGACAAAGAGGAACGAAGAGAAAAAGACAAAGATCGGAAGAAGCGATCACGGTCCCGATCTCGTGATAGGAAAAGAAGCCATTCGCGGGACAGGTTTGTGCTCACAAAGTATAGATACATGGAAAATCCATTTAAAAAAAGTACATATAGGTATGAATATAATAGCTATTAAAATAATCAGTACTCTACTAGTGATCAGCTTAAGAAAGGTTCAGGCGAGATTCCCGTGATCATCATCGTTCAAGTCATCATCGTCATTCGGATCGGTCTGAGCGAAAGCACAGCCGAAAACACGATTAATTTATTCGTCTGATAGATTCACTTTTTTTGATTAGCTCATTTTTTTCCAATTGCCCACCATCTTCATAAATCTCCATTGTAAACCGGTATACCTTTTTCTCTGTTCTCTTTATTGTTAGTGAATTTAATTCTTTCATGTTGAGATTTCCCTATCGTTCAGCATACTTTTGTAAAAAGCGTTGTGCTATTGCTGTACTGTACTGTAATTTATTTTGTAAAAAATCTTAGTTGTCATCGATTCATGTTGTTATTTTTTTCAAATTAATTCATTGCCGGTTTGAAAGAATAAAAACGGAAATACTTGATAGAAAATCTCAGAAAAAATGTGAAAAGAGGAATTAGCACAAAAAATATTTCATTTGACGACAAGGAGCAGAAAAATTTCACAGGATTTTTAAATCACTAAAGAGTACACGTAAACAAAATACATTTTGGGAAATTTTTGGATCCAGTTTTGACAGTTAGTGCAACAAAAAGAGTTGAGCAAAAAGCATTAAGACAACAGGCCATAAGTGAGGAGAAAAATATAGATCTGGGTTGCTTAAGTATCTATTTCTATTCAATTATCACATAAAAAACCTAAAAAACTCTTCCTTTTTTTAAACCGTTCATAACAAGAAGCTCTCTGTCTGCATACATAGAACATAGAAATGAATTACTCCGACCAAACATGGCAAAATTTGACCTACATTTTTTCAAAAACACCCACTTTCTGGCGTACTTAATGTTGATGTTGTGAAAATGAGAAACTGTGCCAGAGAAAAAGCGTTTGCAAAAGCACAGAGTACAAGCGAATTTTGACGGATTTAGGTTCACTTTTTTTGGTTAACTTTTTTTCAAATCAATGAGAGGTAAATGATTAAAGAATAGAAGTGGGAAATATAAACAAAAAAAAATAATGATAATAATTTGGGAAATGCAAAGTAAAATAATCTATCTAGAGTATAATGGGATACACGTTTCGTTATCTGCCTGAAGGTTTGCCCCGTGTTGAGTCGATGTTTCTGATGAGATCCGTTTGTTGAACTGGACCCTCTTCCTCTTGTGAAAAGGCGTAACCATCTAAAATTTTTGAAATAAACTCTTTTGAAAATTGAGCATTTAATAGTGAAACGATGAACACGTCAAAAGTTTTATGAGTAGTTTTATGAGTTCGACGGGCATTTTAACAGTTAGGAGAGTTTAAAATGGTTAAAGCCAAATTAACACTAGAAAAGTATGGCTAAAGTTGAGAGCGTGCAAGGGTAAAAAAGTGAAATTTTTGCTTAGGCATATAGTGAGAAATAGACTGGGTTCTTCTTGAGTAAAAGTGTTATTGAAAAAGTCTATAGAAAAGCTATCGTAGTCTTTTTTTAAAAAATAACCCAGCTTTATCTAGATGTGCTTTAAAATTCTTTTTGAATAGCTTAAAGAATAACACTTTTTAATCAAGAGAAAACACAATTTAGTGAGAAGAATCACTGCTAAGAAAACTAAGAAAACTCACAACGCGTTTGCTCTTTTAGAGCTATTGATTGCGTACTATGACAGGTCACTAAAGTTACTTTTCTCTTTAGAAATGCGATTTGTTTAAAAAAAAAGAAAACGAACGTCTAGTTTGTTCTTGAAGAGCCATAGATGATTCAGAGTGTCGACTCAAACGATCTCTCATTCTATGACGAGACACCATCGATGCATGACTGGAAAGACGAATACTAAAGGGGTTTTCTCATTACCCAATTGCTCGAATGTTTTGCTGCAATTCGTATTTTGTTTGTTTGCTTTTGTTTTAGTTTTTGGTGGCAGTCCTTGACTTTCTCTAAATAATCACAAGCATGCACTTGCAAACACAAACAACAGTCAGAATTCAATCAAATTTTCATCATGTTTTTCTAAAATGAAAATTTAAAAAAAAACAGACCCATTAATGCAGAAGAGTAGATGAAAATGCTGAAAGGAAAATAAGGGGGAAGAATGGAGAAAACGAGTAGGGATCATGAAATCGATTACAGAATAGGTTATCAAGCACACAGTTGAGAGCCATCTAAAAGCATTACATATTCATTTTCAATCAGACAACAATATCCCATTTACGTGAATGTCTTAAATATTGAAAATACCTTGAGAGATTTCTGATGAAATCATCGAATGTTGATTTGAGTGACGAAGGGATTCTCGTCGCGTGTGTCGAGATTCGGATTTTCGTAATAATTTTGTGTTTGCCCATTCATTCTTAATAAAGGTATCGCTTTATGTTCATCTTCTCGACTTCTTCGAGTGACAGTGGAAGTGTTTGGGGTAAACGCTTGTGAGCGAATCGTCGCTGGGATGTTATCGATTGATCCGTAGTCGGCTGCCAAATTGTCGAACCCTCCAATGGCACCGGTTTGTTGCTTTGTGTTTATTATTTTCTGATTTCTATCCGACAATATCTCATTTTGAGGTGTTTCCCTGATCTCATTTTGCATTTGTTCCAATGTTGGATGCACTGCTTTGTGTGATTGTGAATTCGCCTCCCTAAATGTTTTTTTTCGATGACCCTCTTTATTAACCATATATCCAAAAGCAAAAAAAAGCTTCTAGTGATGCCTAACTATATACAATTATTGTTTAAACTACGTATTGATACAATGAACATATGCGTGCAGCATTGAACAATGTGCTAATTGTGAAAGACATTGGACAACCTATTCGATTTGGACAAAGACAAAGACAAAGAATTTATTGATAAAAGAATGAAAAAGATTAACTAAAACTAGTTTTTAAAAGCTGTGTGAATAGAAGAATATTGTAGAAGAAAACGAGACAAGTATTTCGGAGACAAGGACCGCCACCGGAGACAAGGACCGCAAAAAAAAAGTGCGAGTTCCAATAAGACATTTCTTTTTCTAATTCATTTATCAAAAGAAAAAAAACAGAATCTAGAGCTTATACAATACCTTATTTATTGTATAAGCAATACTATAATATGTGCTAAATAAAATGAAGCTAACATGCTGAATTTTGTAGAGAATTCAAACCTCGTAAGTCGTTCAAACCCGTGTCGCTTTTGCATGAGCACCGCCTGTTCTCTGGGAGTAGGATACACGCTTACCATAACACTAAATGTGATTTAAAAGATTGAATATAAAAGATTCTATTCTTTACCTTTTAATGATCAAATCAGCTAGAAGAGTAGTTGTTGGGATGAAGATTAACATGAGCCAAAAAGACGGTGAAGAGCACATAATGTAAAACATTCCTGCCATGTCGGCACCCAATTTTAAGGTCGGGAAAAACTGAAATTTTGTTTTCAAAATCGAAATTCAATCGAATTTCAAACCAAGCTATAAATCCAAATGAGTAAAAACCATGAAACGATTGAAATGAGACAAAAAGCACCACAAATGTAAGTCCAAGAGTCGGTTTCGAGGATCGCTTTCAAGCATACTGTCACCACAACGAACTGAAATCATTTTTTTTCTCTTTAAAATTCTTTTGACTTACTGTATATGTACAATTGCCCAGCATTAGCCACCCTCCCGTCCTTCCATTACTCCAGGCAACCTAAAATGAAAGTAAAAATGAAACGAGAACTTCTCACTCACTCCTGTATCCAAAAAGAAATAGGTGAGAAAATAGAGAACGAGTGAATGATAGATGGCTAGACCAATCCAACCGGCAAATTTCTGAAAAAATCAACTATTTTATGTAGATTTTTGTTAACAAACATCCATAGTGAAGGCCCTCTTTTGAAAGGAGTAGTAAAGAGCGGGAAATCTCAGCATTTGATCATCATTGATTGGACGATCAAAAAGACCTAAAGAACAAACTTTATGCAGGGTGCTTAATATTTATGGCCACTTTTAAGCTCTCAGAATTGATTTATGAAAAAAAAGTCCTCAAGAAAGCACTGCAAAGGAGTTGTAACAGCTTATTTTTACAGTTTACTAAATTTGATATTCTAAAAGTTGATTCATTGGAATGATTCATTCAAAAAGTCCTCAACAAAGCACTGTAAAGGAGTTCAAACAGCTTATTTTTACAGTTTACTAAATTTGACATTCCAAAAGTTGATTCATTGGAACTTGATCACAAAATTTCACCAAAAGAATTCAAATCCCAGTTTTTCTTGTTTAACGATGAGAAAGTCTTCATTATTTAACAGTTTTAGAATCTACGAGATATTAAAAATGTTAGATCACATTGAAGATTAAACACTCTGTATTAGTTTTATTGAATAAAGCTAACCAATAATCAATGGAGGCCATGCAGTGAAGATCACATTGAACATCCCAATAGTCCAACGTTCAAAGATCGTTTGACCTGACCAAGCCGAGAAGAAGGCAAACCTATTAGACTCATTTTTCTTGTTATCATCAAAAAATTACCATAATTCGATAATATATAAGCAAATGTTTTTGTAGAATGAATAGAGGATCACTTTCACTGATCGATCATAATCCCAAGAGCCGTGAACAAGAAGCAATCTTCGTAAGAAATGGAATTGAGCAATCTGAATGGTCATCTTAAAGATTTCGAAGCTTTCACTTACTGCATAATCACTGGCACTTGCTGCTTGTAGACCTTCTTCGCCGGAAATCCCAATGCCAACATTTGCGGCCTGAAAATTGTTTTGTAGTGAAGATATTTCTTGAATAAAAACGAGAACCCATGTGTACTAGACATGGGGAAATTCCAACCCGAACCTAATTCCATCTTCATTTTCTCAGCCGTCTCTTGACCGATTGCTCTGTTTGTCTACAAGCAGAGAATACCAATTTCTATTTGTAAACAAAATTTTAGAAAAATCGGTCAAGAGACGGCTGAGAAAGCGAAGGTCGAATTAGGGAGGGGTTGGAATTTCTCAATGTTTAATGTTCACCTGTATCATTGCCACATCATTTGCCCCATCTCCAATCGCTAAAACCACGTGATCGCCAAGTTTTCGAACTAGATCCACTACCTGAATGGATATTTTTACTTTTTCATCACCTTTCTTTACAACCTCAGCTTTCTGCATGGGACTCATTCTGCAGCAAACCACTGATCGACACAGTAAAGCCAATTGACCGAAATATTCTCGAGCTTCTCCGGTTAATGCGTGAACAAGCGATTTACCATCGATCACCATTGCGAATTCTCTATAAAGTTTTTTTTAAAAGTAAAGAAATGAAAACTATAAACCGTTGCTGTTGTTCAAGTTCTTTTGCTCTATCAACAAATTGAACAAGTTTATGATAAGTGTCATCATAAGTTGCCTTGTCGACAATGAGTAGCTCGGTGTTGTTATTGCAGAGAGCACAAGAATGAGCTAAAATTTCTTGAGTTTGAGTTTCTTTTTGAATTTTATGGATTTACGAAGAGATCTACATGTAAACTTGGAAATTATTTGTAATTTTAGATACCTTACCAATATTGATAGCTGTTTCTCTTACAAATATTGATAGTTGTTTCTCTTACCAATATTGATACCGTAAATACTGTAATAGTACCCCACCCCCTCGTACAGCCGCGTAGTCGCAAAATTTTTTTATATTTAATTTTTTTCAAAGCGCCCGTACTTTCAAAAAATGCGTCTTTGGTATCAAAAAATAGCTGAAATTCAGGGCTATTTTTTGATACCTAAGCGCGCATTGTAGCATAAACCAGTGTCAAGAAAAACTCGTTCAAAGCTAGACTACGCAGCACTCCGCACCGTCATTATGGGGGTGGGGTACTATTACAGTATTTAAGGTAGCTTTTTCTCTTACCAATATTGATAGCTGTTTCTCGTTTGTCTCCTGTGAGCATCCAAACGTGAATATCCGCTGCCATTAAAGCTTGAATTGTCTCCGGTACATACTAAAAAGATTTTATTGTTTATATCCTACTTTTTCTTGTTTTTTTATATTATTTTTTATATATTTTCTACTTCTTGGAGTTTATCTTCAATTGCTGTTGCTCCAATCAATCTCATTTCTTTTTCAATCTCTTCAGCCACATCTTCCATTGCTTTTTTTTCTTCCCTCAATCAGCACACCAGCTTTCTTGAATTTCGGTGACCATTGTGAGTAAACACTCTAAAGCTTTCTTTCTTTAGTCTTTTAATAATCTTTTTTTCCAATTATAACCTCATCAATTTCTTTTGATGCAAAACAAAGTGTTCGATATCCAAACGATGCATATTGTTCAAGAGCTTCTTTCACAAAATCAAGACTTTTTCGCGATCCTGCGGAAACGCGTTCGAAAATTGCTGTGTCCTGAAAATATTCTAGAATTTATCTAAAGCCAAAGCACTTACAGCTCCTTTACAATATAATTTGATCTTCTTATTTTCGTCGCGAACGATGACACTCATTCTCTTTCGATCAGATGTGAACTCGATCACATCAAGAACTTCAAAAGAAACATCACGATCAAACTAAAATTTTGATTTTAAAATGGTGTTGATGTTTAATGCTTAATCATGAAACTGTTTTTTTAATTACCTACCAGATTGATCACAACTTTTTTGTGGCTGACGTGTGTGGAAGACAACATTTTGAGAGGCGGCTCCTCGAACAAGTGCTCCTTCATCGGGAGATGAGGATTGATAGAGAATCTGAAGTTAGTTGCGTCAGTAAAATTGGATATTGGATCAATGCATATGAATTTGATATTGGATATTGGATATTAGATCAATGCATCGTCAGTGATATTGGATCAATGCATATGAAATGGTTAATTTATATAAATTTCTCCACAGCTATTTAATTTCTGTTTGCTGGAATGAAAAGTTATAATCTTAAATCTTAAACTAATAACAGCGGGGCAATTTTTTGATTTGAAATGCTAGAGAAACTTTTCGATCATTGGAGTCAACCCAACTTTGCTTACCTTAATTTTTTTGATTGGTTCTACTAGCTCGATATTTTTTTAATCAACATGGTTCTATTCAAAGATTTCCATGAATTTTTATCAATATGTTTTTCTGAGTTTTGAAGCGATAAAACAATGAATAGCAATAGATTTCTTAATGAATAATTAGCTTTTTATTGAAAGCTCTTCTGAAAATCATGATTTCTTGAAATATTTTGTTCTACAGCTGAAATCTTTCGTCAAAAAGCTGATAACTTTGCACAACTTTTCACTAGCAACAAATCATAAAAGAACTTTTTAAAATCTAGTGATTGGTTGGGAAAATCAGAAATCAGAAAATCGATAGCCATTTCATGACAATGATGATGATTACCTCATCATCTTTCTTCTCAGGGACAACCGTATGACATACAGCCATCATTGTCAATAGTTCGCGGATATCTTTCCCTTCAGCAGTTTCCTGAATGATTTATCTAATCTTTGATTCATTTACACCACAAACTTTTCGAGCATCTTCAATTAAATGCTCATCGTGGAATTCTTCGCCCGTACTCTCGCCATACATTTTGCTTCCAACTGTGCATCTGAAAAAACATTCTATTTGTTTTCTCAAAAGTTCTCAACCTTTTGAACTTCATTACATTTCGTGTCAGAGTGCCAGTTTTGTCGGACATCACAAATTTTACCTGAAGAATGTTATAAGATAGTTTTTCTTTTTTCAAACTCACCAATCCCAATTCTTCATTCAAATTGCTAGTGCGGGCAATTGCTCGCGAATCAGTTCTTTCATCGTACATTTGAATATCCCAATTAATGAAATAAGCCTAGAATTTGATTTGTAAAAAGCCCATAAATACTCTAATAGAGCGCCACCTCTTCGTACAGTCGCGTACATTTCTTTTCTCTGTCTCTAGATTTTTCCCAACTACACTTTTGACATCAAAAAATACTAGATTACAAGAGCTATCATTTGACAAAAAAGCGCACACTGTAGCTTAAAGCAGCGCGGAGAACAGGACGCGTTCAAAGTTAGACTACGCGACTGTACGCACGTTTATTAGAGTCTTTAGGGTAAGCTTTTTAGTTTACCTGAAAGAATCGCACCATCTCGAGTGTGACTTGAAGAGAGATTGGAATGAGATTATTGTAGAGAATGAAAAAAGTGATTGCGTTCATTCCAAAAGGAAACCATGACAGAATTGCTGGACTGCTGTTCAATTTGTTTAAATACCATGCTTGATCCCAGTTATTTGCGTTCCAAATCTGAAAACAATTTCATTTGATTTTCTCCTTTTTTAAATAGAACCTCTTGTCCAGCAGCTGAGAGAAGAGCTAATGTAACGAGGACTCCAAAGAGAACAATGATTCGTCGATTTGTCATTCGATCAATTGTTCCACTTAAAACGATAAACTTTGTGATTTACAGAAATTTAAAAGTTTTACCTCTTCAAGGGAGCTCTTTTGCTGTTCATTAGAAGTTTTGAATCGTGTCCAGTATAGATGACGGCTCCATAAATCCATCCAGTGTTCTTTAGACGAGCACCACGAAGCAGAAGTTGTTCCATGCCTAGTTATATCCAATTGCTTTAGCTTTTCATTGTTCTATTACCGAAATGTTTAATCTGTTCCTGATAGATGAGATTTCCCGAAAACTCGTTAACATTTCTAGACGGGAGCTCACATTCGATCTCAGCCCCACTCAGCTTTTGCACCTCGTTTGACGAGGTCATCTCGGCTGTGATTGGTAGAGCCTAATAAAGTGTTTTTTATGAAAGCTGATCAAAACAAAATAATGTGTTTGCGATTAAGTTTATTTGTGTTTCTTATTTTCATTGCCTGTAGAAAAAAAAATTAGCTATCTACTGGATTTTTGAAGCCGTTTAGAGCAAATCTGGGATGATCAAATGCCAAAAAAAAAAAACGAAAAATGGCTTAAAAATAGATTAACTGAGCTTTTCTCGACACCAATTCTGTTTTAAGTGATCGCAAAGTATGCAAAATGTCGAATTGAATGCAAAATTTTATTCTGCATTCAATAAGAATAAGAAACACATAGAAATTTAACCGCAGAGGGGCTATTTTTGCCTGTTTTGACCAGCTTCCTTTTTTTATTTTTATATATTTAATTTATTTCATTATTTTTAAAAAACCTGTTTGATTTTGAGATTCGTTTCCCCGTCAAGATTACTCGTTTCGATGTAGGCCATTCCCTGTGTCTCACTCGATGTTAGTAAAAGGAGATCGGCGGGAAATAATTGATCGCAGTTTACCCTCAGAATTTCTCCAACACGAACCTGCAAAAACATTCATTTACTACCTTCTACTTTTCCCTACCTCTTTCCATTTGATTTGCTCAAATTGTCCACCCTTTAATGCACAAGTTGGAAAATTGTTGACCTTAGTGTCTGAAGCTCGACGTTTCTGAAAATTGAAAATGAATTAAATGAATTAATTAAACCTAAATACTCTAATAGAACGCCATTTCCTCGTACATTCGCGTAGTCTAATTCCTTTTTAGAAAATCATTCTCTTCTCTGTCTCTAGATTTTTCCCAACTACACTTTTGATACCAAAAAATACTAGATTACAAGAGCTATCATTTGACACCCAAGCGCACACTGTAGCTTAAAGCAGCGCGGAGAACAGGACGCGTTCAAAGTTAGACTACGCGACTGTACACCCGTCATTATGGCGCTGTATTACGGTATATCATTTTTTCGCTCCTGTAAACACTCACAATATCTTCAAAAATTTCTTTAAGAGCTGAGATCGACAAAATGATGACAAATGGCACAAGAGTTGTGTAGCGACCGGTCGGTGAAATTCCATGAATTTGCTAAGATATTTGCATAAAATTTTATTTTATACTTTAACAAACCTGAAGCAGAACAATGCAAAGAAAGAAAATGTTTGAGTAGCGACGAAATTGCTCATAGAGAAATCGCGGGAAAAATGAGAGAATGCTGTACTTGCATGTGCTGAAAACATGTAGATGTAGAAAATATTGGAACAAGATTTTGAGGCAATACTTTTGTACATTAAAATTAAGTAAATCAAGCAATACACATTGCGCATTATGTTTAAAAGCAGTAAAGTTTACGTTTAAAAATCACCTCAATTGGACTTCACGCATCTATTTAATCGTTTCAGAAAGTCATCAAAAGCTTTTCTTTTTTGTTATTAATAGATTGTATCAAGTAAAATTTCGGTTTCAAATCTAATCACAGAGCTTTCAACAAAACTAATGATAGTATCTTTTAGAGGAAATCTTTACTTTTAAGATCTAAATAGAATAATTCAAGGCGTTTAAATTAGGCGCTTATCTGACATTTCATTTCAGCCTACTTCTTATTCCATTGACAATCTAACTTTAAACTCAAATATCTTGCTCAATTGCTTCAATCAGTTGCTCAATTGAAATCCTTATGATATCATTAGCTTTCTCGTGTCTTCGTCTGGCGATTGATATAAAAAACATTTCAATCGGAGCAATGAGAGAGAGAGATCACAATCAATAATAGTTGTAATACCTTTGAGCAACCCTGTAGGTATTAAAGATGAGCTTTTTTTTCTTTTAAAGTCAACTTTTTGAAACTATCTAGGTCTTTTGATGATCTTTTCATCAATCACCTGATCACATTGTTTCGAAATTTGTGCTGTTGATCTCGATTGATGTAAAGTCGTCGAACCGATGGACGATGTGCGACATTCGGCGCGTCGGGAGGCATCAGTCCTGAATTGAATCAATCTAATTAAACAAAACAAATGAAATTGTATTGTATTTAACTTTTAAGTAAAGCTCAATTACAAGCAAAATGTCTCCGATTTCAATTGTACCAATTACAAAAGCCCATTACATAATAGAGGCTATTTATAAAGGCAATTATGATTAACGAATAACTAGCAAGCTCTCGTAAGCTTTAAAAGTATGAGTTGAGATCGAAAACTTTTAAGATAACAAACCTCTAACGTATCCTTTTTATTCGGAGGCCTTTAAACATAAAGACTTGTTAGGAAAACGGCTCTCAAACCCTGAAATTGAAACAAATTCATACGATTTTTAGGTTTTTAGAAAGTTGAAAGATATAAAAAGGATAGATATCTTCTCTTGAAATCGATTTATGCATTCAAGGTCATTCATGATCATTCACATTCCATTCGCCTTTTTTTGACGCGTCTCTCTCCCGGAAATTTTTCTCCAACATAAAAAAACAGGTCTAATCAAGCAATTTTAAGCCATAAAAAATTCAAGATTTTTTTTTTTCAAAATAAATAATTCAATAAAAAACAGGGAAATTCGTGATCGTGTTTGTTTTCAAAATTCATTTGATACGAAAATTTGATGGATCGATCGCTGAAGCAAAGGAAATGAGTGATAAGCAATTGACCCTAATTCTCTGAACCGATATCAAAAAAAAAATATTTGATGAAATGTCTAAAAAGGTTTTTCAGATATATGAAAAAGTTAGTGAAAAAGGTAAATGATAGATTTCGACACAGCGAGATTTGTTTCCGTGAATCATGGGAAAGAAAAGGGATAGGAGTGAAGGAGAGAAGAGTCGCGCACTTCTTCGTTCTATTATTGATTGCAAAGTATAATACAGAAAACATATGTGGTCATAAAAGTAAAATACCCCATCACTGTTTTGTTTGTTTATTTAGCCAAAAAAAAGAAGAGCTGGGTAAAGAAAGGATTGGTGGGGGGAGGGAGGGGAGGAGAGGAGAGGGAGAGGAGAGGAGAGGAGAGGAGAGGAGAGGGAGAGGAGAGGGAGAGGAGAGGAGAGGAGAGGAGAGGAGAGGAGAGGAGAGGGGAGAGGGAGGGGGTGAGTCGTGCAAAGTAAACCCTTGTATACTACTTTGAGTCGAGTTTTTCAAAATACTTTTCAACAATGATTCTTTAAAAAACGAAAAGAAGAATATAAATCGATGAAGTTTCCAATCTATAATCGATAGAGTGACTAAATGAAGTGAATTGATGAAGTGAATGTTGAGTGTACATGAAACACAAAAATTTGCCCACATAAAAACTTTTAAAACAATAAACATTTAAAATCAACGGAATAAACATTTGGTTTTTTGTAAATTAGAAACGGAAAGCATAATTAAAATCAATGTTATTCAAGAAAATCAGGGAGTGGGACAAATGCGACCTTTCTTTTGCGCACCCGGACATTTGCGCACCTTTTTTTGCGCACCTTGCCCATTAGCGCACCTTTTTCACGTTTTAAAAAAGCTCTAAAAAGCTAATATTAACCAATTTCTATTCCAAATGTTGTTTTTCTAGGTAATTTGAGGGTGTCAAATTCAAATTTTGACCTAACAGAGCGTGTGGAACCAATTTGAAAGAAGGCGATAAGGTGACAATTGTTAAAAGAGATTTAGTCCCTATTTAGTCCCTATTTAGTTCCTATTTAGTTCCTATTTGGTTCCTATTTAGTGCCTTTATAGTTTCTATTTAGTTCCCAATTACCAATTTGAAAGACAAAACGGCTAGATCAAATTACAGAAAATTGTCGATTTTTCTCTTTGTATAACTCCGTCCGTTTGTTTCCACAAGCTCTGATATGTCAAAATTTCGATTCTACGCCCTAAAATTACCTAGAAAAACAACTTTTGGAATAGAAATTGGTTAATATTAGCTTTTTAGAGCTTTTTTAAAACGCGAAAAAGGGTACGCTAATGGGCAAGGTGCGGAAAAAAAGGTGCGCAAATGTCCGGGTGCGCAAAAAAAAAGGTAGCATTTGTCCCACTCCCGAAAATCATAATAATAAAACGTTTTTCTTTTTTTTTCAGGCATATTTCCAGTGTTTATTGCAATTTTTTGGTCTAACAAGTAGCCGAAAAAGCCTAAAAGCCTAAAAGCCTAAAAAAAAGTCGATTATATTCTCTCTAATTATCTCTAAATATTTCTAATTATTGTATATATGATTTGTACAAATTGATCGCTAATAAATTCGTTGTACATTTAATAATCAGAAATTAATACACACAACAAGATTTGTTTCGGAGAATCTGTGAACAATGGTGATTATTTTCGCCGCTTTAGAGTCTTTGATTCTTATTAGTTTGATCTTTGATTACTCGATCACAGTTTGTTTTGATTTGGAAACAAGCTAAATATTTCAAAACCTAGAATAAAAAGAATGCTTGACAGTCACAAGGACTTGTTTTCTTTCTTGAAATTTCTCTAATCATAATAACCTAGATCGGAAGTGGACTGTTTATGCCACGTGTGGTATTGAGAAGATTTCATCGAGAAGCAAAGAAAAGAAAAGAAAAAAAAGAGTGAGTGATTGTCTCTGTATCTTTGATTTCCTCTCTTTCTCACTCTGACGGTCCATATCAGTCAGTAGCCTTAGAATAGGGCAGATGAGCGCTCAAAGTGCTCTCCACTTTCGACGTCATTCATTCATTCTTTCGCTATTTCTTATATTTTACTCAGAATTGTTTTCTAGGGTTGAGTTAAACTTTTGATTGGGTCTACTTGATTGAAAACTTTACATTGAGGAAATGAAAGGGCACTGGCTTTGATCTGAAAACACAAAGGCTTAAGATCAAGTAACTGCATTGAAAAAAAATCGCTGTCAAAAGTCTCGTGATTAATAAATAAAGCTAGCGAACTCCTAATTCATAAATAAAGCTAATAAGTGAGATTAAGAGACAAGTAAACTTCAATAAAATCAAAGCAGTGACGTATTTTAGCTTCAACTTTTGTCTTATTAGTTTATTCATGAAATACTTTCGATCATCTGATCACGAGTTCAATAATTCACTTCTTTTTCTCCGAACCTATCACCCGAGTGTCCATTTCGAGAGAATTGAGAGTCCCTCATTTTCTTTTTTTGCTTTCCCTTATCAGTTGAGGCGACCGGCAAATACCAAGAAATCACCACCATATAAAGATAGCTTTTCTTTTCTTTTTACCTTTATTTCCTTTTTCTGCTTCTTATAAACTTATTAGGGGATCAACAAGAATTCTTTTTCAACTTTAACCACAATCGATTGTTTTGTTCATTTTTGATGTCTTGTTGATAGAGAGAGAGCTTTTTGGTGAGCTCCTGATACCAGTGAGGACAGGACAGAGTCCAGACTTTGTTTGGCGTTGTTGAAAAAATAAAATGCACTTATTTATATTGCAAATAACTCATTTTTATATAGATCTAAACACACAAAATAGGAAAACGAACAATTTTTCAGAAATTTTCAATGGAATCATCGAGAGAATCAACGTCAAAACTTGATCTCGCTCAAAATTGTGATCACGAGATAAAGGAAAACTTTGAAAGCAAATCTGAGAAAAAGAAGTCGAGCAGTGAAAATTTGGTGGTTGGTGGAGTGGCTGGCATTTTAAGATTCAGCTCATTGTCATTTTCAGTCGTGGACAAGCGCTCTTTTCCCTTCACTTCTCATCCTTTATCTCTCTTTCTATTCATTATACAAAACACAAAGAACAGAGAGTATAGATGATGCTAAATGCTACGCAACTTGTAGGTGAGCAATAAATATTGATAAATAATAAAACGTCGTTGACATTGATCGACTTTGAAAGGTCAATTACACCAACAGACTCGCTTTGGTGGACTTTTAAACACCACATGGTTAGTGCAATGGTGGGTTAGCCTTTTAAGTTGATTTTTTTTTTTCAAAAAATGATTAAGCAATTTAATGATATTATTAATGTGCTTTTATACTGTATGAAAAGTTTTTTTTATTTTTGTTTTTAGAATAAGCATAGCGGAGAGTATTCCTACTAATGTTTCATTCCCGGGCGCACGCATTCCGGAATCGACTTTTGAAGCCTGGAGTCGAATTATTGAAAGGTAAACTAGTTATATTTAAAAAGCACAACAAAATTTCATTTTGATGGAATATTGAAACATTTCAGAGCCGAGAAAGAACTTGTAATTGCCGCATATAAATCGAGTCTACAAGGTCGTCATGTTCTCAGCGATCCACACGATTTTCACTTTGCAAATGAAGTAATTCAATCGATTTATTTCATAGAAATAGAAATAGAAATAAGTAAATTGAATAGAAATAAACATTTCTTAGGGTGACGCCATCTTTGAACAATTAAAAGAGAAGGGAAATGTAATCAAGATTGGAATGGTTGAGAGCTTCCCACCAAAAGACAAAGGAGACAATGAAGATGGGAATATTTTGGAGGATCTTGGTTTGAGATCATTATGTTTTTCAGCCTTGTTTTTATCGAAATTTAGGCTTGATTGAGCGTAGAAAGTTGGAGATGAAAAGATTGACTCGAAGAGATGGGAAGATGCATTCCAAATTTCTGCTCGCCGATGATCGACATTTCTATTTGGGATCAGCAAATCTCGACTGGAGATCGCTCAATCAAGTAATTGACTCACTTTCTTTCTTTGAGTAAACGAAAATCGAAATTCAGAAAATGGAACTCGGTTTTGTTGTGGAGGATTGCCCTTGCTTGGGCAAAGATTTGCGCTCAATCTATGACACTTATTGGGAGCTCGCTGTTGGGCACAGCAATACACAATTGGCCAAGTATTTGCACGCATTTTTACTTTCAATAAAAACTCTTTAGATACAATAGCGAAAATCCTCTAAAACTGTCGATTGATGGAGCTGAGACTCAAGCATACATTGCGGTAAAAAAACTCATAAAACTTTCGTAATTAATCAGGTGAAAAACTCGCCTAACGGCTGGTTTTTTTTGGGGGTGACACATGTCACTGTGGCGCACTCTGGAGCGTCCATTTCTACAGCGTGCATTTCCATTTCTATTTCTATTTCTACATCCGGGTTCGACCACCGGTTTGACCAGTTTTTGGCTTAAAGACGGCTGAGAAAATGCCCGTACAGACAGACAGACGGCTTTTATATATCGTAGATACTTGTTCTTTCAGTCTTCGCCGAAACCGCTTAATGCCGCCGGTAGAACATGGGATTTGGAAGCGTTGATCGAAATTCTTGACTCGGCCAAGCAATTTGCTTATGTTCATGTGATGGATTATCATCCACTATTTGTCTATCGCAAACCCAGAGAGTTAGTTTTACTTTGATTAGAAATTTTAAAATTCAAATGCAAAATTGACTATAATTGTTTAAAGGTTATGGCCAACATTGGACGATGCTTTACGTAGAGCGATCGCCCGGGGTGTGCATGTCAGAATCCTTTCGGCAGCTATTCATCATCCTGAGGTAAGGAAAGGTCTTCAAAGTTGTAAAATAAATCTTTTCAGCTTGGCATTCGTTTCCTGAAAGCCCTTCAAGATCTTGATGGCATCAATAGCAATGGAAGTGTTCAAGTGGTAAGTAAAACTTTTGTTTAAAATTTGCTACTTATACAAATTTCAGAAGATCTTCAAAGTGCCACCACCCAGTGAAACGGAGGCGGCGGTGATTGTGAGAGATCGACGCACTCACAACAAAGTAGTGGTGACTGGAAGGAGCCGCTGTTGTTGGTGAGAGTTTTGCTTCCTCGTACCATCGATCGCATGGCTTCTATTCTAAAATTTGCGCGTTTTGTTTTGTTCATAGTTCTTTGTTCATAGTTCAGTTTTTGCTGTCAGCAAAGCGATAAATCGAAAAATGGGAATTTGAGTGTAGCGATATGGGAGGGATAGGGAAGTCACAGCTGCTTTCATTTTCCCTTCAAAAATATCGGAATCAACTTTGATCGGGTACTTCGTGTCTACCCTTATCTCTCATCCGTTTTTTTTTGTTTTATTCTTGATACAAGCCGTGCGTGCGTCACAGACTCTTATCTAGGACTCACAAGATCGCTCCTTTTTTTTATTTATAAATTTAATTTGGCTACCACTTATCGGAAGTCTTATCAAAGAGAATTTGAGAAAACTAATCAAAAATAGGGGAAAGGTCATGTGAAAATCAATTGAAACATTGAATATTTTTGAATATTGAACATTGAATATAAACAAAGTTGAAAGTTGAACTTTTTAGGAACTTCGAATTGGTCGGGTGATTATTTTGAAGGTGGAACAACCGGTACAGCCTTGGTCGTGAAACAAAATGGTTCAAAAAGACCATTGGTGAGTTAAAAGTTCTAAAAGATGAATGAATGAATCAAAAAAAAATAAACTTTAAATGTAAATTAACCTATTAGACTTGCAGAAGAAACTGCGGGTCAAAAAAGCAACCATACAAGGACTGTAAGTAAAGATGATCCGGGTTGATTAGTATTTTTAGAAACCCCAATATCTTCTCTTTTTAACGATATAAAAAGAATTTTACAAATCTTCCTTTTGAAAAGGCCAGTGGAATTTTCAAAAAAGACACCAAAAATGGCCTGGCGGAGCCGAACTTCAACTCAAGATTTCTCCACGGTTTTTCAAATGTTTTGTCACTAATAAGAAATGAAAGAAGTTTACTAACTAAAACAAATAACATACAAATACAAATTTGTTCTTTGCGTACTCTTTGTTAAAACAATTTGAAAATCAACTTAAAAACCAAATTTGGGCCCTTTGTTTCAGAGCCACAACTCTTCAAAGGAATATTTATAATGGAATAGTTCACCGAATTTGTTTTATTTTTCTGTAAATAGCTTCTATTAAGTTTGGGCTTTTGATCTGTTAATAATTTAGACCAGGGTTTCGTCAAAAATAATGCTTTGTTATAAATTTAAGCCGCCGTCAAGTCGTTTTTTGGTACCTTTTTGAAACGTCTATATTCCGCGATCACTGTATAATTCTATTTATGCCGTTAAAAGAAAAGATATTGTGGTTTCTAAAAATACTAATTAAACGGGATCATCTTTACTTACAGTCGTTGTATGGTGACTTTTTTGATCCGGAGTTTCTTTTCTAAGTCCCTAATATTAGGCTCTCCAGAAAGTCTTTTCGCTCCTTTTCGTACTTCCGTTTAAAACCAACAAATGAATTACGGTTTATTTCATTAGAAAAGCCAATTATTTTTCTGCAAAATAACATTAAAACGGGTTTTAAATGTCTTATGTATGGACTTTTTTTTGGGAGCATGAAGTCGAGTAGTCAAAAGGACGGCTCAATGATGTGGTTTAGACAATTTAGCTAAGGAAACCAGTTTTTGTGTCAATAGATAAAAGATAGAGCATAAAAAGTTTGGTATATAGCCAAATTTTCTGAGAAATTCATTCAGCCAATTTCTTCGTAGAGGTTTTTTTTATAGTTTTTTACGAAAAGCACGTGTTTTCACTCTCGAATTTGCTTGAAAGTGAGCCCAAATTGACTTAAAAAGATGGAAATTCAACAATAAACATTTTTTATTCAGAGGAAACTATAGGTTAATTGGTGAATATTTGTTATTTTTCAAAGGAAGTTTGAAAAGGAACGAAAAAACTTTCTGAACAGCTTTAATATTAACAAAAATAGTATACAGAAGAATGTGTGCAAAGATTTAATGGTGTTTGAATTCATTTATAAGCTAAATGGAAACGTGTATGTATTCTGTCTTCAGGTATCACAACTAGCTTCGGTGTTTGAGCGCAATTGGGACTCCGAGTACGCTCATCCTGTCGTCGACTATTTTGAGGTTTTTTTTAAAAACTTTCCAAATAAAATATCATATTTGGAAATACAAACTTATTAAACAAAAGCTATTCACTTAAACAAAAGTTATTCACTTAAAGAAAAGCTATTCACTTAAATAAAAGTTATTCACTTAAAGAAAAGCTATTCACTTAAATAAAAGCTATTCACTTAAACAAAGGCTATTCACTTGTAATAAACTCTGTTTTTAGTACTGTATTCGCCAAAGAACGGCCAGTTATTGCGAAAGTGTGAAAGATCCAAAGCTCTTCGACAATCGCAAATACTAAAAGAATGTATCTTTGTAAATAGTTTTGTAGTAAAAATTTTATTTTTTCCATTGCTTTTTTCCATTTGCTTGAGATTTCTATTGGCACTGCCCATTTTTTCACAAAACTTCCGAGCCTCACTCTTACTTGTGTACTGTTTTTTTTTTCTCTCTCCCCACTTTGCTCAAAGTCATGTCATACTAGTGAATTACACTCACGGGTCACTTCCAGGTGATGCTTCAACTCTTATTCACTCGTATTTTCGTCGATCATTGTGCTTTTTTGTGTTTGCTTAATTTTTTTGATAAACTTTTCATGTCATGGTTAGCTCAGATCCTTAGCTTAGCTTCAATAGCTATTTATTTTTATATATGTCGTAGCCGACTATGAATGAGCGGGTCCGGACGCGTCCAACCATCAAGTATTTGGTATCATTCAACGCAGAATCATTAATAATTATGTTAAATTTTTAAAATTAGAAAGATTGGATAAAAAGAAAAAAAATTATGGGGCCTCAAAGTTTCCTCTTGAACAAACAGTTTTTTGCTCTAATTTTTTTTCTTTTTATCAAAACTTTCTAATTTTAAAAATTTAACATAATTATTAATGATTCTGCGTTGAATGATACCAAATACTTGATGGTTGGACGCTCCTAGACCCACTCATTCATAATCGACTGAAATTCATAATCGGCTACGACATATAAACAAGTTCAATCGATTTGAATAAGTTTGAAATTTTAAAAGATAGCTGAAAGGAAAAGACTTGCATATACACTTGTATACTTGCAACCTAATTTCCAATGAAGAAATGGAGAAATGGTTAAGTGAAAAGTGAAAAATGGAAATGGAAGTTCGTTTCCCCGGTTTTCTAATTGGTGAAAAGCGCTTTTTAAACGCAAAAACAGCTAAGGAAAAAGATGTTTAGAAGAAAAGATCCTTTTAGATGAGTTGAAGAAGAAAAAGAGAAGCGAAGATTGGGGGTTGACTGAAATGGGAATAGAAGAGGGACCCCAAGTTGCTCTTCAAGTAATTGCCCAAGGGAGTCTCCTCCATCCAGACTCGCTCCCTGCCCCACACCCATTCAATTTTTTCTTGTCTTTTTCTTATCGATGTATTGTTTCAACAATCAATCCCTATCTTTTATCATTCCCTAAATAATGGCTAATCCAACAATCTACTTTTTGATCACTTTTGCGGGTTTTGTCGCCTTGGAAGCGCCAGAGAAAGAAATCGTCAAAATTGGGCTTGTTTATCAAGTTTGTTTAATAAATTGTTTAAGAATAAGGTCATTTTGTGTTCTCAAACTTTCTTTTCATTTAACTTTTCTCCATTTCAATCTATAAAATCTCATTTTGTTAGAAAAAAAATCGCTTTATTGGTAGAAATCAGTTTATTAAAACTGCTAACAAAAATGATCAGAATGAAATTTTTATCTTAAAAAAATCTCGACTCTTATACCCTCGGAATACAGTAACCCAAAATACGAATTGACTAAGCTTTAGCTTTAGTTTAACTACCGTAAATACTGTAATAGTACCCCACACCCCTCGTACAGTCGCGTAGTCGCAAAAGTTTTTTTAGTATTTCATTTGTTTCAAAGCACCCGTACTTTCAAAAAATTGCGTCTTTGGTATCAAAAAATAGCTGAAATTCAGGGCTATTTTTTGATACCTAAGCGCGCATTGTAGCATAAACCAGTGTCGAGAAAAACTCATTCAAAGCTAGACTACGCAACACTCTGCACCGTCATTATGGGGGTCCAATTACAGTATTTACGGTAGGTATAGAAAAATAGAAAAATAGAAAACCCAAAGTCTAAAAAATCAAAGAAGGCAACAAAGTCGAAAAGACAAACTCTACAAAATCCTTTTATTTAGGGCTACACAAAGTCAAAGACTTATGAAAAAACTTTTCGCACCGTCATTCAACAAATTGGAGACACAGCAAAAAGCTCGTTAGTCGAAAATTTGAATATAAATCAAAGCAAAGAGAAAACTTTGAGAACGATGCGAAAAGTGGGAGCAAAGTATGTGTTTGCTCCAGTCGACTGTACGGTACCCCGAGGAATGTTTTATGTCTCTCATGTTCTTCACTGTCTCTGTGATGTTTTTGTCAAGGAAAAAGTTGGGTTTAGAAACAAGAAAAATGAAACAAGAAAAAAAAGAAACAATTTCCACCAAGCTTATTAGGTTGCTGTGATAATTTTCATCACTTCTACCGAGGAATTTGATAGCTCCACAGCCGCCGCTCAGGTCGGGCAAAAATCGAGAAAATAAAGGAAATATGATAGAGGAAAAGCTAGAGAATAAATAGAGAAAATATAATTTTGACTCATACCCACAGAATACAGTAAACGGAAATACAAAAGTTGTACTCGATTGAAAATCGAGTACAACTGCCTCAAACCTGCCTCTGCTAGCAAACTGCAAAGAATTTTAGTATTTTCTCACAATGGCTTCTCACACGGGCATTCCGATCATTGCATTTAATGCTGACAACTCTGGCTTTACATTTATTAAGGTAGGATTGGTTGAAGTAAGGCTTAAAGCTTTAACGCTTTCAAAAAGCTACAGCTTTAAAGCTTTCAAAAAAAAGTTTTAGAACTTGACGCCGTATCGAATTTTACAATTTGCTCCACCAATCGAACACCAGATTCAAGTTTTTTCCATAAGAATCCACCAGAAAATTTTTTTTCAGGCAATGCTCGCTTTATTGAATCGATACAATTGGAGCAAATTTGGCGTCGTAGCTAGCAATATGGCTGGTTTGGAACATCTAATTCTTCTAATAAATCTTTTCTAGGAAGCAATGAGTTCATCGAAAGTGTCTACAGCGAAGTTCGCAAAGAAAATCAAGGTCGACAAGGAATTCCGTAAATAAACTCGATTTTCTATTAATAGTAAATTTAGTCTTGAGTTGATTTTTGATTCTGTTGTTGATACGTTGAATGCTAGCCATGTTCATTCACAAATGGCTGAGCTGAGAAAATCTCAAGCAAAAATTGTACTCCTTTACAGTACTGGGGCACAAGCTAAAGTCATATTTGAGGTTTATTTTTAAAAGAGATTTATTAACAAATATTTACCTAGAAAGCTGAGAGTTTCGGTCTACTTTCTGAAAAATATCTCTGGATAGGAACTCAATCTGTTAAAGGTAAAAAAGGAAAATACATTAATAAGTTATTGAAAGATTTATTAGGAATGTTTGACACTTTCACTCCGCCAGTTCAACCAGGAATGCTGAGTATCAACTTTTACACGAAAGCCGATTTGATTGCGAACTCTGATGACGTGGTGGCTTTGAATATTGGAATGGCTCCAAAAGTTTGATTTCAATTTTAAACATCATAAACCGAACAAAGCATTCAGCTATTTGCACAATCGTTGGTTGGATTGAACGACTCGGCAGAGATTTCTCTTCAATCTGATGCTTCATGCAAAGCAAATGAGGGATCAGCCAGCTGGAAGAATGGAGCTTATCTTTACGAGTAACATTAAAAAAAAAAGTCTTACATAATTTTCAAGCAAATTTACTTTAGAGCTATGAAGAATTCATCGGTCAAGGGCTATCCATATCCACAAAAAGACAGTCAATCGGCGTTTGTTTTCAAATTCGATAAATATGGAAAGCTGAAAAACTCGTTGCTCACGATCTCAAATCTTCGACTAAAAACCAAAGATCGACAGATTTATTTTTGGGAAAAGGTTGATGTAAACGGTGATAAAGACTCTTTTTTGATATCTAGGTTGGAGAGTTCTACAATGGAGAGTTGAGAATGCAGGATGTACAGTGGCCGGGAGGGAAAGCCAATCCACCACAAGGATCAACAGACAAATTTCATGTTAAGGTACCTAAGAGTTTTTTTTTTTAAAGAAGAGGCCCGAATTAGGACTGAATTAGGATTCTCATTGCATCTAAAAGTTTAGACTAATTAAACCCGAGCGTCAATTGGTAGACTCAATAAAATGAATAGCGCAAAATGATTCACCGACCCTGAAAACCCCCGGGTACAAATTTACACCTCAATATCTTCTTTTTATATTATCTACAAAGCATAAGAAAAATCGCTGTGTAAATGACTGCCGAAATGTTCTTTGTACGCGCGCACAATCGCTCTTCATCTGGCAAACTCGTCTGGCATAAGGGACCTTTCTTGCTTGGCTTTTTTCTGGTTGGAGATAAGGATGAGAAGCGGTGGGCGATTGAGGCAGCTTCGTCATCTGGGGCGTCACTATGTTCAAACTCCTGGGAGAACTTCCTGCCAAAAAATTGGCTTTATTTTTTTCTAGAAACAATTTACCAATTCTAGGTTGTGACACTTCATGAGCCCCCATTCATCACCGTTTCTGAGCTCGATCCGGACACAGGACTTTGTCCAGGAAATCAAGTGAAGCCTAATTTTGAGTAATTTCATGTACATTCAGGGCTCATTATGTGATTGGGGAAAAGAGGAGATCGACATTGAAGGAAATAGAAAGTAAACAAAAAAAATTTTTGCAATAACTCATTTGAATGCTTTCAGAAATCGAACATTGACTAAATGCTGCTCGGGGTATTGTGTGGATTTGTTGAACAAGCTGGCCAACGACATCGGTTTCACATACACTCTCTACAAAGTTCGGGATGAAAAATGGGGACTTAAAACAGTTAAAGAAATTGTTAGCTTTTGAGAATATCTTGAAAATTTTTCTAGGAAAAGGGTTGGAATGGTTTGATCGCCGATCTGATCAATCATAAAGCTGATATGTGTGTTACATCTTTGAAAGTTCGTATTTATATTTGCGAATCTAATTTTGAAATTCAGTTGAACTCAGAAAGAGCAAAAGATATCGATTTTTCGATTCCATTCCTTGACACCGGAATCTCGATCATTGTCAAAATACGCAGTGGAGTGCTTAGTCCAACAGCATTCCTTGGTTTGTTTTGAGTAGATGCTTGAAAACATTTTTCTTTCTAGAGCCATTCGAATATTCGACTTGGGTTATTATTCTATGTGTTTCAATCCAAGGCGCTGCACTTGCAATTTTCATTTTTGAATGGGTTTCTCCATATTCATTTAATATGCAACGATACCCTCCACCCGGTACAAACATTCTCGAGCAATTCCCAAATTCAAACAAACTTTTGCAGATCATAAATTTTCTCTTTGCCGTTCTTATTGGCTTGTTTGGGCGACTCTCTTCAGCGCTAGTGTTTCAACAGGTTTAATATCTAATCATAAATATTTTGAATTGAATTTCTTCTTGTTTACAGATGTACCCCGATCAGCTGTTTCGCGTTGTATGGCCCTTGTATGGGCGGCTTTTGGTCTCACTTTTCTCGCTGTTTACACAGCAAATCTTGCAGCTTTCATGATCACCCGAGTTCAATATTATGATTTGTCTGGTATTCACGATCCAATGGTGAGTGAGAGCTGCTCTTTAATCATCTTTTGAATTCAAAACATAAATTTTCTCTTTGCCGTCTTTATTGGCTTGTTTGGGCAACTCTCTTTATTGAGAGCTGCTCTTTAATCGACAGATTTTGAAGTCAAATCATAAATAAATAACAAAAAACATTTAAGCTCATATATCCCGAAGATCAAAAACCACCATTTCGATTTGGCACTGTGGATGGGGGAAATACACACGAAACAATGAAACGGTTTCACTAAAGTCTAACAATTACAAAAAATTTTTCTTTAGCAATTGGCACAGAATGAATGATTATGTGGAAAGAAACAACTTTTTTGTGCAAAATGTTTCAGCGGGTGTGGAGGCTGTGAGAAATGAGTACGTTCTTGTGTTAACTGCTCAAGTGGCTCAAGTGAGCTCCGTGGCCGACTGGCTAAGAGCCCCGTATCTTAGTCGGGAAGTCAAGGGGACAATCCCGCCGGTTTTGATTAGATTATTGGTTCTTTTTTCCATATGCAAGGGGCTTTCCCTACATTTAGGTCTTAGGTGTTATGGTGTAGTGTTTGTACTACATTATTCTTGTGAATAAAATCTAAAACACTCGAATATTTTAGCCAATTGGATGCTTTTATTTATGATGCTGTCGTCATCGATTATATGGCTGGAAAAGATCCGAATTGTGAACTCACAAGGGTTTACAGAAAAAAAAACAGACTTAATTCAATCGATTTAGGTGGGTAAATGGTCTAGTATGACTGGCTATGGGATTGGTTTTCCGAAAAACTCTCCTTATGTGCAAATGGTGAATCAATGGATGTTGCAGTATCAACAAAATGGTTTTAAAGAGCGAAACGTTTTTAAAGAAATCAACTTTTAGGAGATTTGGAAAGGTTGCAAAATTTTTGGCTAAATGGCGCTTGCACTCGAGACGGACACACGCAAACACAAAGTGCACCACTTGGAGTCGAAAACTTCATGTCGGCTTTTCTCATGCTTGGCGGCGGAATTGTTTGCCTTTGTTTTAATAAATTAAATTCCGAAATATTCTCTAGATCATCGCTTTAATCGTATTGGGATTTGAGCATATCTATTGCCATCAATTGCGAACAACTCTGCAAAAGCTTGACCCTCGTGGATGGTGTGGAATTGTGAGTATGGTAGGCGAGAAATCAAGAGTTTCATTTCAAATCTATCAAATAGGCAATGGGGAAATCGTTGACATTACAAGAAGCAACAGAGCGAGTGAAAGAATGGAGATCTAGAGCTCAATCCCTCGCTTCTACAGCTGCTCCCACTTCACCGCTCAGTCGACGGACAATTCCATCACAAAAAGCTCGATCTCGTGGAGGGTTTGTTTTTAGAAGATTTAGAAGATTTAGAAGATTTAGAAAAAGAGTCAGGAAAATATTTTCAATCTTTTAGTAGTGAAGCTTCGATGAATTCGAGACGTTGCCTCTCTCGATCTCCTCTTTCAAATCGGAAATCTCAGTTCTTGAATGTGGAAACAATATTTTGAAAGCAATAAAGAAATTCGACTCAATTTTGAAGCAAAAGAATTGCAGACAGACAAATGACTCATTCATCGGGCACAGGCCAAGAATGGAGTGTGGAAAGGATGGAGAGAGGTGTAAGCGAATACATTTCTGTCGACCCACCCCGTCCATCTTTTCCTTTTCCCTTTTTTTGTTGTGACCACATTTCCCTCCATTTTTCTCTTCTCTTACCATCTTTTCTCTATTATTCAAATTAGTCTTTACCAGTTAACTTCTTTTTTATTATCATCTTCCAATAATATTTAATATCTATCTTTTCTCTTTAATATCTATTTAATATCTATCTTTAATATCTATCTATCTATCTAAATTGAACCACAGTTTTCCTGTTGTTTTCCAAAGTCCATCCATTTTGCATCTTCCAGCGATTTCTTTTTGGTTTACAAAATCAATTCAACAGAGGCGGCAAAAATTTCTTTTCCTTTTTCTCTGACGCATTTTGATTTCGATTTTTTAGTGGATACAAATAGTGTTTATTTGCTTTTAAACGAAAAGATACGCAATGCCAAACTATAAACTCGAAGTATGCATTGATAGCTTTGATTCGGCAATTGCTGCTGTGGAGGGAGGTTTGTTGCAGAAATTTAGAAATCGATTTAAAATCTATTTAAAATCTATTTAAAATCAATCTATAAAATGAGCGACAATCAGTGAATTTTACGTAATAAGAAACATTTGAGGTGCAACTCAATTGGAAGTATGTTCAGCTTTGCCTTTGGGTGGATTGACTCCGTCGATCGGTGCAAATAAGCATATTTCCTTTTTAATCGATCTTTATAGGACTCGTGAAAAAGATTTACGACAAATTCCCGATCACAAAGATGATGATAATGATAAGATGTCGAGGAGGAGACTTTGTTTATGAAGAAAATGAGGTATCGATTGGGAGAGTTCAAAAAAAAGAGCTCAGAATTTAGATGTTAACAATGCTGGAGGATGTCGCCAATTTAAAGCCTTATGCCAGTGGATTTGTTTTTGGATGCCTAAACTCGTAAGTTTTAATGAAATTTTTCAATTGTTAAGAGAAAATTTAGAGATGACACGTTGAATTTGGTAAATTGTGGACGATTACTTGGCGTCGCGGCTCCATTGCCCTGCACTTTGCATAGAGCATTTGATTTGACCGCTGATTGGAAAACATCTCTTGATGAAGCTATACAATTGGGCTTTACATCCATATTGACAAGGTATTCAGTCAGAAAAAAAAATGAATATAGCAACAAATATATTCAGTGGTCAATGCTCTCTGGCTATTCAAGGCATTGCTTTGCTCACCGAAATTGTCGTTTATTCGGGAACGAGAATTGAAATCATCGTAGGTATCGCAAAAAAAAACTTTATTTGTATTTTGAATTCATAAAATTGGAGGATCTGGTGTGAGTGAGGCGACTTTACAATCATTGATCACGGCGACAAATGCGCGTGCATATCATGGATCTGGTAAGAGCGGCATATCTAGTGTTGCACTCAACAAAAATCATTTTCTCAAAAACCAAAAGAGTTCACAGTTTTTTTCGTTTAGATATTTAAAATCTACCGATATTTTTCACCTAGATTCATGAGTTAAAAATTTAAAACTTATAAAACTTTAAACGTTATAAAACTTAGAATCAAAAAGAATCAAAAAAGACACCACAACCATGTATGTGGACACAGACACTTTTGAGACCGGTACCCCATTGCCATTCATTCATGAGCTGACAGAGATACAAGTTGTCTGATGTGATCATCATTTCATCTGCTCAGCAACATTTTTTAATTATTTTTTGATTTGCGTTGTAGATGGGGAACATGATATTTAATTGTTTGAATGAGAGAAGCGAAATCTTTCGATTATTTCAACAATTTCTAAATCATTTCTTTAAAGAATTGTATGGATATTTTCGAAGGTTTAAGCAAACTATTCTTTTTTTATCTAACAAAATGTTAACAATATTCTATGATATTATCTATATTTAAAACTGTAAACACTTTTACATACGTCAGCTACAAAATACGGTATGTAAAACTGTAGACACTTTTACATACCGTATTTTCTCTAATAGTAGTGCACCCAGGCGAGCCGAGTTGGCGACAATTTTACGGTTTCCAAGCTTTTGCAGAAGCTCAACACTCGAATCCCCCACTAGATCTCATCGTCAGCTACATTTTCCGATATTTTTCACCTAGATTCATGAGTTTGTGTAAAAATTTAAAACTTATAAAACTTTAAACGTGATGCTGATCTCAAAAAAAATAAAAATTTGTCAAAAACAAAAATGTCAAATTTTTGTTAGCCAAGATAAGCTCACATTTGCAATAATGAAGCTTAAAAAGTCCTAACTCTATAAGTAATTAACTCTAAAAACGTATTAATGCAGGAAAAGACGAAAAAAGACGATTTTTAGAAACCCCATACTCGAATTTAACTGTTTTTCAGCATCCTGCCGCATAGCATTTTTGTACTCCTCGGCTAGGGTTGTTAAAGTCATTAAAAAAATGTTAAGATTCTTCTATTCTATGTAAAATTACGCGTAGATTTTATGATTAATCGTTGTTTTTCAGCTTAGCTTAATATATTGTCTTCGAAAGCCAAAAAGACGCATTAAGCAAACTATATATACCGTATTTTCTCTAATAGTAGTGCACCCCGGCGAGCCGAGTTGATGACTATTTTACGGTTTCCAAGCTTTTGCAGAAGCTCAACACTCTAATCCCCCACTAGATCTCATCATCAGCTACATTTTCCGACCCCACATCGATAGGTTCTGATAAGCGGTTCTCGAGATTCCGAGCAATTTAGGCGACGCTCAGGGTGCACTACTATTAGAGAAAATACGGTATATATAAACAGAACTTTAAACAGAACAGAGACAGGACTTTCAAACGAGAAAATTAGTTTCTATTCATGATAAATCACATTTAGGTTCGATAATTGTGCCATCTCGGGCTAGCGAACCGACTTTTTTTCATGGGATCTATGGATTCTCAGGTTTAAACAAAAAAAGAAAACTTATTCTAACTAAAAAAAGATTCTAGGTTCGAAAAGTTACGTGTAGAGATGCTGTTGTGAAGATGGTTCAAATTTTGCAAAGAAACTTTTTGTAAAATTGTACTGAAATGTTGATGCAAATAGAAAACGTCAATGAAAAAAGTGATAATTTCCGAAAATCTGAGCATTTTCTATTTGAAATTAACTTATAAATTACACTTAAATTGTTTTAAATGCTACAGTGAAAATGCATTTGTTGTTAGTGTTTTGAAAATTTACTGTTTGTTGCCTGTCACGAAGTGCATTCATCTTTCTTTCTCTTGTACTCTAGTTTATTACGCATTAGATTTCATTTTTCTTGTGCTAGAATTAAAACTTTCTTCAAAATATTTACTCTCTGAAAATTTGTCGCTGAAAGTTTACGCAAAAAGAACTTTACGTCTTTCTCAAGACGAATTTTGAGGTTACTTATCTTGTTAATTTGCTTTTTACTGCATCTTTGCATAAAATTTTATTATGATTTAAAAATTTGATTGCAGGTAAATATTTTGAAAATATTGCTGGTCATGACAGGATTGGAAACATTTTGACACGATAATTGGGAGAGAGTAAAAGTTTTTCGTCGTTTTATGTCGATATTGAGTCTTTTAAGTAGAGAGTTGAGCTTTTTTTTTTTGGATCTGTCGCTAGCCGTGGCTCGTTGTTCGCACGGCCGCAAAAGAACTCTCCAAAAAGGGAACCAAAGTAGTGTTTACGTGTGCAGCGAGCGCAAAACACCAAAAAAAACAGCAACCTTTGAGAATTAAAGGAACGATCTCTGATTCAACAAAGATCTTTGATTCATTATCTTATCGATTACTCGTTGATTGCCACTGGGATTTCCTTGACCCAATGATGTTCTTTCTCTGCTAAGATATTTCACAATCGATAACCCTTCGATTACCTTGACCTCTGCCCCTTTTTTTCTCCCCTTCCATTATTTTTCTCCGCCTTTCATTACACCACTTTCTCTTTCTAGGTATCAACAACACTCCCCTCTGTTCCGTTTTTTGTTTCCTTGATTCAAAAGGAACAGCAAAATACCCTTGAGTAAAAGCCGAATTCCAGCAATACGAGTTGGTAACTTTCCAACCCTGAATTCTAAAATACACCTAATCTACCGTACTTGAGACGGCGCCCCCCCTTTCCGTCTATAAAATAAAGTCCCATCCCTTCAAAATTCATTCTTTTGAAGAATCGTTGCCCGGTCGGGCGCTTCTCTGTGTCTTTTGCGCGTGTATATTCCCCTTCCTCTATCCCCTTATAAAATCCTGTTTATTGTTAAAATTTTCCTCCTTCTCGGTTTCTTTTAAAATTGTTAAAGTTTTAGAATTTCTATACATTTCCCGGTCCTTCCACTTTGTTTGTCTTCGGACACATGTCTTTCTTATCACCGATAAAGTTATTAAAAATCTAAATATCCTTTTTTCTATAAAGGCTAGACAATCCAACCCAGCCGCGAATCATCTTGTTATTCCTCTCGTTTTGGCAAATCATTTGGAATTAGTGTTTCTGGGTTAAAAGATTTAGCAGTTTGGGTAAGATTTCGACCCAGAGCTTTGATGTTTTGGGCCGCAACATGTTACTCTTGTTTTCTTTATTTTTCCTCAGTTTTTATATATTTAGCAATATAATTTTAAATTCAGGTGGCTTCTCTCATCGCTCGGCTATTTTATACAGCAACAATGGCTCCATTAAAGGTGACAATTGTTGGATCCGGAAACTGGTTAGTTCGAAATTTATCAAGTAAATAAGTAGCAAAAAAGATCACAAAGAGTCAAAAAGCGTAAATATAACATTTCATTTTAGGGGATCAGCAATCGCAAGAATTGTCGGTGCAACAACGAAGCAGAATCCGGGAGAATTTGACTCGACCGTGAAGTAAGAATAGTACCACGTAAAAGCGACTAAGCATCATAAATATTAACCAATATTTTTCATTTTTTAGGATGTGGGTCTTCGAGGAGATGATTGATGGGCGCAAATTATCGGAAATCATCAACGAGACGCACGAGAACGTGAAATATTTGCCCGGAAAAATTCTTCCCGACAATGTGGTGAGAAAGTTTGAAAATTTTAATACACAAAACCGAATTTTTGTCATTCAGAAATTTAGTCCATAACTTTAGGTGGCGGTTCCTGATTTGCTCGAGTCGTGCCAAGATGCAAATGTGCTCATTTTTGTTGTTCCTCACCAATTTGTTGGCCGTATCTGTTCAACACTCAAAGGAAACCTAAAAGCTGATGGCGTTCAAGCTATTTCATTGATCAAGGTTTATTTTGAGACACGTTATATCTTAATTTGATCATTTAATGCAAAGAAATTAAGGGAATAGCACCACTTGAAACGGTTTGTTCAATCTCTGCAACTTTTGAACTTCTGAAATCTTTCCTCGGTTCCCCATTAACTAACTCGAATAATTTCCTTTTAAAATCCTGTATGGGGCTTGACAATTTCAGAATCATTCATGTAATAAATGTCTACTTTTAGGGTGTTTCTGTGCGAAAGGAAGGCGGATTGAAACTTATTTCTGAAGAAATTGAGGTAGAAAGCTTTTGATTTTTATTATTTTAGCATTTTATAATTTTACTATGGCTTTTAGGAAGCGCTCGGCTTGGATTGCTCGGTTTTGATGGGAGCCAATCTTGCGCCAGAGGTTGCAGCCGATAACTTCTGTGAGGCTACTATTGGTATTTGTTTTTGGAAACACTTTAAACTATTCTAAATGAAAGAAAAATAATAAAATTTCATTTAGGATGTAAACAAAGGAAGGACCAGGGCCCTATTCTCAAGAAACTTTTCCACACACCTCACTTCCGAATAAATGTTGTCGAAGATGCTCACACTGTTGAACTTTGCGGTGCTCTGAAGGTATTAAAACTTAATGTAAATACATAGAACCTTACTTTGCTTATGAAATTCAACTGACAAAGCCAATTTTAGAACATTGTGGCTTGTGCTGCTGGATTTTCTGATGGACTTGGTTATGGAGACAATACAAAGGCGGCCATTATTCGATTGGGACTTATGGAGATGACCAAGGTATCAAAAATAATTTAATAAAACATACCATAACCAAACATTTCAGTTTGTTGAGCATTACTACCCGGGATCGAATTTGGAGACGTTTTTTGAATCTTGCGGAGTGGCTGATCTCATCACAACTTGTTATGGAGGAAGAAATCGCAAAGTTTGCGAAGCTTTTGTAAAAGCTGGTGGAAAGGTTTACAATTAGCAAATAATAAAAAAAAGATTTTTTAGCCACTGGCTGAGATTGAGAAAGAGTTATTGAATGGTCAATCGGCTCAAGGTCCACTCACAGCTGAAGAAGTTTATCTGATGATGGAGAAGCAAGGCGGATTGCATGATAAGTGAGGATTTCTTGTTAACTAAAGCACTAATTATTCAATGCTAGTTGGATATTGACTAAAAGGTTTAGAGTGTTTCATCTGAATGAAATTCCAGGTTCCCACTGTTCACGGCTGTGCACAAAATCTGCTCTGGAAAAGTGGAACCGACTGGCCTCATCGATTGTCTCCGAAATCATCCTGAACACATGCGTGACTTCTAGGATGTTTAACCTTTTTATACGACTAGTTATTTCTCATACGGTTTCCCCAAATTGCCCTTTTAAAATTTTCTGACTTTTTAGACTCAATTCAGGCTTATTCTTTCGCAACGTAGTCATTTTTGTGATGCAGTTTGTATTATTAGCTCTTGCCACTAAAACCAGTAGAAATTTCTTTGTGACATTATTTGTAAATAAACAACAGTAATTTTTTATGCACAGTACAAACACATTTAGTTCTCCGGATTTTGTTGCAAAGATGTATGAAGCCAAGGTGACGGATAAAAGATCTATAGTTTTCATTTAAATGAAATCTTTCTGGTTTTTAACTCACTCTGAAGCTTGTGATGATCGATTTAGTTGGAAATGCTGTTCTCAAAAGTCGCGAAACTTCTCCGATGGTTGCGTTAACCTGAAGTTGAACTCTTACGACACCAGCATGAGCTGCCGTTTCATCATCCCTAAATACCAATTTTTAATTTTGTTTTGTTTGTTAAATAGTTTTTTAAAAACTCACAAGTACTCCAGAAAATAGGCTCGTAAATTTTCCTTTGAAATTGACTCGATCTGAAAAACAACCAGACAATTTTTGGTCTGCTAAGACGTTTACCGAAGCCAGAACGCGTTGAGTCCATTCATCGGCTCGTTCACTCTGATAGGGAGCTTTTGTGATAAAATCGACGATTGGATCTGAAATCACAATCATAAACATGCTAAAAATGAAAAAACCCACCCGAAAGTTCGATGAGGGAATCTTCGAGTAAAGCTGAAGTGGTCGCCTCCTCAGTTGGTAAATAAGCTGGTTAATAAGGTAAAAAAAAATGTCTTCTAAACTAACCGGTGATTTGATCGAGAATCCCAATGACATCGTTTCCATCCATTGCATGCGTTGGCCTCTGAAATGAGCGTCTCTCTTCTGAAATTAGCGGCGAGTCACCTGATTGAAGAATTCCCTCGAATCCTCTTCCCAAAATCTCTCCGCTCAGTCGACCAATTGCTTTGGCTAAAATTTCACAAATTAGATTTTGTTTGAGAAATGCTTAAGAGGTAAAACGATCAAAAAGACTTTCTTTGTGCTGGAGTTGCATCTCCAAATAGTGAATCTTGATGATGAACATAGAAATTCCAGCGAATCTCTGTAGATGCAGATTCTGTAGAGGATACAGGCGAAAGTTCAGAGTCCGTGGTTGCTGCAAATGTGGGAAAGGGTACTGCAGGAACCGTAGCTGTGAGTAAACGTTCCAGCAAACTTGTAATGCTTGACTTGAAGTGTGGAAGAAAAATAGCCGACAGAGTCCGCACGTGCAGCATCCGAAAAATCAATTCGAAAATCTTTTTGATTTATTTGACTTGTCATCATCCAAAATCGGCTTGATTGGGTGAATTCCGATTGATTTGTTGATGTTCTTAGGAGTGGATTTGTTTAATGCATTCGGGTTTTCAGCAAAATGATATTAACGGATAGAGCCCGCATGTTGCATCACTTTGGTTTCGGTGACGATCGATTTTCGGTTGAAAATTGCGATGAGCGCATCCTTCGTATCAACAACGGTCAACAGCTTTTGAATATCAATTGCTTTGATGCCATGAAAGGCATCCTTGAGATCATTCACGAAACGATCAGCGACTTTTTGAAGTTCTTCGTTGCTCTAATCGTTCGTCTTTTCGATGAGATCATCTCGCGGAAAGGAGTAGTCTTTCTGGAGAAAGATATTTTTTAGAATCTCTTCTTGAATGGCACGTGGAAGTGCCGAGAAATTTTGAGTCACAGAATTGGGCAATTCAACATCGTAAGTGGACAAAAATTTCAGCGAAGAACAACAAGCAGTTCCGTAAAGACTCGAAAGTAACCAAAGTAGAAGAGCTCTTTAAAAGCTCTTTAAAATCTTCATTTGATAGGATCTGGCAAAATGAAAATGATTTTACAAAAAATGAAAGATATGAGCAGAGTCTAAGCACGAGTCCATAAAAAAATAATAGACGATAGGATTGCTTAGAAAGTGAAGGATTTGGCAAGAGTGACCATAAATCTACATCTGAGGAAATAAATCAAAGCAAAATCGTTTTGAATTTAGTTTAAAACACTAAAAGTCAAAAAAAAGAAAAACAAAGACTTTACAATTAGCTTTGCGCTTAACTTTGAATTTATTACACCTTGCTTGCAGCTGCATCAGGGGACAACAGCGACCTCAACAACAAATCTCGAAGGCATAATACTTGCTATGATGATATAAGGCTTAAACTCCTTTTTTTTTGCTTTCACTTTGGTTCATTGACACAATCATAGCATAAAAGGGAACAACCACGTGGTGATTTCATCCTTTTGGTTGCCTACAATCAGAAATTAGTGATGACAAAGGAGCGGTGAAGTAAAGAAGGGAGCAAAGGTTTGGCAAGAGTCTACTTATCAGCTTTCCGTTTCCCACTCAAAAACTCTATGTTCTGGCATCTTTTCTTCTCAAAAATGACTTCATTGATTGATTGTTAGCCTACAGCTTTTCAATTGTAGCTTTTTCAACTAACTTTTTGCACACTTTTTCGAAATTAATCATCTTCCAAGAATTTCTTGACACTCATAAGCATTGATTTTTGAAATTCACTGGTTTTTGGGGGAGAAAGCGCTGCTAGGCTACCATACATCACTATGTATTGTTAGAGTGTTTTTCTCTCAAGAAATAGTGCAAAATAGGAAACGAGGGCATTTAAAATCAACTGAATATCTTAGAAATTGTAAAAGATATTTAAGTTGCTGTTGCTTTCGACCTAAGCCGTTTCCTATTTCACACTATTTCTTATTCTTTCACACTATTTTCTCTTTACTTTAAATTCAATTTAGGAAAAGCTCGAAGAAAATCGGTCAACCAAGCTGATCACATGTGCACAGATCAAAATTTTCCGAAAAGCGTTTCAATGTGACTGGGAAAGTTTGTCTGTATTTCTATATGGGGTGGATGAAGATGAAAGCTGAACAAATAATAGGTGAAAGAAACATTTTGGTGTCATCAATCCATTTTAGAGGGTAGAGATGGATGCTTTTTTTTTCTTTTTCCATTTATTTCTTTTCTACAATCTCATTTTTCCCCACTCTTCTCAGCCATTCGATCCTCGCAATGACGCTCGATTTTTGCTCACGCTTTCTCAATTTCGTTGAATATTCGAAAAAAAAAACCCTCTATTTCTTTCGCTTTTCTCAGTCTTTTGAAGAATTTTTGACGGAAACTAAAAACGAGCATCATCAATTGTGTTCTCGATCATTTTAGTCAACAACATTCAGCACACAATACGCTAAGCCTTTGAACAAACAAGAAGCTTTCTCTTTTTTTGGACAAATCAAATTACTAGAGCTGTTGATTTTTGGTTCATTTTGATTTTTAATGGGTGTACAACGGAAAAAGGAGATTTGACTACTTTAACAGCAACTTTTTCAAGGGTTTTTCTTTCAGACCAAAAGAGAGCTGAGCAATTCTAGCTTTATGTGACAAGTCAAACTCTACATTGCCGCTGCACCAAACCCGCTAAACTACTTTCTTTTTTTGATCAATTCTTTAAAAGCCCTTTATCAGTTTGACTCTTTCATATTCGGGTATCTCAAATTTTGAAATTTGACGACGCCAGCCTTTCCTTTGGTGTTCACTCACTCAAATATTCAAGTGGAGACCTGGAAACACTGAGCATTGAAAAAGGATGTGACTTGGAAATTTTCAAGAAGTGAGTGAAGATGGGAGACATGGAGAACTGGATGGGTTGTGGAGAGGCTCGACACCCGGGTGTTCCCGTTTCTCTCTCTCGTTCTCCCATATAGTCTGTGCCCTGCTCTTCTCTCGAAAAAGGGCTCACTCGGGAAAGAGACCAGCAACCACTTCTCCTTTCCACCTCTTCTTTTCATCACCCCCCTTCACCCATTTTCTTCGCTCTCCCCTCATTTCCCAGTGACTCTCTCAAATCTCCCATCTTCCTTTCTCGCTCTCTCGACTCTGATCGATTCTCTGTCCCGAGCTTACCGCTCTTTTCAACGCCGATTGAAACATGGCCCCCTCACCTCCCGTTTCCTCTTTTTTTCTACGTCTTTCCCTTGAGTTGGCACTCCTTTCTTTGGTCTCATAATGTGGAAACCTCAATCAAGAAATTGCCGTCAACCATCATTTTTCTCATCTCTCCTCACCAAAGTTCACCTTTTATGCTCAGCAGTCAGCCATTCTTTTGTTTGCTTTTTGAATTTTTCAATCAATTTCTTTTTCTTTCACCAGAATAGTTGAATAAGGTAAACGGTGAGTTTGAGCGTTTGAGCGAGCTTCAGAAACGAAAGCGTTTATTGATCTTTTGCAATTGTGTGTGTCTTTTCTTAGTAGTTCTTTGAAAACGAGCTAATCGGATCACGTGGGATTTCCGTTTTCCTCTCAACTTTCATTAGTGGCTTTTTGTTGCGTTCTTCTGACTGACTTCAGAATTATACAAAAGTAAAGGCTAATAAATAAGATTTTAATTTGTAGAATTAGAAATTCGGATCATTTTTGAAGTTGAACTAAAAAAAAAACTCAAATAATAATGATGAGAAGCAAGTTTTTAGACGATATAAACTCGCACAATATATACCTATCGTAAATGTTTGTCTTGCAATCAATTTTCTTCAATCTTATTCAAGTTTATTTTTCTCTCTGAACTTATGTTTTTTTGTTTTATAAGCTTTATTACTTTGAATCTAGGTGAGCAAAGGACTTTAAGATGTCTCTTTTCACATCTGCAGCCATCACACTTGAACCACAACGATCCATTGAACGAAGTTAGATATTAAATAATTTAAAAAAACAAATTTTACTATAAAAAGCGGCAATTCCCCAACTACTGAATTCTTTTAGATCTCGATATTTGCCACGTGTGTGCTTCTCCTCAAGCTGCGTCTCCACATTTTGGTGAGACAAACTTTACGAGTCTTTATTCTTAAGAAGTCACTTATAATGTCTAGTAACATTCATCGAACCTCGATTCTTAGAATCACAATAATTTCATGTCTATAAAATGCAGTGCTAGGTAATTTGGCTTTAGATTTAAATAGTTCACTGAAAACTGTTCAAATTTAAAGTATCAACACTTAAAAGGAACTTCAGGTGCCATCTCATGTCTAGCTTGTGCGGCATTTTTTCGGCGAACTGTTTCTTTAAACATCACATTTGTGTGCAAAGCGGAAAATAAATGCCGAATTTACTACGAGTTGCGGATGATTTGCCGAGCATGCAGGTAGTTACCTGAGACAAACTTTACGAGCCTATATTCTTAAGTCACTTATAATGGCTAGTAACATTCATCGAACCTCGATTCTTAGAATCACAATAATTTCATGTCTATAAAATGCAGTGCTACTGTTTAAAAATGCAGTGTAAAATACTGTTTAAATCTAAAGCCAAACTACTTTGGCTTTAGATTTAAACAGTTCCCTGAAAACTGTTTAAATTACAAAATGTTTTTCTGATTCTTCTATTATCGATTAGCTATAAATTTCAATTTCAGATATGAGAAGTGCTTACGAGCTGGTATGAAGAGGGAATGTAAGTGAGAAAGATCATTGCAAAAATCCTTTCTATCTTAGGTGTGCAAAAGAAGCGACCACCAAAACCGGGAAAACGGGTCAAATCTGAGGTTGAAGATGAAGATCCACAATCGGAATCAAGGTTCGTTGATTTGGAATCACAATTGGAATCAAATCTGAGACTTTTCATTGCGAAAAGCTATCATATCCAAAACCCAAAGTCAATTCGACTCGACCACCGATAATTCGGTTCTAGTGAGGACCCAATTCCGATCCCTTCTCTAAATCAAGATAAACTGAACTGATGACTAAGATCTGAAATGAAAACCGAACCAAACTCAAAGCGAGGAATTCAAAGAGGCAACTCCTCAAATCCCTGTTGAGAAAAGAAAAGAAGAATCTGATATTTAAATAAATGCTTTTAGGTATTTACCTGAAATGGATGGGCCCGGAACTCCGATCATCAAGAAAGAAATCCATAGTCCTGGAAGTGCGGATGAAGAAGAGGAACAAAACGAAATTGCACAAGGTAAAACCAAAGTGTAAAACCAAATTAGGGAAGTTAGAATAATATAGTAGTGTAGAAAAAGAATGAGCAACAAATGTTCACTATAGAAATCCGGTTCGATTGCCCTGCCTCGGCTTCTTCTTCTCTTGATTCTTATGAAGATCCCTCAGCCCATTCATCTCCATCAGCCTTATTTCAACAAAATCTTAATCCGGTTAGTAAGAAAAAGTATCGATTCTCAATTTAAACATCAATATTTTATAGAGTTTTTCTTCATCGAACGATCGAACTTACGAAGGTCGGGTACGGGCCAGAAATCTTCGAGACTGGACAGGGCACAGATTGCTTCTACACTATATGGAAGAAGTAAATTAATTAATTAATTAAAATTACTTACCCTAAAGTCGCGAATATAAGTTCTGTTTGGTTTTCGCATGCAAATTGACGGCTGTCTCCGGTGCGGTGTGTCGACGGTTCGAACCCCGCTGCAGCATAACTTTTTTGCTTTTTAAGAACAATAATATAAGTAAATTTATTGAGGGTTATAGCAATTTTATGCTGTTATTTGTTGCTCCGGGCGTGGCTCGGCGCGTCCACCCTGCTCCTCTCCGGTGCTCAGTCTTATGGATCCCTCCCTGGCCTCTTCATCCGGCCAAAGTCCACGTCGACGGTCGAAAGAGATGCGCTTTCCAGCGTCTTCTTCAACACTATCGTCTGGATGTATCCATGCACATAACAAATAGCAATGGTGATAGGCTGTCACCCTGTAGTATCCCGCGCTCCAAGAACAATAATAAAAGTTTATATAACAATAAAAATGTATAAAAACCCAACAAAAAGAAATTCAAAGCAATTAAAGCGAATGTAAATTAAGGCAGAACTTATACTCGAGACTTTAGGGTAATTAAAATTAATTAATTAATTAAATAAAGTAAATATAAATTCATTCAAAAACAATAGAAAAAAAATAAAATTCAGGAACATCAGGCAATGGACGCTCGTCGAGTGATGTACAGTGAGGCTCCTTTGGTGGCCATGGTTCAGACAACTGGAGACATTGTAGGTTTTTTCCAGAAGTTATACTTTTAATTGTAAAACAAGATTTTATTGGCTTCTCTTTAGCCGTTTACTCGAAACACCCTGACTGCACATACTCTCTCAAGACAACGCCACACGATTCAATTCGAGCATTTCCTTTCATTTCAATATGCTCGACGTCTACCTGGCTTTCATTTGCTTAGCAAAGACGAGAAGGTTTCAATGTTAGAACTCTTTTCTATCTATCGATCTTTTTCAGGCTCATTTATATAAATCGTGTGCTCTCGGTTTTAGTGTTTTGGATATGGCTTGGATGACTGTTAAGTTAAGGTCACTTTTTGAGTGAATTCTTATTCACTTCTATTATCATAAGATTTCTTAACTTATTATTTTAGAGAGCCCACAGATCGAATGCTAATATTTACGGATGGAACCTATTCGGATTTGAGTAACTATGTTGTTGGTTGGGAAGATGAGCCTGGTCTCATCACGGGAGAGGGAAAGAAACAGTGCGTTTTGTTTTTTGTTTCGTTGTTCTTGAACAACAAAACGTTCTTGTTTTTGTTCTTGAAAATGCAAAAACAAAACTCAATCTCAATCATTCAAAAAAAAAAATTCAACAAATAGAACAAAAACAAAGGTGATGAAAAATGAAAGAATTTTTCTATTTTCAGGCTTTTTCTCGAGTTCAACGAGCGCATCTTCACCGAACTCATTCAACCGATGCACGAGATGGATCTCCGCGATTTTGAATACGCTGCACTCAAAGCGCTTACCGCATGGAGAGTCTGTAAGAAATTTTGTAAGATTGCAAAGCTAAAACTAATTTAATAGGGTATCTTCAATTCACAAATACTCTTCAAGATCTGGCAAAAGAACACGAGAAATTGATTCTCGAAGGATTGATCGATTTCTACAAGGTGAGTCTAGAAAAAACCCAATTTCAACCGTTGAAATGATGCATTTGTGATTTGTTTAAATCAAAGTAACGCTAGTTTTTTAAAACAGTTGCACTTTAAGAAGCAAACAATGAACTAAAAGGCTATCACAAGGCTTTTTAATTTATTTATAATTTATTCAAAATTAATCCCACGGTTAGTTCAAGGAGAGGTTCTTTCGTTTTAGAAATTCCAGTCACCTCCAATAAGTTTGTTTATAACTCTTTTCCAATAAGAACTGCCAGAATTTGGAATCGACTCCCCAGAGTTTTGAGGGAGTCCGATAGTCTCGAAACCTTTAAATTATCTGTAGATGATCTTGATCTTGAAGCTCTAGTGGATCCTTGACGTTATCTGTGCTACCCACATTTTACATATATTATATCGTGTTTCTTTTTATCGGCCCTTTTCGTGTTATGTGTATGAATTGATGTGTTTTAATCTTAAATCTAGCGCACTTTATCTCAGGTTCTGAATAAAGTATCTATATAAAACCTTTCCAGGAGCGAAATGAGAAAGAGTTTGCAACAAGAATGGGATCAATTCTGCTTCTCATAGGAACCATTTCGGTGATTTTTTTTGATCGTTTTGACTAAAGAATTTGAAAAGAAAACTCTATAAAGGTTGAAAAAAAAGCTTAAAAAGATTTCTTTCAAAAAGAATCTGTTTAAAATAATCCTTCAACTTTTCAGGATCTTTATCGCTGTGTGACGGAAACTTTCACAAAAATTCAATTCTTTAACCTTCTCGATATCGATCATATCTCAAAAAATCTTATTAAATTTTAATCTCCTTTTTTGGTGAGTAAAGAAAATGACAAATATTTAATATATTTACCGTATTTCTTCGAATAGAAGACCGGGTAAAGAGTATCATCGCGTACTCCTGCGTAGCAGCCCTTTTTAAAATTTCTTTTCTGCATAAAAGCTTTCAATCAAGTGCTATAGAGCTGGAAAATGGCTCAAAAATCTGTTAGCTCATGTGGTATTTTTGAGTCATTTTCCAGCCCTATAGCACTTGATTGAAAGCTTTTATGCAGAAAAGAAATTTTAAAAAGGGCTGTTACGCAGGAGTACGCGATGATACTCTTTACCCGGTCTTCTATTCGAAGAAATACGGTAAACCTTTTTTTTGAAGGATTACTGTTAGTTTTGCTCTTGAAATCTCAATTTTTCTAGGTATCATTTCTAGCTAAACACTTTTACTTGTATTTATGTAAATTCCTATATGTACGGCTTGTTTGATTTCGTTAGAAAGAAATGCTAGATGCTGTTAGTTTGCTGAGAGATTTATGTGTGCAAATCTATTTGTTAGTACGGATTTCCCTCCCCGAAAATGATATGAATGATTCGAGTCTATAGCGAAAAATTCGGTTACATTCAATAATTACCTCTGTGATTTTTGTTACCCTTCACAAAATTTATTTTTGAATTCTTTATCCCAAAAGCCTCTAGTCAATTTCTTGCATTTGAAAGTCGTTTCCTTGGAAATTAGTTTCTTTTTTTCTTTTGAGTCTCGAATAAAGTTGAAGAAAAACAACACAAATAAAGAAATATTATTCATAATAATCGTACTTTATTTCTTTCTAAATAAAGTATTTATATATATGTTACGTCCGAATCCGACCAGGCGTCCGGATCTGATCCGGACGTCCGAATGCGACCAGAATGAGTGTGGTCGGATCCGGACTTCAGGATCTGATCCGGACGTCCGAATCTGACCACACTCATTCTGGTCGCATTCGGACGTCAGGATCCGGGTCCGCCCTGGGCGGGTTCGGACGTAACATATATATATATGTTACGTCCGAATCTGAGAGGACGTCCATCTCCGATCCGGACGTCCGAATCGGAGGAGAATGAATCTCCTCAGATTCGGACGTCCGGATCGGAGATGGACGTCTCCTCAGATTCGGACGTAACATATATATATATATATAAGATAATTCTAAGTAACCGGGTTTCTAAAGTTTTTTTTTTTTTTTTTCTACCTTTTAATTTAAATTTTTTTTTTTTTTTTATGTAAATTGGGCTTTAAAGGTCACCGAGAATATTCGCCTGAATGGTTTCGTAGTGTTTTTGTCCGATGTATGCGTGTCTCGAGTCTCTCATTTTTCACAATCATTGGATACTTTTTTCGGATGGAGGCATGAAGAACCTCCGCGGAGACGCATCTTTTCCTCCTCCGTTCTCGAGCTGCCCACTGGTCTTTCCTTCTGAAAGAGAGGAGTCCATGGAAGGGAAAAAGGAAAGGAAAAAAAAAGGGGGGTGACTGGGCGGGTGTTCAATCGTTTTCTGCACAGGAGAGCCCCTGAGGGGACCTCGAAGGGAAGTGGAGGAGACGGAGGGACACTCTCCATTTCCCTCTCTCCATTTCCCCTTCCGTCTCTTCTTTTTTTTGCCTGTTTATTGGAATTTCCATTTTTTAGACATTTTCCTATAAATCAACCTTTAAACTATCAAAAACACAAATCACTTTGCTTAATATTTGACTCAGATTTTTACCCTTTTGATTCGTTACTCAATGTTATTTATTTTATAACTCGACCAAGTTTATTTTATAACTCAAATGCTATTTAGGAATTCATCACGCTGAGGTCGATATTGTGTTGCTCGTCGCTTGACGACGAAGAGGTTTCAGTTTGTTTACACGAGCAAAAGCAGAGATTTTTCAACGAAAACATTTGAAAAATTTACTTAGACTCTCGTTTTTGGTTTCAAAAAAAAAGGATGAGAGTTTCGGAAAATGGAATATGAGTATTGAAAAGAACAGATCCATTTTTTCAACAGGTTTCTCTGTTCTGGCAAATATTAGGTTGAGTACTTTTTCTTGATAACACTTTTTGTTTTCTGTTTTTTTTGTTTTTTTCATCAAAGGGCAAACCATAGTTTTTTATAAATTAATATGATAATCAGATACGCATTGTCAAGCTTTGGGCAAAGTTTCATCCCGATCTGATGGCTGGGCTTAAAGCAAGAAGCTTTTATTTGAAACAAGTCGATCAACAAGAGTTTTTGTTTTTGGAATTTCTCAAAGACTGAACTATGTGTTTTTATGGAACTTTCGAAACATTGATAGTATTGGATTGTCTATTAGAAAGCAAGTTTTTATCCTGTTTTGATACGCATTGTCAAGCTTTGGGCAAAGTTCCATCCCGATCTGATGGCTGAGCTTCAAGCTAGAGGCTTTGATTTGCAATCAGTCGATTTGGACTATTTGATCTTCTGTGCACCAGATTTTTCTGCTACCTCTAAAGATTTCCAGTAAAAAAAAATGGCAATGTAAAGTAGATACTTTGAAGAAGATAATTTGAATAAAAACGTTTATATCAAGTAGTTTTTCGATTCTTTTTCGAGAAACTTTAACAGCACTTCAAATTATCAAAAAGTTTCTCAAAACAGAAAAAAAACATTAAATTTTGAAATGTCTAAACTATCATGTGGTAATGTTGGAGATTTGACGTCGAATATTTTATTTAGTTGTTGGTAAAGCATACTGGTAAAGAAGTTTCTGGATTGAATTCTTTTCTGAAAATTTTTCTAGGGAGTTGCAAGTCACTTTTGTTCGTCACTTTTCGCTCTTTTGTTCATAGCTCAGCTTTCATTCATCAAAACAGAATAAAAACTTGCTTTCTAATAGACAATCAAATACTATCAATGTTTCGAAAGTTCCATAAAGCACATAGTTCAGTCTTTGAGAAATTCCAAAAACAAAAGCTCTTGTTGATCGACTTGTTTCAAATAAAAGCTTCTTGCTTTAAGCCCAGCCATTAGATCGGGATGAAACTTTGCCTAAAGCTAGATTGTCTGATTCTGATGTCTGACTAAAGCTAGATTGTCTAAAGCATGTCTGATTATCATGTTAAAAATTTATAAAAAAGCCATGGTTTGATCTTTGATGAAACAAAAAAGAAAAAGTGAATTACTACTCAACCGAATACTTTAAGTTTCCTAAAAAATTATTTTCTTGCAAGAAAAAAAGATCAGAGTATTTTTCTATAAGACACGCACTATTTATGTCTCTATTTACAATATCATAGAGAGAAAAAGGCGGGCTGTTGTTGCATCCACCTGGCCATCACTTGTGCACTTGTGGTCTGGTCATCCCCCTTTCCAATCCCCCCTTTCATCTCTTTTATTTTCTTTTCTTTTCAATCACCTGTCTTGTGCTTTGTCTCGAGGTCATCAAGTTGAACAAATTCTCAAAATAGGGAATCACAACACAAACTCGTCTCCAATCCAAACACTAATCCCATTATTTAATTAGCAATTTCAATGACTAGCTCGATTGCATCCCCAAATATTCCATTCGATTCATATGGTTGTGATATTCAGGAAATGCTTTTGGAATTCACCAATGAGCACTTGAAAACGTGCCTAGAGAATGTGGCGATAGAGAAAAGCCATTCGCCATTTGAAAAAGTTGATGTTGATGTCAACGAGCAATCTTCAAGCAGTAACTCGTTTGATGAAAGCAATGATTTACCTCCTTTAAGTCAAGAAGAACAGTATTTTGATTCGATTTCAATTTCTGATACTATACAAGAGGCAAAAGATTCTTCAAGATACTTCTTTGATGCCCGATCTTTCTCAACAGAAACAAACGATTCGGAAGTTTTTATGGAAAGTGAATCGAATAACGACTTTTCGGTGGAAATCCTCCGTCACGCCGATTCGGATGGATGCACTTTGTGGGTAATCACAGCTGACGAAATCTTATCGGAAAACGCGGAACCAGTTGAGCTTTCTGTTCAGGCTTCACCAGATTCTCAATCTCTAAATGCCTCTTTATTTCCTATTGTAAACATCATTTCACATGGTGATTCTTTTTGGACAAGATTCATCACTTTTTTCAAGGTCAGTCTTAATTTCCTTAAAATTTTTCCTTAAAAGAAATCATTTCTACAGTTTAGCTTTTAAAATAAGTTAACTTTCAGTCTTGTTTTTTGGTTTTTAAAATAAGAATAACATCTATTTTTCATTTACTTCCTTTTTCTTGATTAAAATTCCTCAAAATTATCGAAACCTTTAATCCTTTTGCCAAAAGTCTTTCAAGAAAACTAATTCAAAAACGAGATTAACGACGAAAGCTTCGAAAAAAGCTCATCAAAGTCGACCACAATGAAGATGGTTTGAAAAGCGGGTTTTGGCGGATGGGAACGGGCAGTACATGTAATGGACAGCCATCGCTCGTCTCACGTGCCCTGCAAGAGAAGGGGCAAGGGGAACAAGGACTCCCCTTTCCTTCCCGCTCAGCTGACTCCCCCCGTGCCTCACAACACGACCACCACCGAACACCCTCTCTCGTGAGAATTGCCTTCTTTGAGAAGTACAATCCCTTGCAGCTCTTCTTTTTCTCATCCGAATCCCTTTCCCTCAAAAAGGCGTATTCCTAGCCTTCTCGATTCTGTTGCTTTCGGCGACTCACTTTCTAAAAATAGAAGAATTTTCTAAAGTACCCCTTGGCTACTTATCTCCTCTTATTCTCTTAAACATGACGATCACCTATGTGTTTCGGCAACAGATCTGGAAACTCTGGAAGGTTGATTTTTATTTATTCTTGAAACCTTATGATAATAGAATAATCTTTGACTTATTAGTATTGAAAATATGAGGTAGTTCGGAGAGGATAAACAGCAAAAACAGCAAGTGCCTTCCCTTCACAATTTTTTTGATGCATTTTGTGGAAAGAAAAAAAAGAATCACGTGCTTTGTTTCATTTCCATTTCTTTCTCCTTAAAAATGTTTATATTTTGATAACAAAAAAAAGCTGATGAAGAGTGACTATTTCAAGCCACAAATTCCTAATCGAGCTTTTTTCTTCGATCGTTTACAAAGCTGTACATCAGTAGTTTCTAGTAAGTTTAGATTTTATCTAGTTTTTGATTGCACTCAGTTTTGAGAAGTTGCCATTTGTATTTTTGTATTGACAGATTCAATTAAACTTCAATCTTATTTAATAACACAATAATCCACGGATTAACGGCTGTAGTTTTCCCGAAATAATCTAATTTCAATTGTTCAACCTTTAAAAACAAAATTATCGACTATAGAAGATGAAGAAATGGGAGGGGAAAAGAATTATGGGCTTCTTCGTCTCGCTGCAAACAAACGATGGGAGGCGGAGGTAGATTCAAAGAGGAGGCCGGGCACCAGCTGACCGCCGTCTCTCTTCCATCTAGACTCTCGCTTCGTTTTCCATTCTCTTCCTCTCTTCTTCTCTTCTCGATTCCTCTCATTTTTTTTGCCCGCTTCAGTGAGAATCGTGAGCGACGAAGAGCCTCTGGCTGCCTCAAGCCAACAACCACCATCTCTTCTCTCTTTGTTGATTTCCTCCCTGCTTTCTCCAAAATGTGATACGGATTGTTTTCTTTCACATAAACCTTTAGGCGATCTCATAAAGCTTGTAAAGCTTTTAAAACTTTCATCAAGGATTTATTTTTAAACTTTCTTCAAACTCTGTCTTTCTTCAATCAATTTCTAATCTACGAACGTTTTTTTTGCATTGACGCCCTATAAACTTTTATAGCATTGCAAGTTGCTTTAAAAACAAGTCGATCTCTTGTGTATTGACAGGTTGTGTTATCAAAAGCAAATCCTTTCTCTCCCAGGGCGATTTTATCTGAAACTTTCACTCTCAGCTGACCGTGTTTACAATTTCTCTCCTCTTTTCACTTGTTTGAAAATTGCGTACACATTTGCATTTATTTCAAGCTTTCAAAAAAAAAAAAAACGTTTTCACTTTTCTTTTCACAAATCTCAATCCAGAGTCACCTTCGCAAAGAAACTTGTTCAATAATTCATCGGATATGTAAACGCCTCGCGAAACGGCAATCGCTCCAAATTTAGACTTGTTTCCATCTCAGAGATTAAATAAGAAAAGACTAAAAATGATTTGGATTAAATTTTCTTTGACTTTTATGAATCTAATTCTAAAAATAGACTCATACTTCTTTTGAAGCAAACAAAATTAGTGGGCGCGTGGCGGCAAGAAAAGCAATCCGTATGCAATGAGGAAAGGGTGGGTAGAGAGAATGTCGTCAACAAGTATTCGTGCTTTTTCTCCCCTTTTTTTTCCAATTCTCGTCTAGGTGCTTTTGTTTGTTTTTCAAAAAGCGCCTCTTATAGATCACATGTTTTATATGGAGTCTTCTTTAACTTCTTTAACTTGGCAGAGAATCTTTCTTTAACTTTTAAAAGATCTTTGTCGCATTGATGCATTGATTTGAAATCACTTTAGATTGAGAATGAGGGCAGTGGGAAAGATTTTCCCGCCGATTTGGAGTTGTCCTTTTTGGGATTCATAGAAAACAGCTGGGTGTCCTACTCAGTTAGGAGGTCAACAAAGTAAAGGGAATGGGGGAATGGATCAGTGACGGCTGCGGAGTGAAAAGGAAAGAGATGGTTGAGGAGGCCGGCACGAGGGAAGGCGCGGAGGGAAATCCCTGAAAATTCCCAAGCATTCACTTGAATCACAAACTATTTCTTTAGTTTCTTAAATTTGTTACTTTAGACCTTTAAATCTTACTGATTTTAACGGGGTTCAGCTTTTTTTAAAACAATAAGATGGTCTTTGAGTGGTTCAATCTCAATTTCCCATCTCTCTCTCTCTCTTCTTTTTCCTTTTTTTCCCCAGTTCTCGAGTCGATCAGAGGCCTCCTCGTGGTCCTTTGTTTTCCACAACAATCTCTTTTACTCTTCTCAGTGCGAATCTCTTGTTTTCCTCATTTCAAATGTCAAATAGCCTATCAAACAAAAATGTGTACTTTTTGTAAATAATTTTTGTAAATAATTTCAACTTTTAGAACCTGGCTCCCCGCCAGCGTTGGGTGATGTCGCGAGCTCGAGTCCTCGAGAATTCAACTAAAGATAATCAACCGGCTCAGGCCACACATCGAAGCAAAACGTTTCAGGTATTCATTTTGTTTATATATAGAACATAAACAAAATTGAGCTATTATTTAGACATTTTTAGCTAGGGTAGACCGTTTAAGAGTCTCTCTCTCTCTTTTCCTAACCGATAAAATTGCTTGTGATGCAAAATTCTCCCCCGGAAAGGGCACTCCTTTTCCCACTCACAAGTTCCTTCTAAACAAGGAAGTTGTTTCTAATTGATTGATTTTTTTTGGCCTAGAAATAAAACAATCTTTAGGAGTACTTACCTGAAGGAGATCGTACATACAGTTGTGTTCATTGTCGAGCCCAACTTGCTCATCACAACGAGCTTATCTCAAAAGTATTAACATTGTTTCATGTTTCTTTCTTCTAATCCATTGATTTAGTCATTTCAAGGAAGCCAAGGAAAGGCCTACCTCTTCAACAGTGTGTAAGTGTTTTCAAAAAAAAAACTTTAATAAACCAAAAGATAACACACAAAAAGCACTACTAGCACAAAAACTACTAGCACTAAAGCACAAAAAGCACTACTAGTAAGACTCAAGCGTGATGTTTATAGGCTAAACAAACTCCTGAAATTATCTACAGATATATTACAGTGTAAACGTGGGATGTGGGCCAGCAGAAGAGCGTGTGCTGCTCACTGGTCTTCATGCTGTTGCTGACATCTACTGCGAGTGTTGCAAGACGACTCTCGGATGGAAATATGTTTGTTTTCATTTTTTACAAAATAGGAAATACTCTTTTTAAAGATATTAACTAAAATCAAGCTTTCTTTGTCCAATTTTTACGTCGTGAATTTCTGGGAAGCTTCCAATTACTTTAAATCGTCATTAGTGTGACTCATGTAAATGAACGCAAACGGAAATTGGAAATTACGAGTCAAAAAACGTGAATTGATAGACTTGATTTCCAGGAGCACGCGTACGAGTTGTCACAAAAATACAAAGAAGGCAAGTACATCATCGAATTGGCGCATATGGTGAAAGACAATGGATGGCGTGATGCCGAGAAGCGCCGATCAATTCATTGAATATTCTAGAGTTGCAATTCGATGCGAACATTGCGATAGGTTTCTTTTTGATTAAGTTCAGTGCAAAAGAGTAAATTCATTACGGTTGAGAATTCATCTTTTTTTTTCCATAATTTCATCAAAATTCAGTCTATGTAAACGCTGTTTAGAGATCTTTTGTAAGCATACATTAACCTAATTAAAGTAAAGTTCTCTTTAAATAAAGTACCTACCGTAAATACTGTAATAGTACCCCACCCCCATAATGACAGTGCGAAGTGTTGGGTAGTCTAGCTTTGAACGAGTGTTTCTCGACACTGGTTTATGCTACAATGCGCGCTTAGGTATCAAAAAATAGCCCTGAATTTCAGCTTTCTTTTGATACCAAAGACGCATTTTTTGAAAGTACGGGCGCTTTGAAAAAAATGAAATACTAAAAAACTTTTTTCACTACGCGACTGTACGAGGGGGGTGGGGTACTATTACAGTATTTACGGTATCGATTAAGAAGCAAACAATTCATTTCGTTTTTTTCCAGGTCTTCGCAAAGAATCTCCAGTCGATTTCTCTGTTTTTTTTCCCGAAAATCAAAACTCTTATTCAACATTCCCTAAAGGTCGCCCACGAAAAACGTCCTTCAATCACTCTTTTTGTTTTCCTTTTAATGGAAAGATTTTCATTTAATTCATTTCATTTCCATAAGATTAAGATCATTTTCTTAATAAGATCATTTTCTAGTTTTCATTGTTTTTGTACATACATTGTACATAATTCTCTTCCCAAATTCTTCTCTCTCCGCATGATTTTCCTCGTTTTATTGTTAAATTTTTTGTGTGTTTGAGCCCTATTTGAACATAGTCTTGTGTTTATTGGCTTCGTCTTTTGCCCATAGTTCTTTCTTTTACCATCTTCGTTTGTCGATTTGTATTTTTTTTGTTCTTGTATAATAATTGAACATCAGGCTTTTTTGTTGTTGTTACCAATTACTAATATTCTTACATTCAACTATTTGGCATTTTTTTTTGTGATAATGTTGACCAGCGGCAAAAAAAGCATATTTAAAATAATCATATGAATTTTTCTCGATAAGTCATAACAAGCACATTTTTGTGCCATCTCAAAAACTATTTCTTTTCAAGAAATACAAATTTCTCTTTTTTTTCTTTATAAGAAACTTATAAACACTTCGTAGAAACGGTTACTTCAAAGATGTTTTCATCTTTTACATTGTGCTGATTTTTTTTTCTCATTTTTCATTTATTCCTTTGTGCAATTTCTTGCGATTTCTTTCGGGCTTCTCATCCGACTTTTTCTGTTCCTCGATTCATTAATAAAATATTCTGCAAATTTGGGAATCAGACAGAAACATGCTTTTTTTAAAGCTTATTATAATAATCATACACAATTTATAGAAAAATTCGGCTCCATTCAATGATCGGATGACTTGTTAATCAATATAAATTGACGATCGACGCTTCTTCTACACTCTTCTTCTACACTTCTACACTTCTTCTACACTCTTCTTCTACACTTCTACACTTCTTCTACACTCTTCTTCTACACTTCTACACTTCTTCTACACTGTACACTCTGAATTACCTTTTTTAATGTTCGAATTTCTAGGCCATCCATTTCAAGTAAACACCTGAAAACCTTTATTTGAATATCAAGTTTTTCTCGGAAATCCTGATCTTTTGAAAAAAACAAATCTTTTGGCAAAATACGGGTCTCTTCATTGTGAAAAGCTATGATATACATATGTAAAACTATCATCTTAGCATTTCAGCTAATTTTGATTTGGGGAAATGTAGAATTTCTAGCACAAATACACCCAAATCTGAGGCAAGACCCAAAATTTGAACATTTGGACATAAGAGACGATGTTGGATCAGTCCTTCTCCTTGACGATGCCAAAAGGGAAGCACCCTATTTCCTGGCGGTTTGCCAGATGAAGAGCGATTACGTAACGGCACAAAGAACACCTCGCCAGTCATGACGAGGTGAGGGGTCCTCTTTTAAGAGCGAGCATTCATTTAGCAATATCCTTACGTGAGCCGTAATATCTTATTGTGAGTCATACTGTGATCTTATTTGAGATTGGAGATGGGAGTTGGCAGACTCAGCAAAATGAATAATTTCAATTGATTCGCCGACTCCAAAAACCCGATAAATTTACAGTTGAATCTCTTCTTTTTGTACCATCTACAATGCAAAAGTGGAATCCCTGTGTAAATGATTGGCGAGTTGTTCTAATCGCTCTTCATCTGGCAAACCGCCCGGGTATAGGGTGTTTCCCTTTCGGAATCCGTGAAAGTTCAGAACACAAGTTTTTATCCCCAAAATCCCGTTAAGTCATCCTGTTGAAGAGAGCCAAAAAAATCTATTATTTGAAGAAAGTTTTACTTCAAATTTTTATCAAAATATAATCGATGTCGATCAAAATATAATCAAAATATAATCGATGCAACAATCGATGTCACTGCTACAATCCAATAATACTAACTCATTTCAATGATTACAAATACAATGCGAATACCGTCAATTGGGTGTTTGATGAATGAATGTTTGATGATGTCATGAGAAAAAGGGTCGATGCGGGTGAGCGAATCAAAAAAAGACACCACAACCATGTATGTGGACACAGACACTTTTGAGACCGGTACCCCATTGCCATTCATTCATGAGCTGACAGAGATACAAGTTGTCTGATGTGATCATCATTTCATCTGCTCAGCAACATTTTTTAATTATTTTTTGATTTGCGTTGTAGATGGGGAACATGATATTTAATTGTTTAAATGAGAGAAGCGAAATCTTTCGATTATTTCAACAATTTCTAAATCATTTCTTTAAAGAATTGTATGGATATTTTCGAAGCTTTAAGCAAACTATTCTTTTTTTATCTAACAAAATGTTAACAATATTCTATGATATTATCTATATTTAAAACTGTAAACACTTTTACATACGTCAGCTACAAAATACGGTATGTAAAACTGTAGACACTTTTACATACCGTATTTTCTCTAATAGTAGTGCACCCAGGCGAGCCGAGTTGGTGACAATTTTACGGTTTCCAAGCTTTTGCAGAAGCTCAACACTCTACTCCCTACATAGATCTCATCAGCTACATTTTCCGACCCCACATCGATAGGTTTTGATCAGCGGTTGTCGAGATTTCTAGGAATTTAGTCGAAGCGGTGCACTACTATTAGAAAAGTCTAAAGTTTGTCTGTTTTTTTGGGAAAAAGGTCACTGTATTTTTCATAGTCGAGCCGAGTTAATGCCTATTTTACAGTTTCCAAGTTCTCCCAGAGGCTCAACACTCTAATTGCCCACTAGATCACATCATAAGCCACATTTTCCGACCGTATATCGATAGGTTCTGATACGTGGTTCTCGAGATTTCGAGGAATTTAGGCGACGCTCATGGTGCACTACTATTAGAGACAATGCAGTAAGTAATTTTTACATGTCAATTGTCTAGAAAAAGAAAAATCCTATCGTGAATCGAAACCAAAAAAAGATGAGGTTCATCGAGAGTTCTTTTGATCGTCGAAAAATCGTTCACCTCTTTCGAAGGCTTCGTTCACAAAGTTTTTGTGCAAGTTTGTATTGCGTGTGCGCATTTTCAAAGAAAGTACTGCAAAAAGAAGAACAAGAAGAAAAAGATTTCGGACCTGAGGGGACTCTTTGAGTAACCAGATCTCCTCTAAATCCCAATCCTCACTCACTCGCCGATCCTTTTCTCAATGCCTACCCTCAGATGGGCCAAGAGTCGGGGATCACTTTGTGCTGCTCTTCATTTCACACAACCCCCCTCCTCTTTTTCTTCACAAATCCTTGTCTCATCTCTTTTTCTGTTTCTTGATTGAGCTCTTTGTGCTGCTCATTTATTATGTGATTGCAAGAGCTCATGACCTTAAACTCCGTCTGTGCATCTCAAAGATCTATTCCCATTTGTCAAACTTTTTCTACCTACTTTTCCAGTTTCATTTTTGTGATTGTCTGTGTTTTTTTTTTTCTAAGTAAAGCTCTATTTCTCTAAAATGAACTTTTCACTATTAAAAAGACAATATTGAGCTAGGCGAAAAATCTGGTGGTGTGTCCAGCAAAACATTCACAGTTTATAAATTCTTTTCTAAAGTTTCGCGGGAGTGTTTTGCAAACAAATCGCTTCAACAGATTGCCTAGTTTAGAAATAATTGAAACAAATATCAAAGCGTTATACTTTAAAATAGTTTTAAGTTTTTTTGAAAAAGTCGAAATCTTTTTTTTTTTGTTAAATCTTTCTGATACTTTAAATTTTCTTTTTCTCATTGCCAGTATTGTTTAGTGTGCATCAAACATCACTTTGTAATTTCCTTGCATTCATCGCCTAAAAGCCGCTTCGAAAATGCGAATTCGACGTAAGTTTTTTTGCATTTTTAAAGTTTCTAAGCATAAATCTAAAAAAATGTTTTCTATTCTTTCTATTCTTTCTATTCTTTCTATTCTTTCTATTCTTTCTATTCTTTCATACAATTCACTCATAAATGAGTCCTCGATTACATAAAGGTGCCAAGCAATGTTGGCGTATTGCTTTTACTTTTTTTCCCTCGTTTACCCAGTGAATACTTCACCGGTAGAATCTCTTCTCCACCCCATCCAACTCTCTTGATACCGTTTCTGTCATTCATCTTGACGAACAATCTGGTTCTTCTCATGTGTCTCCTCTTGAGATCGGACCCCTAAGCCCAATCTGGATACTTGCTACATTGAACCACTTGGGTGGTTTTAAAACTTATTAGAACACTTTTTTTGATTCATTAATATATATCTACAGTTAATAAAAGTATAAAGTATAATAGTAAAAGTATAAAGCATAATATTACAATGGCTTTAAAGAACCCCTTTTGATTGTGAAACGTTTCGATCAAAAATCTCTTTCTAAATTGGGACAAGCCACTACGATGGCAAATGGGTGCAAGCCACTTGAACCTCGCCCGATCGGGACTTCTCTTAGCCTTTTGCTCTTTGTCCTTTTTCTGTAAGGATTGCGCTGACTTGGATGGACAGTGTCAAAGAAGAAAGAGACTTTCCATTCCCTTCCATTCCCCACAAGAGACGATTATGACGGAGATAACCACTGTTCGTACAATCTCTGATTCTTTATCGTAAGCATTTTGCTAAAAAAATAGCTGGAAAATTGAAGCCGTACAATTCAAAGCAAAATCAATCAATAGGATTCCTCTCTCTCAAAAACTTGTATTAAACTAGAAAAGAAGAAGTCCTCGAGTGGATTCGACAGCTAATTTTTGATGTTTTCGCTGAGAGCAATGTTTTTCTTTGAAGATCTTAGGGGTTTCTTGGTCTAAGAGATTCAAGAGATGGGGCGTGAGCCCTATTTGCGCAGCGCTTTCGTGAGGCCCTCCGAGATGGCGCCTCCAGGATAGCTTCAGGCCTACTCTCATCCTCTACAATTCCCGGTCTTTCTGCGATCTGTATCTATTCAAGACACAAATTATTAAAAGAACATCATGACTTCAATTGATTCATTGATTCTTTGAGCATTGCTATGTTCCTTCTCAGCTAATGGAAAGATGCACCGTGAGTTGTATTGTTAGACTTATGCTGAACTTGAAAAATAATTGAGTCAATAGTTCCACACATTAGCTCGACAAGCTAGCTCGGATCAACAAAACTAGAGATCTGGTAATGAAAAAAGCTTCGACATAGCTTGATTCCCGAATAGTTGACCCCGATGTCGAGTGAAGGAAAGAGAAACACGTCTATTCTCTCTTTCAATTACTTATTCTTGCAGAAAGAGGCGTACAATACAGACCTGTCTCGGTGGCAATTCCCCTCGATGCCACCGGGAGCGGATGAGGGTACGGAGAGGAAAAAGAGGGTGCCAGACCCCCCTTTCCCCCAGACAGGGCTTGTTCTTTCAACAGTTCTTCTTGATTCTTTTCTCTTGACAGAGGATGAGGAGGTCGGTCCCATCGACTTTGTGGGGATGACTAGCGTCATCTATGAGTGAGACATAGAGGGCCAACCTATTCCCCTCTCTCGATTTATGCCCTCCCCCTTTCTATACCATCCTCCCACACTTCTTTAACCTCGACTTTCTTCAACCTTCAACCAAGTCTTCATTGTTTTATTATATGTTACATGCTATCTTTCTTTACTTTGAGTACCGAATTTCTTTACGGGTTTTGAATGTAGATTATAGAAGGAAAATTAAAAATTAGCTCTTTAACTATTAGCTTTCTTTTTTAAACAAATGGTTCTAGGAATGGTGGCGAACTGTTCGTCAGCGGCGGCACTGTGTATTCAATTTGTGGCTGGGCTTTCAAATGCGGTAGTCGATCGCTCGTCTCCTTCACAATACAACACCCATCCCAAATATTATTCGGTGAGTACATGTTTTTGCATTCCCAAAGTACTATTCAATCTATTATATAGAAAAAAGTAGTTTTTGTTTGTCTGTCTGCTTTTTCTCAGCCGTCTTTAGGCCAAAAAAACTGAAATCTTTTAAAAAGTCTTCAAATATAATATGGTGGTGCCATTTAAAATCAAAAAGTTCAAAATCATATGGGACTATGCGGGTCGAACCCGGAAGGTCGGTCATGTGGACGTCGTGCGGGCCATGTGCTCTCCCGACTGCGCAGCAGTGACGAACGTGTGGGCCCCAAAACATTGTATTAGAAGGCGTCGTTAGGTTTTTTAGCTGAAAATTAACAAATGACAGTCGTCAGTAAGTATTTGAAAGATAGTTTCGGGTTTTTAAATCCTAATAACTTTTATCCAATTTGGGCTAGAAACGATAACAACCAGTCTTTCCATGATATTCATTCAATTTGGGAGTGGGACAAATGCTACCTTTTTTTGCGCACCCGGACATTTGCGCACCTTTTTTTCCGCACCTTGCCCATTAGCGCACCTTTTTTCGCGTTTTAAAAAAGCTCTAAAAAGCTAATATTAACCAATTTCTATCCCAAAAGTTGTTTTTCTAGGTAATTTTAGGGCGTAGAATCGAAATTTTGGCATATCAGAGCTTGTGGAAACAAACGGACGGAGTTATACAAAGAGAAAGATCGACAATTTTCTTTAATTTGATCTAGCCGTTTTGTCTTTCAAATTGGTTTCACACGCTCTCTTGTGTCAAAATCTGAATTCGACACCCTCAAATTACCTAGAAAAACAACTTTTGGAATAGAAATTGGTTAATATTAGCTTTTTAGAGCTTTTTTAAAACGCGAAAAAAGGTGCGCTAATGGGCAAGGTTCGGAAAAAAAGGTGCGCAAATGTCCGGGTGCGCAAAAAAAGGTAGCATTTGTCCCACTCCCTTCAATTTCTCCATTTGTCTACTCACTTTAAACGACTTTTCTTTAATAAATCTCTTTTGTATAGAGCTATTTGCTAAATGAAAGATAACGATAGATCTAAAATAAACACGATCAGCTGTGAATGAAACCGGATGGAAAGACGAAAGATGAGTAAACAACCCAGCTGGCTGTCTCAATCCAATCAACCCTTCTTTTCACATCTGTATTGACAGAAAGCAGGAATTGAATTGAATTGAATTGAAAAGAATGTAAAGATATGATAGTGGAAAGATAATAAAGAAAAGAATCGCAATAATTGTAAAGACAAAATTTCAGCAACAACATCAAAACCTTTCATCATCTCAGTCTTATCATCCAGCGATTGTACCGTCTCCGAATCGCTATCATAGCTATGGAGTTGCCGGCACCAATATGAAAGGCCTCAACTCTCTTACTTTACATCCAGGTTGCTTAAAATGCAATACACAATATAAATAAAAAAATCAGACTCGATTTACACATTTACAATGATCATACAGGTTCATACGAGCCTCCACTCGCTGCTCATTCGTTCCGTCTCTACTCAATGAGATTTTGTCCATTTGCGCAAAGAGTTGTCATCTATTTGGCCAAGAAAAACATCCCGTATCAATTTTTTTTTTCTTTATTTTTCTTAAATTCCATTTAACTCTTAAGTAAGATGATATAAATTTCAGTGTCGAGATCACGAATGTGAACCCAGATAAAGGACCAGCTTGGTTTCTCGCAAAGAGTCCACTCGGAAGAGTGCCAGCGCTTGAAATCAATGGAAAAGTAGACAAAATTTGTGTTATAAAGTAGAATTTTTGGCTCAGATTCTCTGGGAGTCGAATGTGATTTGCGAATATTTGGATGATCTTTTCCCTTCGACTTCTGTTCTCCCAAAGGTGCTTTTCTTTAAATTGTATAATGGTTTTAAAGAAACCCTTTTTGATTGTGAAACGTTTCGATCAAAAATCTCTTTCTAAATTGGGACAAATTGTAATTTGAATTAATTGTAAAGAAAATATTTAGGATCCCTATGACAAAGGAATGCAAAAGATTGTTCTCGAAAGATTGTCACCGGTAAAGAAAAAAACTTTCCAAAGCTAAGTCTAGTTAATGAATGAACGTTGATGAACGTTAATGAACCTCAATTCTTCATGAACTCTAATGAACTTCAATTTTTAATGAACGTTAACTTTAGCTAATGAACGTACTCTTCGAGTTCTTCCGTGCCACCTCTCCCCAACAGATGCGACAGGTGAAATGGAAAAGTTGAAATTACCATAAGAAATACAGGTGGACAACAGCTTGCATTCAGCTCTACGCAACGCCGAGAGTTTGTTGACTGATCAATTCTATGGAGGTTTAATTGGAAATAATGCAAAAGAAAAACATTAGCTTTGTTCTTAGGTCGAAACATTGGCTATGCAGATATCTTGTTGTGGCCTTTCATGGAGCGCCTTGAATTGATCACCCTCAATCCGCACACTCAATTCCACTATTTCCCTGGGCTTCACTACCCGAAAATGGGCGCTTATATTGCAAGAATGCAGCGGCAACCTGAGGTCACTTTTCATATTTCTCAAAAGAAAATGTTATAAGCTAAAAGTTGATGTATTTAGTTGTTCGGAAAATAGCCGCCGTTTTCTAAAAAAATCAATTTTATAACAAATCAGGTTATCAATCAAAGCATGCTTTGTACCATTCAAAAGCCCTTTATATATAAAGCTATTTGAAAAGCTTTCGAAAGCTATTTGTCCTTTATACAATGTCTTTTGAGATATTTTGAAATGGTTTCATTTTGGGGTTTTTAAGAAGCGAGAAGAAAAGTAGTCAAAAGGGCTATTTTCAGAAGCCGCTAGCTCGTTTGTTCAATTCGAAACTACTCTTGATTTTTTTTTTTGCGCGAAAGAAAGAGGAAATTCTTTTATATATTCAGTAAAATTTTCAGCTAACTCCGTCGAGCCGTTTTTTTCTAAAAGTTACTTTGAAAAAGAGTACTTAAAACATAGATTTTAGTCAAAATAGACAGTTTTTAAGCGAATTTTTTGAACGAAGCAAAATCCCATATTTGAGTACCTTTTTTGTGCTGAAAATTTTAGTGAATATATAAAAAAGAATCTCCTCTTTAAATATATGTTGTGTCCGATTTAGATTTCCGTCCGATTTAGATTCAATCTAAATCGGACGTCCGATTTAGATTGAACTTATCGCGGACGTCCGATTTAGATTACAGTCTATATCGGACGTCCGATTTAGATTACAGTCTATATCGGACGTCCGATTTAGATTCAATCTAAATCTTATATAGATTGAACAATAATATAAACATGCTTAATATATGTTCTTAAGCGTTTTCTGTAGTTTTCTGCATTTTTCAAAGGTCTTTTATTGATTACAGTCTATATCGGACGTCCGATACAGATCGAACAATAATAAACGTGCTTAATATATGTTCTTAAGCGTTTTTTTTGCAATTTTCTGCGCTTTTCAAAGAAATTTTATTGTCTTTTTTTGAGAATTTTTTGTTTTCTTGTTTTCCTATTAAATGCTTACTATTATCCTATTAAAGTTAAAAACTACAGAAAACGCTTAAGAACATATATTAAGCATGTTTATATTATTGTTCAATCTATATAAGACGTACTATTGTTCAATCTATATAAGATTTAGATTGAATCTAAATCGGACGTCCGATATAGACTGTAATCTACAGTACTGGACAATGAAATATCATATTTGAAAAACGATTGTCACTTTCGCGCATCTGTAACTCCCTTGTCTTTGAGTTTAAACTATTAGTGTTATACATTTTCTGAAAGCTCTTTTCAAGGGCTACACAATGGTAATATTAATATTTAGAAATACGGTAAAGACAAGGGAGTTAAAGACGCGCGAAAGTGACGATCGTTTTTCAAATATGATATTTCATTGTCCAGTAGTGTAAATCGGACGTCCGCGATAAGTTCAATCTAAATCGGACACAACATATATAAATCTATAAATAAAAGAGCTTCCAGGCAAGTTCAAGCAAGAGTTGCTTAGCGTTAAGGACTAAAGCTTTGTACTGTGAAGTCAACAAAAGGATTCACTTTTTAAGCCTGAATACTTTTTAAGAACAATTTAGAAGTGCTAATTTTAGGTGAAATTTGCATTGAGACCCCTCTCTCATCACAAAGCCTATGTTGACAGTTATGCGGCCGGTCGACCAAACTACGACTATGGCATTTTCAACTGAAAAAAAAATCCCATCAAATTGTCAACTCGTTAAATTATTTTTGTGTGTTATTTTAATAATTTATTCTTTACCCTTTTTTTCTTTGCCTCTTCTGTGTAACTTTCATAGAAGAGTTTTCGAATGTGCCCATCAATAGGAGCTTTTCAAGAGAAAGTCTAGTCTGCAATTTGCATACCAATTTGCTGTATTTGCGTGGATCATTGGCCTCCCATTTTGAAGATTTAATATCTTAGAATCTACACTACTGGACAATGAAATATCATATTTGAAAAAACACTTTCGCACTTTCGCGCCTCTGTAACTCCCTTGTCTTTACCGTATTTCTAAATATTAATATTACTATTGTGTAGCCCTTGAAAAGAGCTTTCAGAAAATGTATAACACTAATAGTTTAAACTCAAAGACAAGGGAGTTACAGATGCGCGAAAGTGCGAAAGTGTTTTTTCTGAATATGATATTTCATTGTCCAGTAGTGTATTTTCCCTTTATTTTTCCTTGTATTTATTATAAATGCAAAGTGGGGGGTGAAAATCGACAGAAAGTCCAATTTATAATAACAATTTATTTAGAAACTTTTAAACACAAGACTTTTTTTCATATTTGATACATAACAGAGATTTTATATTAAAATTTTTCACCCAAAATTGCAGTTTTTCATTGTTTTCTCTTTATTTTGATTTTGTTTTGAATCGTGAGTTCTTTTGAAAAACACAAAATTCATAGGTATCAGTCATTCTTTATTGTTTTTATCTTCGTATTTACACGGGAAACTTTTTTTTCTTTTTGCATACGATATTTACGCATTATGTAATAAAAAAAATGAAAGAAAAGAAAGAAAAGAAAGAAAATTTTATGTACAAAAATCTATAATTATTATTTTTGAACACTTTAAAAAGACAAATCAATTTCTATATCTAATTTGATTATATTATAATAAAAAAAGATTAGCATAAAACTTATGAAACAAAGAGAAACTGTACAATCGTAAACTCGGGTTTGATTTTTTTTGTTGTTGTTGTTGTTGAAAGAACGAAAACGTGAAATTTCAAACGCAAAATTTCATTTAAAACAGCTAAATGAATATTCTATAGGCACTAAAAGATGAGAATAGAAAAAAGAGAGAGATTGGTGGGAAAGAATACTTTCAAAGTATATATATAACTAGCTTTCAATCTACACAAAATCTGTTTGACAGAACATTTTTCGTGTGGCAACAAGAGTGCGATGACAAGAGGAAACGATTTTTTTTTTCATGGCAATATTCTTTTGTTTGACTACATTTTTAGATATTTTAGACGAGAAAGCAAATAGAAATTTCACAAAAAAAATCTGCTCTATGCCGGGCTCGAACCGGCGACCTTGGCATCACTTAAGACTATAAGTACCATGCGCTAACCGACTGCGCCAATAGAGCGATGCGGCAATTGGATTAATTAATGAGGATAAAGATTTGGATCATTAAAAATAAAGATGATTCACTTATTGGAAGCAAGGCAAAATTTTGTTCTTATATTTTTGGACATATTTCTTAATAGAAATGAGTGAGTAATCTTTATTTTTATCTTAATTTTTTGACTAACAAATATCCCGTAGTTGTATTAAATGCTTTTTTCGGCTAATAAGAGTTGATTTTAAACAGAAAATGAAGCTAAAAAAGGTAAAATAAGTAAAAATAAAGGTGAAGATTAGACTTATGTTTCGGTTGGCTCTTTTCGGTTCAACCGAAGTCAACCGAAATCGTTCGGTTCGGTCCAACCGAAAAGATGAGTCTTTCGGCTCGGTTCGGTTAACTGAAACCGGAACCGAAACCGAACCGAAAAAGAACGTTTCCGGTTCAACCGAAACACAAGCCTAGTGAAAATTGAATCAATTTAGAACTAATCAGGGGCAAGAAGTGGGATTTTTGGAATGAAATCGAGAAGAAGCACATACTCGGTTAATCTAAAATTTACCCATTCATATGGTATTGCAAATTGTCTAGATCTTCAACTCATTATGAAGTTTTTAGTTTCTCATTATCAGAAATTTACCTGGAATCAGCATTACTTCGACCAAGACTCCAATGAAGACCCAATTTGTGATACAAATGATGATTCTCGTAATCGAGAGTTTTTTCGAGCGCTGAGATTGCCTAGAATCTTTTTTTAAAATTTTAACTTTAACTTTTAGAAGATTATTTATTTTACGGTATAGAAAATCGATGTATCCATTAATGAAAGTAAAGTTTACCCTTCGATTGAGACATATCACCGGCCAGAGCGAGCATCCGAGAGAACAGCAACACAGCAATAAACCACAAGCCAGCCATCTAGAGTGTAAAAATTTAGACATAATTATGTAAAATTGATGCCTACAACTTTTCCAATGATAGTATTAGCTTTTAGTGCTAAAACAAACCTTCCTGAAACTTCGACATGCCTTTTCAATACAAGATTTATTCGTTTCAATGTAGCACTCAATTCTTCGGGAGCCACCCTGAAAATGTTAATAATTAAAAAAAAGATTTAAACAATCTACTATAAAAATGAGTCACTTTTTACTCACCTTCCAATTAGTGTTTGGGGAAATTCGGTGTCGAAGCGTGAGTTCAATCCAAATCTAAAAATTTCCTTATGAGATCAAGATCGTTGCTGAAATTTTATTTTCAAAGAAAATAAAAGCCTTATCAAACACTAACAAAGTAATGTGACCGATTCCTTTGATGACAATCGGTTCTTTTTTCAGCGTGAGTGGCACCTCTTCAGAACTCGCCTAAAAGAACGGGTTAGTCTTTTTCCTGACAATGAATCAATCGAACTATGCTTAAAACTCTACTTTACTTGATTCTAAATCAATTCTAAAAAAAACAAACCGAAGACATTTGCTCGATTTCATCTGATTCATATGAGGCACGAGACGGTGGCGCCGCCGACGCCATCTCTGCCGTTGACCCGCTATTGTCTGCTTGATAAAGTCAAGCTTCCAATTCTCGACTTACACCTAAAAAAAAGTTACTATAGCTTTTTATTCTAAAATAAATACAGCACACAGAAGATTTTACTTAAAACAGCTTTCACCGATAGAAATCATTTTCAAAATGAGCTTTAACAATGCAACAAACAATAAGCCAAGCAAACTGTTCAAAGTTTTTTTTTATTAAATTCAAAAGTGAAAAGTTTTCTATAACTTTTATTATTTATATGAATTTTGTGGTGATCGAGTATCATGCACCCATCGATTCTTGGCTTCAATCCAATCACGCCTATAGGATACGGTAACTGGAGCATCAAATTCGTCAGCGAGACAATTTTTGAAGTTTTCAAAGGATAAAACAAGAATAAAACTTTTAAACAAGAAAACTTTTTAAACAGGACTAAAGTTCTTTTAGTTTTTCTCTTTTGTAGTTCAATTCTCGATCAGTGATCTTTCCTGTGCAATCACATAAATCTGAGAAGATTTGATCAGGCAAAATTAGTATTAACGTCAAGTGAAAGTGGGGGAGAGTGTAGGAGAAAAGTAGACGAAGAAGAAAAGGAAAAATTGAGAGGAAAAAAAGATATGAAATAAAAGAAGAGGAAAAAGAATTGGCAATGGCAGTGCCAGTGAGGAGAGCGACGGGGGGACTGGAACCCGTTCCCCTCAATCGACACCCTCGAGGAGATGATGGAGGAGGAGAAAGAGGCCGATCAAGGGAACCTCTTCTCAATTTCATCTTCCACCTTTGTCTTTGTCTTTGTCTTTTGTTTTCCGATCCTCCTCTAGCGTTTTCGTTTTTCATCTAATGAAATCTGGAAAGGCTGCCATTCATCGACCAGCGACACCTTATCTTAACGACTTTTTTCGTTTTCCATTTCAATTAAGTTTCATAGCTTTTAAGCTGACTTTCAAGATTTATCAGTGTTTAGAATTTGTCCCTTGTTAGAAGAATTTGTAGTTTAGAATTTGTCCCTTGCAAACTGGTAGATAATTTTGTCTCGAGGTTATTGGATTTCACATTTTAGATTTCAAGATTGATTTCACATAGATTTCAAAATAAAAGAAAACTGTTGATTTCAAGTATAATGTTAGCATTTTATAGTTTCAATATTTTTGTAATGCATTGTTATTGTTGAAAGCTCATAGAAAATCTGGTTTTTTAGATGACCTTGTCAAAGTTGATAGCCTCGAGTAGAAGCAGCCATTTTTCGCTTCGAGAATAGTCACATTATGTAAAAAGACAATTATGACCTTCAGACACAAAGACTGGTTGTTCTCCAATAGATACAAAAGGGTAAAGAATCATAAAAGGGCTAATAGAGAGTGACACTCGTGATAAAAGTAGCAATGTTCGCTCTTGAGATCAATGCTAGAAAACTTTCTATCTAGATGGGATCGAAGAATTGGTCTAAAAGCTAGATTGTATCTTTTGTTGGTGTAAAAACGTGAGGCTAATCGTTGAGTGAAAGGGAATTGAGAGACGAGTTAGGGGAGGTGGGGGAAGGGAGGGAAGGTGGGCAAGGTGAGGGCGAGAGTGCTCATGCCACTTTCAACTACCATTCGTTTTTTATTCTTTTGTACAAAGAGAGCAATAGCTTTTCCAAAATGGCTTCAAACTTCTCAAACTTTTCTTGCAGCCTAAGCCCAACCACATTTCTTTGGCAGCCATTAGCATGGATTCTTTTGCTCCCACTTTTGCAAAAATATGATCCAGATTTTCAAGCTCTCTAAAGTTTTCGACGGAAGCCTATCAAAATTCTATCCTAAATTTTATCTAAGATAGCTTCAAAATCCTATCCTAAATCCTATCTAAGGTAGCTTCCCAGATAAACCGAAATCATACCTTGGTTCACTGTATCAAAAGCTTCTTTTTTATTCAAAATCTTCTTTTTCATTCAAAATCTTCTTTTTCATTAATATAACAATTCTCTTTATTCTAACAACTGATCATATAATCGATTTCTATTTAAAAAAAAACCGGTGTGACTGATGCGGAACACTTGTCGAATTTCCACACCTCTATGTTTGCAATTTCTGGCCGAGGGAAATCTCTCGAAAAGGCCCTCTGGACAACGAGATTGCCCGCACACACTCACTTCCATGGAAAAAAAAAGACGAGAAAATGATTGAAAAAGGAAAAAGAGTCCAACACACAGACAAACAAACACAAAGAACTCACATACAAACGATCGTCGGATTCTAAGTTTGATGCGATTGATTCCATTCACTTTTTTTGCAGCTTTTTCTAATAGCTGCTTTGAGTCGATTTGTCCAATATCTATTTCATAGTCATTTTATCTTAATCTTTTCAGAAAAACCTTAAACTAGAGACAATAATCAAGTCTTCTCGAAGCCAGATGTAACTCCAGAATTTCAACCATCTTGTATCTTTAGATGAAAACGGAACTTTTTATGTTGCATAGTGCCATGTGTGTAAAGTGGCATAAGAGTGAGAACAAAAGACTGGTTTCCTCCACTATTTTCTCCTCTCGCTTTTTCATTTCTTTCTCTTTCGTGATGGTTTCCCTTTTCTCTTTTCTACTCTCATCCTTTCCCTTTTTTTTTTCATTTCACTCAACGATTTGGTTGGCAACCCGGGTGGTCGTCTGGCAGTGAAAAAAAATCGCATAAATTCAGCAAAAAGTTCAAATAAACATTGTTCTTCTATCAAGAAACAATGTCATTGAAGAGTTTTTTTTAAATTAATCGACCAAACTCTCGAGGATGAACTTAAAAATAATATACTTTATTTGCTAAACTCTAAAACTTTTTATTAAATTTTGAAATTCCTTTTCGATTTGCCAGGGAAAGCAGAATATTTTGTTTTAGAGAATATTTTGTTTTAGAGAATACTTTGTTTCAGAGAATACTTTGTTTCAGATTTGCAGGCTGGAGGCCCCATGAAGGATTTGGATAGGCTGCTGCCTTTGGCGGCAGCTCTTTTTCTGATCTGTGTGGGTGAGCTTTCCTATTTATTTAAATAAGTTTTTATTTTATAAAAAAAAAGAAATGAACTTTATAAGGTTTTCAACAACAAAAACAATCACTTTGTTACAGTCATCGTCAGTGATCTTATCTGAATCTGAATCAGAGCCCGAGGTTGCCTTTCTTTCCGATGAAGATTTTATAAATGCAGACCGACTAGCTAAAGGTTTGTTAAAGAAAAATCTTTATAATATTGTTTTAGATGAAATTGAGAAAAAAGAAATGATTCCGATAGAGGCTGTGAATGGATATCGGTAAGTTCAGCACTCATATCATGTTTACGTACACTACTGGACAATGAAATATCATATTTGAAAAACGATCGTCACTTTCGCGCGTCTTTAACTCCCTTGTCTTTACCGTATTTCTAAATATTAATATTACCATTGTGTAGCCCTTGAAAAGAGCTTTCAGAAAATGTATAACACTAATAGTTTAAACTCAAAGACAAGGGAGTTACAGACGCGCGAAAGTGACGATCGTTTTTCCAATATGATATTTCATTGTCCAGTACTATAAATCTAAATACATGAAAGAGATTTTCAGTTCCGATATCAGAGGACCCTGGGCCGAAAGAGTTCGCCATAAAAGAAATGGAGTGTCAAGAGTGGCAAAATTATGGCCAAATGCTCGAATTCCTTATGCGATTTCTCCTCATTACAGTACTCACGAGAGAGCTCTTCTCGCTCGAGCTGTTAAAGCCGTTCGTTCACCAAAAAAATCCACCTCCACTTATCATATCAAAATTAGATCACTGTCAAAGTTTTAGTACCACGAAAAGACGTGCATTCGTTTTGTGCCAAGAGCCGGCGGAGAAGCCGACTATCTTTTTTATTGGGAAGGTGGATGGGTACGTAGTCAAAATGTGTCACAATTTTCACAAACACTATTCAGTTGTTTTTCGGAAGTGGGTCGAACATCGGGCGTGCAAGTGCTTTCATTGGATAACGGATGCATGGAATATGCAACGATTATTCATGAAATGATGCACGTTGTTGGCTTTATCATGAGCATGGTCGGTTTTGAGCTCATTTTCGTTTAAATTTTAAGAATAAAAGTTTTAGAAAGATGGGATCGAGATAATTTCATTGATATCATATGGCAAAACATTGATCGAGGTATTTGAAAAGATTTGAATTGAAAATATTGATCATTTTAGCTGCACTTGATCAATTTGGAAAAGTCGATCTATCAAAAACATCTTATTATGGACAATCTTATGATTATAAATCCATTCTACATTATGATAGCTTAGCTTTTTCGAAAAACGGTTTTCCTACGATGTTGCCAAAACAAAAAGGTTTGATTGACATATTTTCGAGTAGGAATAGGATTTCTTTAACGTTTTTTTTTCTTTAACTTTAATTTTCTTTAATCTTTTCTCTCTTTAAATCCTTCTAGGGACGAACAAACAAAAATTTCGCTGTGTTGAGAAAAGAAAAAAACGGCATTCATTTCAGCGGCAACAATTGGCAATGCAAAAGATTTTTCGGAAGTTGATTTAGCAAAGATTAATCGAATGTATGGATGTTTGCAAAGCAAGGAAATCAGTGCGCCGTTTGCTCGAGCAAGGGTGAGCTGCTTTGTTTTTCATCATTTGATATGATGATAACGTTTAAATAGTTGAATAGTTTCAGAACGAAGTTAACCTATGTGGTAAATCCGCTATACTCCTATAACCTCATAGCAGGCCAATACCCAGAGGGGCAAGGAAGCATTTACCCCTCGCCTGAAACTTTGGCAAAGCCAAAGAAGGTTTTTTAGACAACTAGCTGCCTAAGAAATGGAACCTTGCCTGCTTGCCCTCTTTCCGAACTTTTTTCTGGGATATAATATTATAATAATATAGTTTTTCTGAGATAATAATATATTACGGATATAATATGGCAAAGATTAGCTTTGAAACCGATAAATACGTGATAAATATATCGTAAACATTCTAATACAAAAGCCGGCTCTTCTATTTTTCAATCTCCCTCTAAAATTCTTTTTCTTGCCCTAGCTAAAGTATACCATTTTCAAGAGCTCAAAAATGAATGTTTTTATCGGATTTTCATCCGGTTTTCAATGTCATTCAGCTTTTTTTTAGTTTATAACTATCATTTAAAGCCGTTCGAAGTTTCTTGAAAAAGTTGAGCATTTTGCTATCCAAGAGTTGACAAATTCGAAAAATAAAAAAAATCTAAAGGGCTCTTTTATCGGAATAAATAGGGTAATTTTAATAATTTTTCAGAGCTCTCCATTTTTCCATCCACCACATAAAGATTCGGAACATTTCGACAGTCTCGAGCTTGAGCCAATGAAGAAAATAACTCGTAAACATATGAAATAAAAATTAATTCTTAATTTTTTTAGAAATTTGTGAAGATAAGATCACGGTGTGCTGGTGGACGGCTGATAGATGCAGGTGGGATTGCCTAATGCAATTAAGAGTCGACCGTAGAACCAATATAACAATTGTCGGTACTTCTGTACCAAGATAAGTTAGTATGCAAATTGATCTTTGACATCTTCCTTTATCATTGAATTTTAGCATTTTTTTATTTTAGTTTTGATATGGTTTTGAATAGATTTAAGCTATTGGGTTGGTGAATTGAAAACTGCGGGCTATTGTCATATGTGACAGTTTGAGAACTTTCTTCAAAAGAAACCCATTTTGGTGTCAATGGAAAAGTTGTAGAGAATCAAAAATCAAGCTTATATTCAAATTTTCAGAACGATTCAAAAACTGGTTTTCAAGAAATGTCAAATTTACGAATTTGCACTAAACTTGCATTTTAAGCGAAACTACTAAGTGTATCTTTTTGGAAATTTGGCTATAAGCCCAATTTTTGATTCTCTACAACTTTTCTATTGACACCAAAATGGGTTTCTTTTGAAGAAAGTGCTCAAACTGGGACATCTCCAGTCCTCCATTTTCGAGTCTCACACTTGTCTCACACACAAACCAAAATCCTACTACGAAAGAGGAATCCGCAAATTGCCTGTAAAATGGGCACAAGTCGTCAATAATAATGGAATTATTTGGAATGAATTTATGGTTTTATGTTGAATAAATTTTAGTTGAAAGTCCGGCAGTTTTCAATTCACCAACCCAATAGAACTAATGAATATAGACATAATAAGTTCATTTCTACAATTTCCCCCAAACTCGAGACATACGCGGGGAAAATTTACATTTATGCTGTTTGGTTGGCGGGGTAAAGATGCAAAAGTACCCAATTATTTAGCTATTTCTTTCATTTTTTTCATCAAATGATTAGAAAAATGAAATTTTTTAGAGTTCCGGCCATTCATCACATGATGCGAGCATTGTGTCCAAAAACGTGTCGATTCTGTTGAAAGCTTTGTTTTGAATTCAATTTCACCAATCATCCAACAAACACTTTCCTTGACTATTTCATTCTTTCTATTCCTAAATTATGTAATTTATCAAATCCTATTGATCGTTATGCTATTTTCGCTAGTTCTTATTGTTAGTTGCTCTTTAGTTAGGCTAGCTCTTAATAGATACTCGAAATTAGATCGTTAAAGCTTTATCTAGTTATTGCTAGTATATTTTTGTTCTTTAACAACTATATTTTGTTCTGAATAGGTGTCTACGCCTCATGTTTAGGCCAAAACTTTTACTTTGTCTATTTAAATTTTTGATGTATTTACTTTAAATTTTGATTTATTTATTTTAAATTTGGAAGTGGGACAAATGCTACCTTTTTTTTGCGCACCCGGACATTTGCGCACCTTTTTTTCCGCACCTTGCCCATTAGCGCACCTTTTTTCGCGTTTTAAAAAGCTCTAAAAAGCTAATATTAACCAATTTCTATTCCAAATGTTGTTTTTCTAGGTAATTTTAGGGCGTAGAATCGAAATTTTGACATATCAGAGCTTGTGGAAACAAACGGACGGAGTTATACAAAGAGAAAAATCGACAATTTTCTGTAATTTGTCTTTCAAATTGGTTCCACAAGCTCTGATATGTCAAAATTTCGATTCTACGCCCTAAAATTACCTAGAAAAACAACTTTTGGAATAGAAATTGGTTAATATTAGCTTTTTAGAGCTTTTTTAAAACGCGAAAAAAGGTGCGCTAATGGGCAAGGTGCGGAAAAAAAGGTGCGCAAATGTCCGGGTGCGCAAAAAAAGGTCGTATTTGTCCCACTCCCTTAAATTTCGATGTATTTACTTTAAATTTTGATTATCTAATTTGCTATTCGGTGAGCCACTATTCCCCCAAAACGGGTTTACTTTAAGTAAAATTTGAAAGAACCAACTTGCCAAAACACTTTCATTTATTAAACTATTACAATATGTTGACAATCTTAAACTTAAAATTACCATTGAAAAAAAAGAAAGCGCTCAACCGCGTGAACATTTCGTATATTTGAATTGGCATTTTATTTTTGCATTTATTTGCACATATTGAAATTCGTCAATTGAAAGGCACAATCGACTGTTGAATGAGATTCGCGGAAAGCCATTCACTTTTAATATCAAATCTTCACAATGGCCATATGTGAATTTCAACTTTCAAATATAGGAAAAGAGTTTTCCTAGTTTTGTCGGTGAACACATTTCATCTGGAAGTCGTATAATTTAACTGTGAGAGAGTCTGAATGAGGAGCTTTCTCTCGCATGAAAGAAAGGAGAAATTGCCGAGGCGGATCGGAGTGAAAAGAGGGAGTGGAGGGGGGAGAAGGGGGGAGGAGGGGATGGCCTAGTTGGTGGGGCAAAAGAGCTGATCGATCGATAGTCAATTGGGAGGGTGTCTCTTGCCCCAAAAGACTCCATTTTTCTCTCAAAATCCGCTCTTTTTCTCCCATTGACACTTAATTTCTCTTCAATTTTATCATTTTTAGTTTTCTTTTTCAATGACATGACCATGATCATTAATGTTTTAACGATTTTTACTTTTAAACCCTTTTTTATCCATCAATATATTCTAATTTTTTTGGAATTATTAATTACAATAACGGGAATATTCGATTATACTCACAGTCAGCCATAACCGAAAAGGGAAAGGGACAGGAAGATAATAGTATCACAATTACTTTGAAGATTTGAAGAAGAACGATTTTTGCGTCTTACATTTGTCGATTCAACGACTAATTCACTTCTCATTGATTTCATTATCATTCATTTCATTATATTTAGTTTGTTTTCAATTTGATCATCCTTTTACAAGTAAAATGATCCATTTGTACACGATCTAGACATTGAAAGTGGTGATGAGGAAAGAGGCAAAAGAAAAAAAAAAAAGAAGAAGAAACGGCCGCCAAATTTTAGAGAAGAGCACTTGGATGGAATGAGGGCAATTACTGCGCACAAACACAGTCCATCTCCCAATTCGGGCAGTGAGCACAGATAGAATCTCCGCATTTATCCATCCCTCCTTTTCCCCATCCCTCTCTTTTACTCGTTCACTCCATCTTTACCACTCGAGTCGGAATTTTAGTTTAAAACGGCCCTTTGCTAGTGAAGAAGATTTTATATAGTCAATTACAATTTTATCAAAAAGATCATTGAAAAAATACTATATTTGTGCTTTAACAAACATTGGTACACTCAATTTCACAGTGGGATTAAGATGATTTAAGGTTATTGAGCAGTTGATTGTTATAAAAATCGTGTCATTTAGGACACAAGCAGGACACAAACAGGACAAGGCAAAACCTGTGTCTCACAATTAGCCTTTGCAGCAGCTCAATCCCAATTACCAAAACCTATATCGATTGTTGAAAAGTCAGAGAAAAGAGGGAGTGCCTGATGGGGAATGGCTGAAGGGGAGAGGGGGCAATTACCAATTGATTGCTCGACGCGATTGGGCGCAATCGGAGAGCAGAGATAGGAATGGATGGGTGAAGAGCAATAGGGCGCCAGACATTAGCCGTTTTGTGGTGTGTCGACCCCCGGTCAATCTCCTCTCTCACCTCACATGGAATCCTCCTCCTCCTCCTCTTACTCTGATCTCGAGAATCTTCTCCGTTTCTCGTAAAATTTCCCATCAATTTGATAATTTTCAATTGCAATTACTGCAATTCAATGCTTACTTCAAAAGTTTTCTCTTTTTAGAATGTAGCTCTGTCAATCGAGTATCATTTCCAATTGATTTTTCCATCCAATTGATCTTTCCTTCACTCTTTATTCAGGCTTTTTTATTTTATTATCAGTGTACATCAAAATGAAATCGTTGAATACAATGTGTTGGGTTAGTGGGTATGACTTTGCATTTGTCAAATTAAATCTCAAAGCTGTAAACACGGAGCATGTGGAAAATAGATAAGTGAACATTCAATCTAGCAAAAACAATGGATTTTCACTTTCGACATTTCACTTTTTGGAATTTTACTTTACTTTATTCTAACTATTGAAAATCTACCATCTGGACGTCTGCGACACGTTATTTTATACGAATTTTTACGAGAACACAAGCCTCTTCAGTGTTCAGCTAATATTGAGAACATTTATGGGAAAGGATCAGCTCCACTACGGACATGTGCAAACTGGTTTAGTAAATTCCGTTCTGGGGATAAATTCTCGAAGACAAAGGGAGAGCTCATCTAGCAGTCCAGCTGAATAATGCCAAGTTGCTCGAAATTCTTCAAATCAACAACAAGCTTTCTTCCTGCGAAATGGCAGAAGAGCTACTAGTTAGTCATACAAAAATACTCAAATAGTTGCATAAAATTGGGTTAAAATCATATTAGGAACTTGGATTCCAAATGACTTAACAGACACCCAGAAATGTCAACGCGTTTCAATCAGTGCCGCTCATCTTTCTCGATATGAGCGCAAATCTTTTTTACCCCTTATTGTCACAGAGGATGAAAATCGATTCTAACTGTCAACTTTCGGAGAAAGTGCCAATGAGTTGCTGTGGGGGAAAAGCCCGAACACAACGTCAAGCCAAATGCGCATATGATCTGATGAAGTTGATGATCTCGGTGTTTTGGGATTTGGAAGATCCTATCTACTGGGAACTTTTGGATAGCAAGTCAAGACTCAACTCACTGAAATACCCAGGGCAACTTGACAAGTCAGCTAAATCTTTGCCAGAGAAAAGACCTAAAAGAGAAAAATCATCCTTCAAACCTGCAGAGATTGCATACTGATGACTTATTCTAAACTAAACTCGCTTGGATGGGAGGTGATGGTTCATCCGACATACAGCCCTGATCTTGCATCTACATATTCCGAACGATGAGCAATGATTTGAGCAATGCGCAGAAACACTTTGATTCCGAAGAAGAGGTTAAAAATGGACAACAGATTAGTTAGCATTAAAATCGAAGATTTTTACGAGAAAGGCATTGACTTCTACCAGTAAAATGGGCAAAAATCATATAAAATAATGACCTCTTTATCGAATGCTTTTAAGTGAGTAACTAAATAAAAATTTCATTTGAATAAACGTGCAAAGTCATACCCACTAACCCAATACTAAAGATAAATTAGTAAAGTGTCCAAAAAAAAGCCCCGTAAAAGTATCCATTTGATTCCCGTCAATTAATCACAACTTTTAGTCACTAAAAGATCAATTGTTTCCTAAGGAGTTCTTCTTTTCTAAGGTCAATGATTCATCTCTTACATTCGTCCATCCAATACTTTTTGATTTATTCGGATTACTTTCCAACATCCATTATCGAAACGGCGATTTCTCTTTTTTCTTTTAATTTCAGTTTCTTTCACGAGTAGAGGAGAAATTCGAATTTCCTGTTTGGAGGCGCTTATTTAATCTCCAAAATTTCTCAAGATTTCTCATTTAAAGTGCCTCCACAAATTGATCAAATTTTACTCAAAAAAAAAATTTCGTTCAAATAATTTGTTACTGAGTTGTTGTTTTTTTCTAACTGAAAAACACAAATTAGGATAATGATCTTATACAATTTGTTACCTAATTGAATTAAGCTGTATTTTCTGATTGAAGTAAAAAGGATTCAAATGTTTAAATGATATTTGAACAGTTTAAATGAACATACCGTAAATATTGTAATAGTACCCCACCCCCCTCGTACAGTCGGGTAGTCGCAAAAGTTTTTTAGTATTTCATTTTTTTCAAAGCGCCCGTACTTTCAAAAAATGCGTCTTTGGTATCAAAAAATAGCCCTGAATTTCAGCTATTTTTTGATACCTAAGCGCGCATTATAGCCTAAACCAGTGTCGAGAAAAGCGCGTCCAAAGCTAGACTACGCAATGCTCCGCACCGTCATGATGGGGGTGGGGTACTATTACAGTATTTACGGTAGTTAACAAGGTTGTTTCGCTACAACAAAATCTTTAAAGCAAAAGATAAAGCTACCAACCAAGCCAAAGCCAATCAACTTATTTTTTTGATTGATTTGAAAAATTACTTGTATTTAAGTAATTCTTGACAGTTAGGATGAAATTGGATGTAGGTTTTGGATAGGAATTGGGTGAGCATCGATGGAAGAATGGAGGAGAAATGGGCAAGGCGAGGCTAATTGGCGCAATTTCGTCCTCGCTCACCCCATCGATGTCCTCTTCAAACGCCATTAGTCTGTAAATTGCTCTCTTTTCCCACCAAAGAAAAAAAATCTCCTCTCTTATACTGAAAGAATTTTTACTTCAAAATTTCAGCAAAATATTTTTTTTAATTAAAATTTCTTAGCTATAATGCTATAATTTCTTAGCTTTCTTAGCTATATTCTTAGCTTCTAAGGTTGATTATTTGAATATCAGATGATTGATTAAAAATGAAAGCCATTGAGGAAGAGAGAAAATAGAATAAAGGAGGACCCACTCAACAACTCTTTTCATCTCTTTTCATCTCTTTCAACTCATCCCTAAGGTCCCTTCATTTGTCCCATTTAACAACCAAAATCTATTGATGTTTATTCATCATTCATTTTCTTTCCAAAATTTTCTTTTCTTCTTCTTCATTGATTCGTTTTTAGCTTTATGAGCGTACCTCGCTTTGCCGTCGTCAAACTTAAAGAGGGAACCGACACGGTGGAGTTGTACTCAATTCTTGTGAGTTTTTTTTGGAAAAACAAGATATGAACTAAATATTCTAAAGTTACTAAAGCATAATAACGTTTTCATTTGACGTTTTACAAGTGATTTCAGGTAAAACACGGGTATTTGGAAGTGTCATTTGTGGAGAAACTCCGTGACGCTCCACAATATGAAGAGACAAATGATAATAAGGTTTTGAGAAAATGAATCCACAAAATGAAAAGCAAAAATGTCAAATTTAGAGCACATCTAAAAGGAAACGAAACGAAAATGGGCCAATCTCCGAATCGAACAGTCCGGTAAAAAATACATTTATTCATACGAATAATGTGGTACAAGCAATACACAAGCACAACGTCTAAGCCCTAAAGAAGAAAAAAACTTCATATACATGTGAAAAAGCTAATAATCTAGCTGGGATTGAACCCTTGACCTCCCGACGAAGATATGGCTCTTAGCCAGTCGGCTATGGCGGCTTTGATAAGTAGACTTGCTCATCGATACAAACGGCATGCTCATGTTTGACCGTTCAGATCACAGTTTCTAGAACAGCTATCAATCTGCAAATTGTTTCATTGGAAAGTCAAGAATGTCAGCTTTTGTTTGCTATTTTATACATAAGTAACTTTTAATGAGCTTAACTTTTTAACGACCCATAAACCTTATCGATATTGAAAGTATCGATTATCAATAAGGCTATCGATATTTGAGGGCACTCACCTATGAGGATTTGCTATGTATGAGATAGCAATCAAAAGCTGAAATTTTTGGCTTTCCAATGAAACAATTTGCAGATTGATAGCTGTTCTAGAAACCGAGATCTGAACGGTTAAAGATGAGCTGTTTGTATCGATAAGCAAGGGCAAAACGGAAAACCAAAGCATACAATTTGAATTCTAGGTTCCAAATGATGAAATGATAACCGTTCCCGAAAAAAGTCCACCGAGAAACATCCCTTTTTATCAAACGCGTTAAAAGTGAGTGAACTTTGAGCTAAAAATTTACGCAAGAGTATTTTAGGTTGGAGATTGTTTAAAAGCAATTCTCGAAACATCAAAGGTAGGCTTTCGATAATTATTTATTTATCCAAACTTTAGAAAGCCAATTCTTCAAAGAACAAGCCGAACGGAAATGGAAAATCGATCTCACAGTCACTTCGGAACGATTTAGTTAAGCAGGAAACCGATGAGGTGCACAATAGTGATAGCTTTGCGTAAATATTTGCAAATTTCAGGTAGAAGCATCCTCTTCGTCAACTTCTACATATGCTGATGATTTTCATTCTGAGACATCACCAAAGGTTTTTTTCTTTTTCAATTTTTCTCTAACAATTTTGAAGTTTTTTCAGGCCACTGCAACCATTATTGAGAAAAATTTTAACACAGAAAATGAGCAATTACTTCTACTTGAGTTGAATAAAGTTTTTCAAGAAAGCAAGGTAAGCTTGAATCGTTTAAATATTCAAATAATTTATTTTCGAATTTGATTCCGAACTTATCTCTACCATCATCCGATTTATCAACAAATCTCCCGAAAAGTGAATGGCAGAATAATCAAAATGATGGTCTTCAAGTGAAATCACCTCTTAATTGTTCATCGTCTGAAGAAGAACCTGTCGAGTGTCAGGTTTCTTAAAAAAAACGATTTCTATTATCATATATTTTCTTTCAGAAATGTCATGTAAAATTAAAGATCTCAAGAATGCATTGTATTCGCTACCATCTGGCAATGCATTGGAAACAAAAGCAATTCAGGTTTGAAAAAAAAACAATTTCCAAATGCAAACAATTTTCCAATGAAATGTTCACAAATTAAGTTGTTCTAAATGTGCTCATTCTTCTCATTTAAATGGTAATGTGAAAATTCACATCAAAAGCAATCACCCTGATGGAGCTGATGTATTAGAAAACATGTGAGTTTGAAAAAGAAATCTCATTTTACTTTCTCAACACTGTTGCTTTACTATTCAAAATTGATCATTGTCTTTTGCAGAACAGACGAAATGGTTGAGGGATGGTGTCAATTTGCCTTTGAATGTTTCCCTCAACATGCAGATAAAGTAAGTAAACGATAAACAATTCGATTTTTATTTATCTGTTCTTATTAAAAGAATTACCGTATTTACTCGAATAGAAGACCGGTCTTCTATTTTTTCAATCACCCCCCTAGACCCCGTCTTCTATTCGAGGCCGGTCTTATAATCGAGGCCGGTCTTCTATTCGAGTAAATACGGTATGAGTACTTTTTACTATTTTCGATTATATTTTACATTTTTTTAAATGTAAAAATTTACAAAGTGGCTGTCAAATTGGCTATTTGTGGCTGTCAAATTTAAAACTATATAAATGGTGATAAAATGAAAAATGTGGTTGAAAATAGTAACAATTAGGCTATAGCGTACTTGTTACTGTTTTCCTCTTACACATTTTGCATGTAGATTTTCTCAAATGATGTAAAATGTGATTGAAAAAAAGTAATAAGTACCGAATTATGTATATTATTTCATTTAATAAGGTGTTTAGGTTGTGCGGTTATTGAAGCAACGACACAATGAGAGGAAAAATCTCAACAAGAAACGCGTCGATCATGATCTGCTTGAAGCCATCAATAAAGTGAGCAACACACTAACTACATTAACAAGACTGTAGACACGGGCATTACAAACTACAAACTCTTCTAATTTGCTTCAAATCTGCCGGATTGACATGATCTATAGCTCAAAAAATAGAGAATCTCAAGAGCTTTTAAACGGGCTAAAGCACCCCCAAAAATATCTGTAGTCTTGACTCGAAACGGACCGTACTCGTGCATAATCGAAGCGATCGAGTCACGACTATAAACCACTGTAACTTTCTTTAGCATTGATATTTTTGGGGGTGCTTTAGCCCGTTCGAAAGCTTTTGAGATTCTCTATTTTTTTGAGCTATAGATCATGTCAATTCGGCCGATTTGAAGCAAGTTAGAAGCGTTTATAGTGTGACAGTTCGTCATTTTTGTAGTTTATAATGCTGATGTCTACAAGACTGTAAAACAACAGTAGACGGCAGTTGAAGAATTTGAAAATTATACAAGTCAACTTACTGAATTACTGCAGTGAGATAAGTTATTGTAAGCTGTAAACTATTATAGTTGATAATGATAGTTTTTTTTTTTCTAGTTGGCTCCAACTTTCATGTCGAGTATTGATGATGATGGATCGAGGGGTGAAGAAAGAGATGAGGTCGAATCACAATCAGATGACACTCACACTGATCCCCATCACAACTCACCAAATACCTCTTTTTCTTCATCATTTTCCGAACAAACCACCATCCCATCTTCACTCATGCAACATCTCAGAGCTGTTTAAGTTTTCTTTTCTATTTACCAATATTGCAAGCCCAATTCGGAAACTTCAAAAATCCAAATCTTTTTACAAGTTATACTTGTGCATTATAATATAATGAGCTGATTTGTAAATCTCAAAACTTTATCTTTACTCTTTTCAACAATTACGTGGCCTTCTATTTCTGTTGATTTCATGAGAGTGGGACAAATGCGACCTTTTTTTTGCGCACCTTGCCCATTAGCGCACCTTTTTTTCGCGTTTTAAAAAAGCTCTAAAAAGCTAATGTTAACCAATTTCTATTCCAAATGTTGCTTTTCTAGGTAATTTGAGGGTGTCGAATTCAAATTTTGACATAACAGAGCGTGTGGAATCAATTTGAAAGACAAAACGGCTAGATCAAATTACAGAAAATTGTCGATTTTTCTCTTTGTATAACTCCGTCCGTTTGTTTCCACAAGCTCTGATATGTCAAAATATGTCAAAATTTGAACTCGACACCCTCAAATTACCTAGAAAAACAACATTTGGAATAGAAATTGGTTAATATTAGCTTTTTAGAGCCTTTTTAAAACGCGAAAAAAGGTGCGCAAATGTCCGGGTGCGCAAAAAAAGGTCGCATTTGTCCCACTCCCGATTTCATGATTCTCATGTGATTATCTCATTTTATCGATATTCTAATAAAATTTTGGTAGTATAATATTTGTTGAAAAGCGCTATAAATAAAAGTAATGCAATAAATAGACAATTATAAATTAAGACAAGACAGTCGACACATCTGCTTACAAAGATGAAAGAAATAATTTCCTGTTTGTTGATGGAAAGGCGTTGCTTAAGGGGTTTCCGGTGAATAATTTCTTGGCAGATCTTCTATTTTGGCAGATTTTCCATCCTCACTATAAGATCTATTTATAAATTGCTATCTTTCATTTGAAAAGAAAAGAAGATCAACACCTCGAAACTAAAAATGGTCAACAACATTGAAAATGAAGTGACCGACGAGGAGAAAATCAACTTTTTGCGAAGTGAGTTGTCTTAATATTTATTAATTAATTTATAAATAGATTTTTTTTCTATGAATTTATCTTTTAGGCTGTTCCGATCATAAACTGTTCAACTTTTTGTTAAACGATCTGGAAGCATCTAAAGAGGAACCGAGTGGAATTATGGCAAAAAATGTAAGTTTTTACGATTTACAAATAGTGTAGACTTTAAAAATCTTCTAAACGATAATAAAAGTGGAATAGATTTAAAAATAAAGTGTAATTCAGCAAATCGCCGTTCGATGGACACGCGGACATCCATGGGAAATTGTGATGAACACGGAGCTGTTCGCGAAGAAATGGGGTCGAACCACGTTTCATTCACTTTCACGTACACTCAATCAACTCTCATCAATGCGTATTGGTTCACATTGTCTCTTGAAGCGACAATCGATTGGTGTTTATCGTTTCTTTGGCGGTCATAATGAGAACAGGTGAAAACTATTGTAATTTATCAATATTGTAAATCAATAAGCAATTTGATCATTATTATTTTCAATTTTTAGTTTACCGATTGTTCCCACCGAAGAGTTGAATTCTCCAACAAGTCGAAAAAGAGCTGCCGCCCCTGAGGATATGCAAAATGGTTAATAAATTGATTTTTAAAAATAAAAAAGTAAATCATTTACAGAAATAACTCCAAAAAGGATGGCTATCTCGAGTGTGGGCAACTATAAAGGAGTGGCTTCAATCAACCATCATCACATGCATTCACAACATTTCTTCCCGCAACAAAGTAACTTTTTGTAAAAATAACGTCTCTCACTAAAGTAACAAAGTAACTTTCTGTAAAAGTACACATTACTTTAAGTAAAGCACAATAAAAAGTATAGTACTTTTATTTCGGCATACTATAGTAGACATTGTACTGGATTTTTCAGTACCTTTAAACAAAATCTATATCTAAACTTAAATCAAATGAATAAAAGAAAGAAAGAAATTTGTAAATAAAAGAAAATTTCTATATTCTAGATGCGAATCCTTTTTCTTCATTTACTCCCGGAGATTTCTTGCAAACGTTACCAATGGCTCCTAATCCACAGGTATGTTTTTTATGAGTATACTGAAAAAATAATAAGCTCGTTTTTTTCAAAACTCGACTTTTTAGCCCTCATCGGTATTCCTAAGCCCACAAACACCCGGCATGAGAATGGGGATGGCTGATCAAAGCTTCACTCATTTCTCTCATTTTGTCCCATCGTCATCATTCCCTTCACTCATCCCGACTCTTCCCATCGATTCAACAAAAGAGGTTTACTTTAATAGTTCACTAAATTAAAAAAACAATAAAAAAACAATAAAAAAACGTACTATACTGAGATATCTAACTGTAATCTTATTCTTTTTTTCTTTAGTAACTGCCCCAGTGAAGTCAATCGTCGACTGAAGCTAACTAGGAAAAACGATTATAGTGTATCGTGTTAATACTTTGCTTTATTTTCATTTTGATTGGTATAATAAAACTTTATTGAAAAGGTTAAATGGCAAGAATCAATGAATGCAAAAAAAATATACCCATATTCAAGAGCCATCGGGATACAGCCAAGTGATCTTTAGATTTTGGTTGTTTTTTTGACAAAAATCATTAAATCACAATATTATTGCCCCTTGATTGATTTGATTAAAAACAAGATCGTTTAGATAAAAGCTATTTAACAATTTTAGAGACGAAACAATAAAGATAATACTTATTTTCTGGTCGCTTCCAATGTGATCCATTGTTGGGATAATTCGTGTCGATCCAATCTCTCTAATCGAATATCGGCCTGAAAATTTTAAAGCCAATCAAATACTCTGGTGTGTAATTTTAAAAACTTATAGTTAAATTTGAATTTGAAATCTTACCTGTCCCAGTACAGGAATTTTCGTGGCAATCCCATAGTTGCGGCTGTCTTTCACCTCAAATGAAAGCCGATAGTTGTGCATATCGGACTTGTTCATATCAAACTCAAAACTAAAATACTCGACAATTTAGCAAATAAAAAAGGAGTCACTGATTGTCAAAAACGGGATCGATCGTGTTGTGCGAGATGCCAGTTTTTCGCTTTTCGATCACTCGTTTTGAGTCAATGCTGATTAACTTACAAACCACATATGGATCAGCTGTTTCTAAAATAGATGCAAATCAGATTTCTATTTAACAGATATATAACAAACTGTTTTGCTTGTCGACAGGAAGTAGATTTCGAGCACGAGTTACTTCAAGAATCAACTTTCCCACCGCATCTGCGTATCGAATTGAGATCTCCAAAGCGCCTCGAGGAGCATCCGATCTAAAGAAAGATTTCATAAAAGAAAGTCTATTCAGAGTCTTTTTTTTTTTACTTTTAATATTATCCCAGAGACCAAACGAAAAGATTGTAGAAGCTAGGGGAAATACAGGGTGTCCCAAAAGTTCTTATACTTTTGCAAGCGGACAGTTTGACTCGAAAAACACGCTATTTATGAAAAATTAACGCCTGTTTATGAAAATTGAGGTATTTTTACCTCTACTATGGTTTTTTTGCATAAAATCTGAAACTCTAAACAACTTTTTGATGATGATGTTTAAAGGTCGTCACAGCGCTTTTTTTGCTCTTGAGATTTGAGTGCTCTTCGTAGAGTCGTTTGAAAATCTTTCGTTTTTGAGATATAACGTTAGTTTGTAGCTTGTTTTCCAGAAAAAAAACTTAGGTCTGTCAAATAATAGCAACAGTTTTTGGAAAAAAACAAGTTTCATTCTGCAAAATTTAAGTCAACTTTCGCAAAAATCTTCAGCGACCTAGTCAAAAAGTTGTTGAGAGTTGAATCTTTTTATGAAAATCTAGGCATAATGGAGTAAAAATACCTGAATTTTTAGAATCCGGCGTTAGTTTTCCGAAATTCACGTGTTTTTCAAGTCAAAAGCTTACTGCTTACAGAAAATCATAAGAACTTTTGTAGAAAGAACTAAATATTTTCACAACTACGGCACAACTTAGAGTGGGACCCGACGGGATATCTCGAGGGGGCCGAATCTCCGATTTCGAACGAATCGAACGGCGCAATCGGGCCACGAGCCTGAATCTCGGATAAGTGGTCAAAAAAACCGCATGCTATAAAACCCTTATCAAAAATAAAATTAGAATAAAGACAAACGGTAAAGTTTTGTCCAATTCGTGTCGACTCTTGAATAGTCGACCGACGCGAGAACTGGTGTGTCCTGGGGATTTTGTGCTCGCCATCGAATTGATCGATCCACTGTGATTGAGCTGAAATTAGGCAATCATTACAAAAGAAAATAACTATAGAAAGCAATCAGTGAGCCCGTAAATGCTAAACCGCAAAAATTCGAAAACGAAATCTATGAAAAAACAGAAAAGGGACATTTTATAGGAGTTCGTCCTCAAGCTAGCAACTAGAAACGAAAAAAAACGAAAAGTTACGCTTCGTTCGTCGATATTCGTTTCAAAATCTATCTCAGCTATTGACTCTATATCCTAAGGAAAAAAAAGGATTTTGTTTATATGGAAGAAACAAAGGGATAGACAAACATGGAATTGAGTCGAGTCCATCTTCACCTCGACCTCAAGCGGGCCAGCTTTCGGATTAACAGTTTTCGCCGGCTCCACCGCTGATGCGTCTCCATTCGCGAGTTTACGATCGGCTCTTTCAATATGTGAACCTTGAAAATAAAACCTTGTTTTTACTTCTACAATTGTTAAAAACTTATTTCTATTTGTTTATCTTATAAGAATAAATTTCAAGTTTTACATCAATTCAACCTACCCGTTGCATAGACTTTTAAAGTGTCGTCGTCGAGTTCGTGCATATTTTTCTCTCCCGGATATAAACCCTGAAATTAAATCTACTTTTTTTCCGATTAAAATGAATAGTTGATTTAAATTTTTACTATAAAAACCCTTACATTATTCCCTAGAATTGAGTCTTTTCTTGTGGCTTCAACTAGAATCTAAATGGGGCATTTTTAATGTCAAAATTTGAAGTGAGTGAGAAAAATCAAGGAGAAAAAAAATCGAAATCGGGATTTGTTATGAAAAAACTAGCATGCAGTAAGTGAAGAATAAAAAAACACCCTTTTAAGAGTTTTTTTTGTCGTTTGGTAACACGCATCACACTTTTGGGTACTTGTCGGCTATACCCCCACAAACATTTGAATACCAAGTCAAACAGTACAAACAAGTCAAATTAGCATAATGATGTGTAGTTCATGGGTTAAAGGAATCCTTCTAGACTCACTTACAATAGACGTAGCTAAAATTGAACTACGTAAAACAGTAGTTTGATACTAATTTAGTTGATCAATAAGCCTTGTGGAGATTATTGACCAACTAAATTAATATTCAAAGAAACACCTTCCCATACCGACAAGTACCCACTTTTGAATCACTTTATGACAAGAAACTTACCCGCAATCTCACAGTGACAACCATTGGACATTGATGCACTCCATGAGTCAAATGCAATGTTTGTTGATAAAACTAGATTTTTATGTTTTCTTTTGCACAAAAAAACGCTAAATTTCACCTCAAGGTTTGGCTCTTTGATGAGAGCTTGTAAGGGAATGGACATTGTGCCGAGTGACTTTCGAGTCCCATCGTCGATTGCCTGGTAGAAAAATTACTATTTACAGTTTTTTTTCAATTTGTTTACTTCAAATTTCAGCTCTTGATTTTCCGGATGTCTGACGAAGAAGAAAAATTTCACTTGATAAAGAGGATTCACCGTTTTCACCTGAAAACATGATACACCCATACATATTTCGTCAAACCTTCACTGGAGTTCTTTGTGTTTCTTTGCCAAGGCTAACTTCAACAAATGGAGATGGCTCGAGCTTTGATTTCGGGTACTAAAAGCCGAAGTTATAAGCTGAAAACTGATCAAACCGGTAGATCGGCCACTGAGTCCACGTAAACCATCAACAAAGCCGGATGGATTGGCCGATTTGCTTGAAGCCACTCTGTTTCCCATTCCTAGAATCATTCCTTATTTGGGTTTTTACTTTTTTTTTGCAAACCTGTTGTTCTAAATGTTGGATATTTGTTGATAGATTGAGCCACGTTGCTTTTATGTGAAGATCGCCGTGTTTACAGCCCTCGAGCGGGAACCACTAAAAGATGAGTCAAGGTCGGCATGAAGAACTTTCGATATTTTCGATATTTTCGATATTTTTAGTATCTCGAAAAGATAAGAAAATAGCTAAATTAAATTAGGTTTTGAATAGCCAAATTATATTAAAGGAAGAGTTCGGTTTGAGACCGATTCTCACTAAAATCAAATTATCGACAGGTGGGCATAGAAATATAATTTTTTTTGGTGAAGTTTTATGTAGAAATGATTAAAGTAAATCGGTTTATCGATCATTTATCAGGTAATAAAGGAGAAAATCAGCTTTCCAGGCCTTTTAACCTTGAGTATTTTAGCTAGTTTTGATTTGAAAGTAAGTAGAATTTGTAGGAAAAATAAAGCCAAATTTAAGGCAAAGAATTCTCCCAGGAATTTGGGTAAATTTATACAAAAAAACTATATTACTTACATTTACCTGTCGGGAATTTGATTTTAATGTGAATCGGTTCTAATTCGAATCGCTTCTTTAACGTGCTCTAAAACGAACCTTCTGAACGGTTCCTTTCTGCTGGATGTTAGCCAAATTGATGGAAAGCCTTCCCAACTCTTCATCCTGTCCCCGATCCTCGTCGAACACTTCGATTCTCAATTTTTGACCATCGGCCTGAATTTTTTTCTTAGTTTTGAGTGCCTGCTTTCAACAGATGATAAGGAAACAATAGGCTCAAGGCAGAAAAAAATTTCTAGTCTTACCTGATCGACGACGGCTTCAAAATATTCATTGAACACTGGATTCAGATCATCGTCAATCGTTCGTGTTTTGAAATACTGAGAGCCAACTAAAATTTCTTTAAAAAGATTATTTTTGTTCAAACTACCTTGAACTTCACAATAGGGATCGCTCTTTCCTTTTTTGATAAAGGAAATGTCACGGTTTTCAAGATTTTTAGCCTCAATAATCTTCAAACGGACAACACCCTGAAAGTATTTTTTTTTATCTAAACAAAAAGATTTACAAACATCCGGTTCAGGGAAGAATAAACGAGTGACATCGACATTTGGAGCGAGTGGGACAACGATTTCATTCGGAAGCACAGCAAAGGCTGCCACTTGAGAGTTCAGCACCGATCTGTGGAAAGTGGGATTTGTTTTTGAGTCGATTTTCTCCAATCAACAAACCGTATCGCATTCATGAGTCCAGGCAATTCGACGAATTCGCCCATTCCCGTCAAATTGAAATCGATTTTTGGCATTTCAAGAAACGAGGCACTGATCCCGCCAATCATTGGCGGATATGGCAGAAGTGGCTTCAAAACGGCCCTCAATTTACCGGAAAACTGAAATATGAGAAAGGAAAAATGGGTTTTCTAAATGTTAAAAATACCTGGATTTGATTCATTCCACCCGAGAATCCACAACAAGAAATCGCGAAATCCGAATCACCCGCATAAGCGACTTCCATGTCGACAATGATTCGATCTCGACCAACATTATGTGTGTACACCTAAAGCATTCAATGTTTTCGTGTGTTTACCGTAAAAACTCTAATAGAAGCCCACCCTCTTGACTAGAGTGTGTAAATTTCAAGTAAGTGATTTTTATGAAAAAAACGGTTCTCATGAAAAATTTCCCAAAAGTTCCTGTAATCCTCTATATAAAATGAAAGAAAAAAACCCACTTTACGTGATTACCTAGTTTTTCGATTGGCCGATTTTGGAGAGTTAAAAAATACAAGCCTATGGCCGATTGGTTAAAAAATACAAGCCTATGGCCTTCTATTAGAAGTTTTTTTTACAAGATACGGTATTGTATTATTTATGTATTATTTACGGTATTGTAAAGTTCAATGGCTCAGCTATGCTTTCCCCACCTTCACTCCGCCGACTCGACACGGAATATCGCCCATGTCCATTTTTGTGAATTTGAAATTTTTGAATACGGCTGGCATCTGGGCTTTCACCTGAAAAACGAGAAATTTTTAGTTTTTTTTTAGTTTTAAAACCTGTGGTAGAATGACATCTGTTAGAAACACCTTCCCATACTCGCCAATGTAGGGCCACAATTGGTGAATAACCTATGAGAATGTTTCTTATGCTTTTTTTTTCAAAAATTTTTGCTTTTGCTACTTTATTGAGCCATTCCACCCGTTCGGTATCTGGAAATTGCACCCAAGCGGGAAGATCTTGTAGTTGTGCATAGATTACTTCACGTTCTCGCAATGCTGTCGCTTGTAGTGACATCAATCTGCGAAAATGAATTGATTCAACCTTCAGGAAATGCAAAAAGTTTTAAGCTAATTGAGCACAAACTTATTTGTAACTTTTTTTAAAAAGAATTGAATTGAAAATTGAAAAAAGAAAAATTGAATCACCAACCTGCGTTCTCTTTGTTTCCATAGATAACTCTTGACGATGTGCATAGAACAAATGATCAAAATCCAGACAAAAGAATACCTGAAAAGGCTTCAAATTAAATCCTTTTTTGATTTATTTACCCAAATTTTCCCAATGAGAATGAGAGAGCCGAGATGAAGATCGAGCCGACAACCGGGAACACATACGACTCCCAGCTCATCCTCACCGGCTCGTCTTTGGCTGAAAATATTCCCAATAGATTTGTAGCAAGTTTTTTTTTGCATAGAACTATTTTCTAACATAACTACAATCCAAATATAGCCATGATCGTGATGCAGAGAAAAGTGCTCATTTCCCGAAAAACCTTTGAGTCAGCCCTGTGTGCATTTGTGCCAAAACCTCACCGTGCATATTTACTTTTCTCCCCCCCAAAAAAGTGCGCTTATTTTTAATTCAAAGCAACTGAGGAATAAAAAACTATTGCATTCATTGAAGAATAAAAAGAAAGCTATTGCAAATCCTAGCGCATTTAAAACCCAGACAGTGTGTCGGTGTCGGCTAAAAGAAATTTCAAGGAATCAAATTTAAACAAAATTAAAGCTAATGGATTAATTGGAAAAACAATACAAGATAAACGGGTTTTCAAACGATTTTGAAAAGGATGCACTTTGCAGAAAAAGTTTTGAAAAGAAAAGTAGCGTTTTGGTCTTTTTTTGGTGGTTGGAGGGGTGAAAAAAAGAAAAAAGAAGTTAAAGAGGGTTACAGAAAAGATAAAGAGAAAAGAGGGGAAATGGGGGAAAAGAAAAGTGCGAAAAGGGCAGATGGATGGAATGGAAAAGAAGAAGGAAAATGAGAATGGGACTGAAGAGAGGGAGGGAGGAAGGAGGGAGGGAATGGGACTGAAGTAATAGAGGAAGGAGGGAATGGGACTGAGGAGATGGAGAGAGAAGGGATGGAGGGAATGGGACCGAAGTGATAGAGGAAGGAGGGAATGGGACTGAGGAGATGGAGAGAGAAGGGATGGAGGGAATGGGACTGAAGTAATAGATGAAGGAGGGAATGGGACTGAAGAGAGGGAGAGAGGAGGGATGGAGGGAATGGGACCGAAGTGATAGAGGAAGGAGGGAATGGGACTGAGGAGATGGAGGAAGGAGGGAATGGAACTCAAGAGAGGAAGAAACGAGAGAAGGAGGGAATGCGGAGATGGGCGACGAAAGATTGATTGAGGGGAAGCAATTCACAAAATAGGCTATTAAAAAAGGAGACACTTTAACCCTTGTCTTTACATATTTGATTAAAGCACATTAAATGTCATGTCCTATTTAGATTAAACAACAATAAACCTGCTTAAGCGTTTCTTGCAGTTATCCGCATTTTTGCAGGCCTTTTACTGTTTTTTTTTCTGAAAAGAGAGCCCAACTATAAAAAAATTTATTAGCGCTAACGGCTCTTGGATAGTTTAGGGGACTTTAGAATGGTTAGTCAAGCTATAAATGCTTATAACATCCGACAAAGACAATATATTCGTCTATTTTGCTTCTCTTTTTTTGCTCTATTGCGGCTATTTTTGTGCTATATTTTGAAAGAAGAAATTCCAGATTTTCAAATGTGACTAAATTGAGTTAAATTGGATAGATCAGTTAAATTGGATAGATCAGTTAAATTGGATAGATCAGTTAAATTGGATAGATCAGTTAAATTGGATAGATCAGAAAATCGAATGGCTGCAAGTCACTTTGATTTTGCCTTTGACTTTGAATGAAGAAAACTGCAAAAAAACGATTACGATTAAGAATAGATGTGAAGCATGTTTATTGTTGTTCAATCTAAATCGAACATAAAGATATAGATAAAGATATAGATAAAGATATACATAAAGATTACATCTCCTAACTATTCTTTAGCAATACTTTAGGCAGCTTTTGAACGATTAAAAATTAAAATTTAGTGAAATAGTAAGAGGTACATTTTGAATGAATAAACGAATACCTGGAGGTTTGGTCCCTTTTTTGGTTGTTCTTTGCATATCTGAAAACTTTTCTTTAACTATTCATCATTAAAGAAAAAGCCGCGAAAGAAATTGTCCGGAAATGGGTAGGAAATTGCTGAAAACTGATATGAGAAAATGAAAAAGAAAATTTTCTCGACGAACATTTAAGTAAAATTTTGTTCGCTTGACGATTCACTTTAAGAAATGAATCGCTTCTTTCAACAGTATTGCCTATTTTCGGCGTGCTGAATGTATTTGATTGAAGAGAAAAAAGCAGCGCGAGGCAAAAAAAACATCATGCAAAAAAGTGCCGGGCCGACTGACTCATTTGAAATGAATTTTCAAAGTCTCCATTGATAAAAAGTTCCTTGAAAATAGCATTTCCAACTGTATTCATTGAGACTTTGAATTAAGAAAAAAAATTGTGAAAAAGCTGACAAAGAATTCTAAAGTTTATTGGAGAAATTGGCTTCTGTGAGAATGTTTTGTCTATTAACCCATTCGAAACCGCAGCGTTTTTTCTTTTTCTTCGTCTACGGACCAAGCCCTTTTTTGACATTTTTGACTCCGAAGCAGTTTATTTATGGTTGGAAAGATGTAAGAGAGACTCCTACACCATTTATTTTTGATGAAGAACGATTTGGATTTGTCTTCAGTACTTTTCAAGATCCTGTCGATTATTGTTCTTATTTTATCGACGACAATATTTTAGTAGGCGAATCTAATAAACATGGAAAAAGGAAAACAAACTGGCAGGATTTCGATGCAAAATCTTTCAAGCTCTTCCTGGTTTCAAATGGGAATCGTCAAATTACCGAGGATTCGTGACTACTGGAGTAGCAGGCCTGGATTAGGAGGATTTTCCCACATGTCCCACATCATGTCAAGAGCAAAATTTGAATATATTCTTCGCAACCTGCGTTTTCGTGATAATGAACTGGATCCTGCAGGAGATCGGCTTTATAAGATTAGAGCTATTATGGAACATTTCAATGCAAAACCAGAGACTGCATTGATTCCGGGTAAATATGAAACATCTTTTTGCCCACGTAATTTGTAGATCTGCTACAATTGGAATATACATGTAATGCTGAAAAACAGCAAAAAAAAAGCAATTAATTGAATGAAAATAGCTCAATTAGCGCTGCAGCGAATAATCGCTGCAGCGGTCCGTTCCTGAGTTTTTGCTGCAGCGATTATTCGCTGCAGAAGTTTCGAATGGGTTAAAAAGATTCAAACAAATAAATATATTATAGGAAAGAAAAAGAGAAAGAGAAAAGAAAAGAGGAAAAGTAATTTCGCAAAACACAAGTGTTTCCGTCTTTTGTGAAAAGATGAAAGTTTGTGAAAGAATAAGGGGATGAGGCTGAGTGAAATGAGAACAGTGAGTAGAGGCAAATATTTGGGGAGGAAAGAGAGAAAAGAGCGAAAGAGCGAATGAGACTTCTTCTACATTGTGAACTGTTTTTGGAGAGTGGACGGGGACACAACGAGAGACCAAAGTGACTCTCCACTCATCTCTTTTCACATTTCACCCCTTTCAACAACAATCAATCGTTTTCTTCATTTAGAACTTTTAAAATGATTACCGTAAATACTGTAATTGTACCCCACCCCCATAATGACGGTGCGGCGTGTTGCGTAGTCTAGTTTTGAACGAGTTTTTCTCGACACTGGTTTATGCTAAAATGCTCGCTTAGGTATCAAAAAATAGCCCTGAATTTCGGCTATTTTTTGATACCAAAGACGCATTTTTTGAAAGTACGGGCGCTTTGAAAAAAATGAAATACTAAAAAACTTTTGCGACTACGCGACTGTACGAGGCGGGTGGGGTACTATTACAGGATTTACGGTATATATATATATAATAAACAATACTTAATATTGATTTATATTTAAATAATCATTTAACACTTAAATAAGCATATAAGGCTGTAATCAGATAACTTTTCATATCATTTTTAATGAAAACAAAGTTTAGCAATAAAGGCAATCATTTTTGAGGAATGCAAAGATTCAAATAAGCATTGTGGCAATAAAAAAAACACGTTTGTTCATCAATCAGAGGATTTTTTTGGAGTGAAAACGAATCAACGAGAGATTAGAAAGAGAACAAAACGAGTGTAACAATTGGACCAATGATTTTTCCCCCTTGTTTCTCGAATTTTTTAAAATCATTTTTAAAATGATTTTTTTTATTGGAAACACTTTTGAGGTAATGCTTTTATTAACAGACTTTTTTCTTATCACAAATTCAACAATCACAATGGCTAGTATTGTAAATTTAATACCTAAGAAAGAAAAAGAAAGAAGAAGAAAGAAACATTTCTGAACAATCATATTGATTTGATTTGATTGAGGAGAACAAAAAACTATCTACACTTTTAAAGATCACGCACAAATTCTCAAAAATTTCCTAAACTGACAAGAGAGTGCACCGGATCATAGAATCAAAGGATCAAAGGATCAAAAGAAAAAAAAAAGTGGGAATACATGTTCACCCGATCAATAAAATTTTTGTCATTTTGAGGCACTTTTTAAAAAAAAAGAGCTTTCAGAAAGTTAAAGGGATTTTTGTCTAAAAAGAATGAACCCTTCTGAATCAAAGAATCATTTGAAAATATCGAATAGTTATTTGTTGCATTTTTCTTAAGCTTTTTAATCTTTTTAAAGTCATTTTGTAGTTGAATCAATAAAATGTTTGAAATGAAAGTGAGTCAAATTATGTGCAATTGTGAAAAGAAAAATCTATATGAAAAACAAGGCGACTATAGAGAAGAGAAAAGGCAAAAATGGATGAAGAGGGATCGATGCACACGGTTCGGGTAGATCGGGATCGCCGATAAATTCGGGGATATTGTGATTTTTTGCCCCACTTTGATCCATTGAGCCATCGAAAACCTCGCCTATTGAGTGATAAGCTGGTCGACATTCTGTGCAAAGTTGCTCGCACGGCGGACAGATAAGCACACCCTCGCGGAGCCAGCCATTTATGATCTGAAATTCTTTTCAATCTTCAAATCGAAGAATTGTGATTTTAACAATTTTGCTAGTTTCATTTGAAAAGATCTAAATTTACCCGTTTTATATGAACTTTCTGACGCTCTTTATAGCAAGGATAGAGTTGAGTTGAGTTATCGACTCCTACGAACAATGTTCCATTAATGCAAGCGTGCTGAAAAGTTTTTTCTTCGAACTTTTTGCATTTTGCACTCACTTCATAACATCCAGCATGGTATTGAGTGAAACTTCTCGTTCGGCCACATCGTTTTTCTGTCCAAGGATGATAAAGATCAAAACATCTTGATGAAGCTCCATAAATCTGAAAAATAATTGAATACAAAATGTACTTTCTTTTTCTTTCTGTTTAGAAATATTTTCTTTCTTTCTTTGAAATAAATCTTTCTTTTTCTTCTTCTAAATGATTACTTCAAGAGTTCCCTCGACTCCAGCTTGATTCTCTTCAAGTTCACAGCGAGAATCTCGTCTTGTCGAACCATTTAGCGATTTCCATTCGAACTCCTGAATCCGTTTTTAAAGTAAAAAAAGGAATATCAAGCTTTGCAAAAAAACGAAAGTTATTAATAATATATTCAATTAATAAGATGTTTATTTGGCTTACCTGATTGTACGGACAAAAGTCGGCCAATTCAACAGAACCACCAAAATGCTTCACTCCTTCAACTTGAACTCCCGGCAAGGAATCAAAATTTCGAAACGCTAAATCAAATCATTAACAATCGTTTAAAAGAGAAACACCTATTGGAAGCTCGGATTTATAAGGAATGAGATTGCAAAGAGCCAACGAATCCCTTTGTGCTGTGCAACGTGTGACCGCTAGAGATCTAAAAGTTTGGAAATTTTTTGAGTGCCAAAAAAGTTTATCCCACTTTTTCCCGTCATGTTTTATGTGCTCACAAAACGGATAGGCTCCCGAGGCTCTGTAAAAATGAAAATTTCGAGAATTGCTCACGAAAAATCACAAACTCATTCTTTTGCTTCTTTATCCATTCACCGCAACTTTTCGTCGCAAAATCGCACCCTAAATTGTGCCCCCAATGCAGCTGCTCAGCAATACTGAAATGAAATTTGACATTTCTTTTTATACTACTAATTTTTTTTTTGTGTTTCTTACTTGTAATTTGGTTTATACCATCCAGAGTCCTCCAATAAAGCTAATGTGATACGAGAGTAAACGGGATTTTGCGTATGCGTGCCAGTCATTGCTTCATTCTAAAACCCAGAAATTTCTTCTAATCTTAGACTTCTTTTTTTTCCCTTCTTCTCACCTCGAAGAGCCTTTTTTCCCAATGAGTGAGTGCTGTTCCCTCACCACCTTGATTTTCAAGCTCAGCTCCTTCCAAACTGCAAGAGTTGTTTGCACATTGATCAAAAATCGCTTAGATAGCTCACCTATCACAGCCGAAATGTTTCCTTGCCTCTTCTTGTACTTTTGGTGTCACCATTATATGAACTGGATGTATGATCTGAATACTTGCGTTAAAAAAAAGAACTTGTTCCTTAGTCTCCTTACATTTCCTTGTGCTGTCCACCAATTCTCTCGAAGCACCGTTCGAATCGTGCTTTCATCCCAATTATAATAGCCAGATTCACGATTCAATGTCAGGGGCTTTCCATAACGATTTCTGTAAATGGAATCTTTTAGTGATATTCGTTTTGATTGCATTTGAATATAGATTTGAAATCTCAATATACCGAGTGGCTCATAATTATAGCGCCACACTTCAGAGCGTCTAGATTGGTCAAAATTGGATCAATCTTTTTGATTTTTCTGGAGGTAAATCTTAAGTATATCTTCTGGAATTATTATCTAATCGATTCAAGCTTTCAACTTTTTTATATAACCTTCCAAAGTTGAGAGTCGAGTCTCGCTCATTTATGGAATTTTAAAAGTTTAATTTTTTTTGATAAAAAGTCTTTAAGCTTTTAATGATTTTCAATTAATCATAATTATTTATGAAATTTAAAAGCGATAGGCCATGAAAAAATAAGATTTTATTGTTCTTTAGTGACTTCTCGTTCTTCTTTAATGACGCCATTAGTGGCCATAAATCGTTCAAGTGAAAACAGGCCATATTAAGTGAGTTTTGGTGACATTTCTCAAGAATTTTTGCACTTAAACTGCGTAGAGTATGTAAGATTTCGTTCATTAACATAATGAATTCAATCTGAACGAGATTTTGCCAAGATCGCTTTCAAAAGTCTTATAAATGAGTAGCGTGCCGAGCGATACTCGGCTCTCAACTTTGGAAGGTTATATAAAAAAGTTGAAAGGGTTGAATCGATTAAATAATGGGCAGCGTTACAGGAGATATACTTAAGATTTAACTCGAGGAAAATCAAAAAGATTGACCCAATTTTGGCCAATCTAGGCCCTCTGAAGTGCGACGCCACCCTGTAGACTTTACCGTTTCGTTCTCGGTTGACCGGTTTCATCGCGAAAGAAAGCAAATAAACCAGCGGAAAATCCAAGTGCATGTACCATTTCGTGCTTCACAGTTGATATTAAAAGCTAGATTTCTTTTTGAATAACTTTAACAAATTCTGTTAAACCTCTTTATCATGTTTATGGGTAGAAAGCGCTGATGGACAGAGATTCACATGGCCAGCTATTGGTCTATAAAATAATTGTGTATTGATGGGATAACCAAAAACTATCTTTTAGATTAGATCTACCCACCTATCGTAATCCGTCTCTTGTTGACAATGCGCTGCATAAGAAAGTGTGTCCGCATTGTCACATCTGGGCACAGAAACATTAAGAAACATTAAAGCTTTATTTTACCTTTTTGTGTGTATCGCTGAGACGTAAAGCACGAAATCAGCGTTTTCAACTCCATCGCCGGAAACTCCGAGTGTAGCGCAAGCGTCTGGCTTTGAGCAGAATTGACATTCCTATCCGGCTTTTTGATCAGACTCAACATATTCACTCACCAAAAGATGTTCGTTTGGAATCAGCGCTTCGCCACAAGTCGTCTTCTCTTTACATCCCTGTTGTCAAACATTATCATCATTTTACCAGTTCCCTCTCACTTACCACTTCACAAGCAATCGTTTTCTTATCCGGTTTAAAATAATAGTGTTGGGTTAAACATTTTCTCCGCAATTTGATCGCTCCTTCGAGTTTACGTACACTGAAATTTTTCTTGTGAACGAATTACTGTAAAAAAAACAAACTTTAAAGTGTTCTCCCAAAAACCGGCTGCTTCTGGTAAAAGGGATGACTGAAAATAAAAAGATTCTTTGTATTCAAAATTCAGAAATCAGAAAACTTACGTTCACATAAATTTGTTTATCCGGAGGTAATCTTAAAACACTGTCATCATAATGGATATGTATGCGAAGTGGTCCAAATTTTGAAGGAGTATCCTCGTTTGCTGATCTTAAATTAAAAAACTATTGTTTCGAGTGGTTTAGCCAAGATATAGCCAAGATATAGCCAAGATATTTGATTGAAATGGCGCCGACTTTCAAGAATTTTTCTCAAAAGCAAAAAGCTTTTGTTTTTATGGATTTTATATGCTCCATATAATTCAATGTTTGTATAATTAAAAAGATCTATCATTGCTCTATAAAATCGCTTTTAAGAGATTCCGAAAAGCTTTTGTTTTATGGATTTTATATGCTCCTAAGCGCAACGAGTCAAAATTGCGAGGAGTGTGATTCATCGTTTGACTCGTTTCTTTTACATAAAATTAACTTTAAAACAAAAAATTTAGAGCACATTTAATTACATAAGTAGTCAAATTTTTGTAGTAATCTCGTCAGTCATTTTCTCTAAATGATGATTTATAGATTTTCTGAAAAAAAAATGTTCTTTTATGATAAAGACTACTCGATTTTATAGAAGTTTCTTTGAAAATTGACACCATTTCATACTCGTCAATATTATAACATATTATACTCGTCAACCCAATATTATACCTGATTTTCCGACTTGAACCAGTTGAGCCTATTGGGACTTCAAAAAGAATATCGTCGACCCGTGGATTCTGTGATAAAAGTTTGATTTACAAAATTTACTCTATACAAACCTGGTAAGAGCATGGTAACCCGTTGGAAGACCCGAAAATAAAAGTTAACAAAATCAAATAAATTAGTGCATCTGGAAGCGGCGGCCATTTCGTATTCATCATGAAGGCATTCTGGATTTGAATTTGAATTGAATTGATTTGTATATGATCTCGTTTGAAAAACTAAGAACTTTATGTAAACAATTGTCTTTTTGAAAGAAACAAATTTATAAACTTTGAGAGAAATGGAGGATGGCAGAACGTGAATCTGGGAACAAACAAGGCGGAAGCGGGAGTGCAAAAACCGAACACGGGAATGGATGGGGTGGATGGATGGTGATGGGCAGACTCTCGTCAACAAACAATGCCCCAAAAAGTGGGCACGATTTGCGAGAAGAAATGAAAGTGATTTTTCTGTGAAAGAAACACACAAATTTGTGTCCCAACAAAACGAAAAAAAAAAAGAAACGAGCATGAGGAAAAGGGAGAATTTTTCTTCGAGGCAACCCGACCCGTTCACCCATTGTCCCGTTGAAAATCAAGCTTTTCCTTGAAAATTCGCGGATCGGTCATGAAATTTTTCTTCGAAATAGATCTATTTTGAATTAAAAAAGCTTTTCAAAAAGAATAGACACATTCAATAGAGTATAGAGAAGTCGATCGTCGAGAAAGGGAGCTGAGTAGACATTGTTTGTGTGACTATCGGGGAACGTTTGCGGAAGAAAAGGGTGGTTGCTAATCACTTGGTCAATATTTTACTTCCAATCCAGTATAACCCAATATCAAACCTTAAAAAGCTGCTTTTTAACAAAAAAAAATGGAATATCTTGTGTCGAATGAATCCAGAGACAAAATTAAAATGATAAATTTCAAGTCTGATTGATCGGGGTGAGTTGCAAGGGGATTTGCGCATGAGAGACCGGGATTTTCACTTTTCGCTCCACTGAATTTGACGAAGAGAAAAATGAGCGAGAGCGAGAATCGAGGAAATGACGAGAGACGGAGAGACGAGAAGAGAAATGAGGAGATCAATAGGGGAGTAGAGGAGCCCTCCGGGGAAGAAAGAAGCCCTCTTCCTACCCCCACTCACCCCCACTCCATCCCTATAGCCAGTTCTTCTTACCCTTTTGTGTAGCCACACTTCGTCAACGCATAGTAAATTATTTTTGACCACCTCGAAACGTTTTTTTTTGCGTTGACTCTCCACCAAATCGCCAACTGGCAACTGGCGCCAACTGGCAGCAAGCTTTACGCAAAACAAGAGAAATGTTGCACATGATGAAATAATAGAATAATAGAAAAAAGAGAAAATTAAATAAAATTATAGAATTATAGAATGATTCAAATACTCTCCTAAACAATGAAGTTTAAACAGTGAAACTTGCAAAGAGAAAAGTTGAATCCGAATCGGAAATGGCCAATGACGGATAGAGTCCTCCCTTTACTGAAGAGCCAAATCCACTCAACCTCATCTCTCATCACCTCTCCCATCTCTTCTATTTTCCCCCACTTGTCTAACTCAATCCCCCTTTGACAGATGTCCAATTTGTTATGCCCAATATTCGGCCACTTACCAAAATTCTCATGAATACTCAGCCTAATTGTGTGACCCTCACTTGAAGCTTTGAAACTGTCATGACATTAACACTGCCGAATAAGTAAACATTTATAAATTTCGATAAATTAACCTTTGATGAAAACCTTTAATGAATAACAAATAAGGAAAAAAAAGCTCTTAGCGTAGAGTATTTTCGAGGCGACAAGGATCGACCTATTTTCGAGTGAAAAGGCGGCTCAAAAAGGAGATATGACTCTTTTTCGGTCATAAAAGTGCTCAATTTCATTCAAAATCAAGTCATATGATGTGGGAAAAACGAGCAAAAATCCAATTTCTATGTAAATTACTAGACAAAGATTGATTGTGCATTTATGAGGTTGGCCAAAATTTGCTCAGAGAGTGCTGTGCTATTTCTCTGTCTATTCGCTCAGCTATACCTTCTCTTTTTGCCCCTTTCCTCACCAATTTGCTTACCAATGCTACCTAGTAAACATTCCCAAACAAAGGCCTTTACTCTCTTTCCATAAAATTTGATGAATCAATACAGTAGAACTTTATTAACAAACCCCGTAAAGCTTCATTAAAATTATATTGTAGTAAAGAAGGTGAAAAAGATTGAATTCAAGAGCTTTCAATTCAAGATTTCAGCACTTAAAAGGACAAACCAAATGATGGGGCAAAAACGATTATCAAATGTGAATGTGAGTGAATAGATCTCATGGTCATGGGGTACCAGACTGTTCAATCCCTCTTCACCAAGCACCCTTCACAGGTACTCAATCCTTTTCCTATCGTTAATCAACGCTAAAGGACAAAAGAACGTGACCTTTTCATCGATTTTCCCTTCACATACATGCTTCACACATGCAAACATTCAATCGATTCAATTCAATTCAATTCAATCATTTCTAGAAACAATTCTAGATTCTAGATTTTCTAGAAACAATTCTCATTTCTATAAAACAAGCTAGACATGCTGAAAAATGCAATTAAACACATAGAGGTTCTTTTTACAAAATGAAACTCATTAAAGTGCAAGAAAATTAATTATGTCTATCTGAAATGTTTTGTTTATAGAATAATTTATTCTTTCAAATTTCAATACCACAATTCTGTGGCTTTCGTTTTATGAAAAGATTATTGGGGTGTGTTTGCTTGGGCAAAGAAGGGTGATCGCTTGAGATCAGAAGCAAGCGGGTGGCTGTTGCAAAGCCCTCGGGTCAACTTTTCACTTCTCGATGATTGTGATGAAGGTCTTCTCAGGGTCTCTTTTATTTCTTTTCTTTGAGTCTTTTTTTTTCACTGGGAAACTCGCCAACCCAACAACAGACCCGGATGCGGCGATGGATCGTCTTCAAACCGGACTTTTCTTTCGTTTCTTTTCTTTTCTTTTCAGCCCAATTCTCACCTTCAGTCATCAGGCAGCTTCACGTTTTTGATCGAGGTTTTACTCATCGTATGTTGTATACAATTTTCACTTAATGGTATTACTTTTCACCATAATATTTAGCGTACATAAGAACTAAAGATTTCTATTAGCAATTTAGCGATTTCTATTAGCAATGCATTAGCAATTTAGCTTATAAATACAGTCGGCAAAAAAAGTCTTGCACCATTGTCTCTCAGAGACTTAAAACAAAAAATTTTCCGTAAAAATAATCGTTTCAGAGAAAACTTTTTCACAACTAATTCTACTATTTTTGTCTAGTTTCCGGACATGTTAGCCATTTTTATTACAAGCGACTCCTTTTTTACGTAAAACAAAGTTTTATCAGAGACAGCCGGTTTAAAAAGCAAAAAAAGTCTTGCACCATTGTTGTATTCTGTTGTTTACTATGGTATAGACGACACTTAATGCCTTCTCCGTTTGTACTTTTAGTAACTGAGTCTGACTCAAAAGTGACTAAAAGTACAAACGGAGAAGGCATTAAGTGTCGTCTATACCATAGTAAATAACAGAATACAACAATGGTGCAAGACTTTTTTGCCGACTGTAAATTCAAACACCATTAAATCTTTGCATAAATTCTTTTGTATAATATTTTTGTTTGTATTAAATTGTCGAGAAAGTTGTTGTTTTTTTTCGTTCCTTTTCATACTTTCATTTAAAATGAACAAATGCATCAAATGCACTACGGTTTGGTTGGATGAGAATTGGATGAACAAAATTCAATCTTCCAGACGTAAAAAACGTTTAATTTATTAAGTTGTCCGGAAAGTTTTCATTAATTTTGTTGCAAAATCACAAATTCATCAATAACAAATCTATGCTTTCCTCTAAATAAAAAGTGTTTATTGTTCAGTTTCGATCTTTTTAAGTCAATTTTGGGTTCACTTTCAGGCAAATTCAAGAGTGATAAACGTGTTTTTCGTAAAAACCTATAACAAAAGCCTCTATGAAGGAGTTGGCTGAATCGATTTCTCTGAAAATTTGGCTATATACCAAACTTTTTGATGCTCTATCTTTTATCTATTGACACAAAAATTGGTTTCCTTAGCTAAACTGTGAAAACAGCATCATCGAGCCGCATTTTTGACTACCCGACAAAAAAAGAAAAAAAAAATCCAGACTTAAGACATTTAAAACCCGTTTTAATATCATTTTGCAGATGTTTGCCTTTCTAATAAGTCCTCTAATGGTCCTCTAATAAGCCTTTAATAAATGACCTTTCTAATGAAATAAACCCTAGTTCAATTGGTGCAATTGTTGGTTTTAAACGAAAGTCCAAAAATTAATAAAAAAGACTTTCTGGACAGCCTAATAGCATAACCGAGAGCCGATATAAATGTATAGAAGGAAAGAAACGAGAAAGCGGACCCTCAGTCTGAAGAGGGACAGAGACACATTCAGGGTATTCGATTTCACAATACTCACTCGTATTTTTGCCGCAAAGAGTACCAACTCGGAGATCATTAGTGATGATCGTTGGATAGTCATGTCTATATCTTTTACACTGAATGTTATTTGTTTGTTTACCCAATGAGCATACCTGAACACTATATACAGCGACTAGAGGGGGAGGGGGAAGGCTCAACTTCTCCACATGCCATTCTTGAGTCTCTGTACGGCAACAAGGACTCAATTTTTCAAGTCAATTTATCTTACCTGAACATTACCAAATTCTCTGTGGAAACTAGAAGATCTCCAACTAGAATTCACGAAAAATTGAGTCCTTATTGCCGTACAGAGATTCAAGAATGGCATGTGGAGGAGTTGAGCTTTCCCCGCTAGTCGCTGTATATAGCATTGTGCTAGGCTTAAAAATAGGTATCAGATTGGTTGTTCGTTTTTTAAAAGATCTTTAACTAGAATTCACGAAAAATTGTGTCCTTATTGCTGTACAGAGACTCAAGAATGGCATGTGGAGGAGTTGAGTTTTCCCCCCTAGTCGCTGCATATAGCATTGTGCTCAAAATGCGACATGAATTAAAGAAAAACTTTTCTGCTCTCTTGTTGATTTTTATGGTGACAAATTTGTTACTTTGGTAAAAGAATGGGGATAAAATTTGTTTCTTGCGCAAATATCGGCAGCGTCTGAGTCATGGTCGTATTTACCAACTCTCAGCTCTTCTTTCGCAAGCATTTACTTTTCACTTTTTTTTCTACTTCAGTTAAAGTCCTCCCGCGAACGTTTCATGCATGTCTTAGTTGTTCTTTCGTTTATTCATTCAAGAAATTGATCTTAAAACGAATATTTTAATTTTTAAGCCTTTCTTAAATGATTTTTTGTCTCTTGTTCAGCTTGATTTCCTGATTTCTAGGGATATTTGCTCGGCCTCTTCAAAAATCCGGTACTTCCTTCCAGCCGGCTCATTTTCTCTCTCTCTTCAGCTCAAATTCTTAATGCTTCATAAATCACTTTAGGTATTACAGTTATATTTAGTTGAAAAGATGTTGAAAGTTAAGTTAAAAGTTAGGTTAAAAGTTAAGTTAAAAGTTAAGTTAAAAGTTAAGTTAAAAGTTAGGTTAAAAGTTAAAGCTTAAGTTTTTGGATGTCTACATGATGGAGAGGTAAATAAGAGGTAATAAGTGAAAGTTTTTGAGTTATTTTGCATCAAGTCTTCGCTAACTTAGTGCTGCTGAGTTTTTTTTTTCATTCAGCTGAGTCAACATCCCTTTCCATTCTTTTCTTTCTTTGCTGTCGGTCTTTGGCGCGTTTTCCTGAAAACCTCCTCGTTTGATATCACAAATATTTTGATCTTTAATTATTTGCAAACTATTTTAACAATTGCACTCTTTTATTTATTTTTAGCTTCTCAATTTTCAAATTGTCGTTGACTATTTCCCTGAAATAAACAGTGCAATTTGTTCAGCAATGGGGGTAGCGTATGGAGTGTCATGCTGTACACGAAGCTTTCTCGTGCTTCTCAACTTGGCTATGATGGTTTGTATGAAATATTGCCTATGAACTTAAAAGACTTATTTCTACTTTTAATAGAAATGAGTCTAAATCCATTCTAAATCCTCACCTTTAGGTGGTCGCCTTGGCTGCTTTAGCTTTAGCTATTTGGATTCGATGTGATGGTAAAGAACAGCTGTTAAGACTAAAACGAGTCACTTCTATTTCAGATTCATTTGAGGAATCAATTCGTTCGAATTTACTCGTAAGGGGAGAAGCAGAGCCAATGGGACAACTCAAAGAAGATATGAGAACATGGGTAAAGTTAATGAAAAGGATTTCAAGCAAGCATTTCATTAATTTTAGATTACGGTTTCTTTTTGGGTGATTGTCGGATTTTGCATAGCTTGTGCAATTATTGGATTAGCCGGTTTACTTGGAGCTGCTTCTAGGTAAATGATTGAGTAAAAACATAGAAAATCTTCAAACACAGATCCCGTGTCTTGGTTGCTCTTTATTTTGTGGCGCTGTTGATCGTGATTCTCCTTGAAATAGCTGTCGGAATTTTTGTACTAGTCGAAAGGCATAAGGTGGATCGTTAGAAAAAAAGATATTCAATTGAATTGAAACAAACAGGTTGTACGAGATGCAGTAAAAGAATACGTGCAAGTCTCCTATCAAATGCAGCTTCGTGACGTACAAACACTCGAATATCGGGTAAAAAAAAAAGAGAAAACCGTTTTGTTGAAAGCTTAATTGATTTAGTATGATTGCTGCGGAGTGGAGAATTTTGCAAACCCTCAATGCAATCCTTTATTGGTAAGTCAAAAGTTAGGCTTAAAAATAGGTATCAGATTGGTTGTTCGCTTTTTTTAAAAAATTACTTTTTAAAATAAATAATGAACCAATCGATCAATGGCTTGTTTTATTAAAAAGTCCTATTATTTATTTACAAATAGCTCTTTAAGAAATGCTGAAAAGCTCGCGTTAATTAATTGTTTTAAAGGTATGAAGTCGAGTAGTCAAAACTCAAACTCAAAGTTCCGATTTGAGCACTTTTTGTCAGAGAAATCAATTTTGATGTCAAAAGATAATGATAGGGAATGAAAAGCAGATAGACATCAAGCAGATAGACAAATTTTCATAATATTTCACCAAGCCGTTTTCATTCTATGTCGATTTTAGAAAAAACAAGAATTCCTGTTCGGATTTACTTTAAAGCGGACTTGAATTCGCCTAGAAATGAGCTAAATGAAATCGTTAATCGTTTTTATTTAAAGTAAATCACACCGGTCAGCTAAATATTCATTTATAAATGAATTTATAAGCGAATTTATAAATGAATTTATAAACGAATTTCTAAACGAAAATTTCAAAAAGGCCAGCAAGATTTTTCGGGTCAAACGAATAGTTTTTTTAAATAAATCAAAAACTTTGCAGCCGACCTGTTCATCAGCTGTATGGGATCGTCTTGATTACACATTGATGGTATTCGGCTGTTCAATGCTTGCTGTCATCGTTTGTCAAGTTATCACCGCTCTTATCGCTCTCGTTCTCGTCGGAACTCCGTCTCGTTATGCTGATGCATAAGCTTTTCGCTTTTCAATTAAACGATGAAACTTCTAATTGGCTGAAGATTAAAGATAATGTACACTACTGGACAATGAAATATCATATTTGAAAAACGATCGTCACTTTCGCGCGTCTTTAACTCCCTTGTCTTTACCGTATTTCTAAATATTAATATTACCATTGTGTAGCCCTTGAAAAGAGCTTTCAGAAAATGTATAGCACTAAGAGTTTAAACGCAAAGACAAGGGAGTTACAGACGCGCGAAAGTGACGATCGTTTCTCAAGTATGATATTTCATTGTCCAGTACTGTATAATCTCTGAGTTGAATATCTTTTAGTTCAATTGATTTGAAATCATTCGAATTCGAAATCTACTCACTATCAATCTATCAATCAAATCAGCCATTAAAACAACACACCGCACTGATTATGAGATTAGAAAATAGTCCTCTTTACACGAATCGATCAATTTAGGAGTAGAAACTAAACAATTGTCAACAATTGTTTTTTCAACAATTGGTTCAGAATAAGCTTATGAAATGCCATCTTTTAGAAGTTTCTTTGCATTCAATTGGAACAACTTTTCACTTCTGAAAAGTCTTTCAAGCCTCAGTTCTTCAGTTCTTCTCTTTCTTTTTTTCTCCCCAAAGTATTCATTGCAATGATTTGGTCTCAATAAAACCTAGTCAACAGTTTTTGCTCAAATTTCCCATTTCTTTCAAGAAAAAAAAAAAAATAATAATAAGAAAATGCTTCTAAAATCACAATAAATTGAATGGTATCGTGAAATTGAATAGAGCATAATCAAAAAAATAAATTTTCGTTATCAGATTGAATGTCTCGTTGTTATTTCGGAGAATCTTTTCGACTCGATTATATAAAATTTCAATACTTTTTCGTGAAGTCAACTGAATGTTTTATGTTTGTAAAAAAAAGAAAATTAGAACAAAAGTTTCACCTTTTTTTTGTAGTTTCCTTTGTGTTTTTTATTATTATCATCAATATTTTTAGATTCGTCCATGATAATAAAGTCATTTTTTTCGAGATAGAGACTACAAAACCTGAAAATTTGTCGTTAGTTTAAGAGTTGCTTAGATGAAAAAGCAAATCGCGTAAAATCTCTTAATAGAAGAGCTTTTAGAGGAGTGTGCATAGTCTAAGTTTACACTCAAAGAACCGCACACATCTCGGCGCTTTTTCTCCACTTTTCAGTCGTTTTTTCGAAGAGCGGCTAAAGCTGAAAATACATTTAATAATTCGAAAAATTCGCCTATCTTTCTACTTTAATTTGATATCTAAGTGAGCAGAAATAAACGTACTGGTGTCGAGACATGAGCGCTTGTTTGAGCGTACACAACGTTACTATAGGGAGCTTCTATTAGAGCTATTAGAGCTTCTATTAGAGCTATTAGAGCTATTAGAGCTATTAGAGCTATTAGAGCTTCTATTAAAGCTATTAGAGCTTCTATTAGAGCTATTAGAGCTATTAGAGCTTCTATTAAAGCTATTAGAGCTTCTATTAGAGCTATTAGAGCTATTAGAGCTTCTATTAAAGCTATTAGAGCTTCTATTAGAGCTATTGGAGCTATTAGAGCTATTAGAGCTTCTATTAGAGCTATTAGAGCTATTAGAGCTTCTATTAGAGCTATTAGAGCTCCTATTAGAGCTATTAGAGCTTCTATTAGAGCTATTAGAGCTATTAGAGCTTCTATTAAAGCTATTAGAGCTCCTATTAGAGCCATTAGAGCTTCTATTAGAGCTACGGAAGGCATTCATTTTGTTGCACTACCAGCTTTGTGGCTTCACCATTGATAACAATTTTTGCTGTGATATTTTTGAGAGACTCGCGATCGCTTTTGAATGAGCTTTTGAGTGAAATAACTCGTAGAGTATTCGCACGAATTTTCGCGGAGACGGATTTACCCATCCACAAGATTTGTCAAATCTAAAGTGATTGCTTATAAACTAAAAAAAATGTACTCACAAACAAATGTCGACATAAAGCCGAGCTAATCGCTCAACTGGCTCCTTGACGAAGGCGAATTTTTTCGCGGATCCGTTAATTTTCTCATGATAACTTTGGTTAAAACCTTTCATTGAATCGACTCCCGAAATTTTGCAAAGGTAAACATTTTTTGAGATTTCTTTCTGAAGATTTCTTTTTTGGGGATTTTTTTTTTTAAACTTTTGCACTCACCAAATTACCGTCATCTTCAACAAATCGAGGAAGAGGCACAATCGTATTCGACTCATTTCTTAAAGATTCGTGAATCTATATAAAAAGTTCTGTAGGCTTTAGAAGTTGGTGAAATAGAAATACCTGATTATTTGATTTCATTTCGTGAATATAGAAAATAATGAGAAGAATCAATATTAGAAAAAGTAGAGTTTGGAGAAGCATCTGATTATGTACTTGATAACAATAAGTAAATGTATTCGGTTGTCCAGTTATGAAGTCCAGTCCAGTGCGCGTTTTTTACTATTTTGTAAATTTCTCAAGGTGTCGAAATCAAGAAAAAGATATATATGAGTATTATTCGAAAGCTGAAGATCTCCTCTACATTTTGATATAAAAAGTTTTTGAATTTGTCCAGCTTTTGGGCAAATTGACTGCACAGAAGAAGAGGTGGCCAAAAAATGGAAAGGTGCCTTTGGATCAAGTTTTGACTTCGCTCAAATTGAGTTAACCGTTTGATGTTTGGCCAATAGATATATCAATACAACTTTTTTTTAAAATATAACAATTTCAGAGCATCTTTACTTTTGTTTTCTTTTCTGGGCGGTTATTTTACACCATAAAATTTGAGGATAGCTAAGCTGGAATGGGTTTTTTTTTTCGAAAACGACCTCTCTTTGTGCAGTCAATTTCCCAAAAAGTTGAATGAATTCAAAAACTTTTTTATTTCAAAATGTAGAGGAGATCTTCAGCTTTCGAATGATATATAACACTCATATAAATCTGTTCGATATCTTGAGAAATTTACAAAATAGTAAAAACGCGCATTCATAACTGGACAACCCAATAAATTCTTGCAGACACCACAGCAGTAAGTGTTTGTTAACTTTTGAATATTCTTTTAATATTCGATTAACTTTTGATAACCGGATAAGATTTGATACTATTCGCTTGTCGTATTAAATAGTTTTCGCACATTAGATAGCACTAGCACTACTGATACTTATAGCATTACTGATACTTATAGCACTACTGATACTTATATTAGGGGTAGGCTAGTTTCCGCAACTTTTTTTTGCGCAACAGGGTCATTTGCGCAACTGGGTCGTTTGCGCAACTCACCATAACTTTCTTCGAAGTGGGCTAATCTTTATGATTTTGATTTCATTTTGTTGCACTTATTGAGATCTACAAAATGAGACCAAAATCATAAAGATTAGCCCACTTAGAAGAAAGTTATGGTGAGTTGCGCAAACGACTCAGTTGCGCAAATGACCCTGTTGCGCAAAAAAAGTTGCGGAAACTAGCCTACCCCTAATATTAGGTTTAGGCTGACCGATAGTGAAAGTCTTATAAGTGAAAGATCTCAAATATAAAATCCCTTCTCGTTAGCTCTCGAAAGATTAAGTGAAAGTCGATTTCAATCAAAAATCAAAAGGTGATTTGAGAAGAAACTATGAAAAACTCCACAGCACAGCAATTATGGCGACAAACTTTAAAATGAAAAGACAAAACATTTTGTGAATGAAGCTGTTTTCCCTTTTATCCCATTCCACATACTCGTTTTTTTTTCATTAAAATTTATGTTCATTGATGAAAACGATAGCTTTTTCTAAAAATGAATTGCTTTCACTTGTTTTCTTTTTGTTAAGCTTTCAAGAATTGACTTTTTTTTGAGATAAACTGAAATCCTGATCTAAATCTCGTAAGCTCTTGTTTATGTAAGACTTAAAGACGTAAGACTTAAAGACATAAGACTTAAAGACGTAAGACTTAAAGACGTAAGACATAAGACTAAGACTTAAAGACATAAGACTTAAAGACGTAAGACTTAAAGACGTAAGACTTAAAGATGTAAGACTTAAAGACGTAAGACTTAAAGAAATCAACTTTCATTTCAAGTTTAGAAAAAGAAAAATACAATATAAAACTCTAGCCGGGTGATTTTTATTCTTTTTATAATAAAATCAACGATATTAAAATTTTAAAAAACAGGTGATTGCCGTAAAAAAATTTTAATGGTCACCCGCGATTAATACCCCCCTTTAAAGTAAAAGTTGAAAGTCAAAGTTAACTATGAATAAAGTAAGAAAGTTGAGCGCTAAAATCGTTTTGACTTAAAGCTCTCGCACTGAAGAGCTTGTAAAATACAAAAATCTCGAACTTATGTGTGTTGATTTGAATCAAAAAAGAGGAGAATCTCTTCTTTCGATCTTTCTAAGCACCACTTGAACGTTTTCTTTTCTTTGATCTTTTTTCTCGATTTCCACCTTGAAAGGGATTTTCACCAAGGCTCTTCAATCGTTTTTTTTTGTTCTGACCTGTTACGTAGAGGTTTGATGCTGAAATTCGAAGAACTCTGCACAATTTTTTATGTTTCTCTATGCATTTTTGGGAATATTGATTTGAAAAATCTCAATATTTATTCTAAAATAAAGCAGAAATCATAAAATCGAGACCACATTTCAAAATAAACCAAAAAAATAAATAAATAAAAGTATTGCAAACAATAAATTATAATTGAAAATAATAAGAAAATCAGTTTTTTAAAATTTTTAAAGCTTTAACCCACTTACTTTTTAATAAAAAAGTAAATAACTTTTTTTTGATAAAAATGATTTTGTTACATTGAGAGATATGGCACGAAAATGTGCCTACTTTTTTGAATGTGAAATTGAAAACTTTTTCACGTCACATTCCAATAAAAAACACTATTTACGGGGTTGGGACAAATGCGACCTTTTTTTTGCGCACCTGGACATTTGCGCACCTTTTGTTTGCTGGAAAAGGCCTTAGGCAAGGCTGTAGAGCTTCGAAAATGTTTTCATGTAAGGGAATCGTATGCGTAGATTCCGAATTTCGACAAATCAGACCTCGCTGACACGTCAAATTTGGGCTAAAAAGCAAAAGCTGCGGAAAAGCGTTAAGTTGCGTAGTTTTTGCCTTTTAGCCCGAATTTGACGTGTCAGAGAGGTCTGATTTGTCAAAATTCTGAATCTACGCATACGATTCCCTTAAATGAAAACATTTTTGAAGCTCTACGACCTTTTCTAAGGCCTTTTCCAGCAAAAAAAGGTGCGCAAATGTCCAGGTGCGCAAAAAAAAGGTCGCATTTGTCCCACCTCCCTATTTACAACATTTCAACAAACTTTTAGCATATAATAATAGAGAGAATTAAGGTAAATGTTGAATGAACGGTTTAAATTGTTTTACATTCCACGCATCTCATAGCAAACACCACCGATTGGCACTTCCGGGTATGGACAACTTCTTTCTGAAAGTTTTTCATCCTTCTTTGTGTGTGCTTTTAGGAAAAAAATTATCTGACAGATATTTTAAATAGAATTATAATCAACTAACCACATCGTTTCACATATTTTCCGTTTTGAATTCGAGTTACGAGCACAGCGAAACCCTCACAAGGTCCTGAATTTCTTTGAATCACGCTTCTTAAGCCATTCTATTAAGTTAATTTCTTTGAATTACTATATTTATTAAACTCTATTACATCATTTCGATTAAGAATTTTATAAAGTACATTCTTTTTTCAAAAGCTTCAACTAACGTTTCCTTCTAATATCGTGCATCTTTGTTGAACAACAAATGTTGGCTCCATCAATCAATGATCGGACACAGGAATACCCAGTAGGACATGATCTAGAAGATAGATAGAATTTGCTTTAATCTCTTTTTAAGTCAAAAGATCAACCTTCCAGCTCTAGTCGAACAGAGAACGGGGGATTGAGTTGATGGGTAAAGAAGGGGATCACCTCTTGCACACTCATTCGATACAGATCTGAATGGGATTTCAGTTAAAGGAGGAGTCTGAATTAAGACCAATTCTCACTAAAATCAAATTATTGGCAGGTGGGTGTAATCATATAATTCTTGATAAGTTTTATGTAGAAATCAATGGCTCCAATCGGGGCAGCTTTATGCAAATTCAAAACTTCAACATATAAATGTCTATTAAAATTAACATCCACTTTTCAATATAAAATGAAAGCTGGAGTATTTGCACTTTTTTTTTGCAGGCCAACGCTGTGTGGTGTTTGAAAAGAGAAGAGAACAAGATGGGTGGTCCTCGCCTCTCAGCGCTCTCACCCACCAAACACCCAGTCCCAAGAGTTGAAAAATTGAAAAAAAATTCTTTAATTTGATATTTTCTTTATCTTTTTTGATTTATAACTTAAGTTTACACAAAATAATCAAAAATAATGCAAGTTTTATCTGCAAATCCTTATCATTTTATCTGCTTTATCATTATCTGCATAACTGCAAACCCAAAACTTCAATATATAAATATTGGGTCAATGCATATGAAATGGCTAAATTTTTCCAACGAGCGACTATTGACACTCGTTGATTGTGAGAGCCCTAAGCGCTATGGGGTTTGTTTTTACATCAAAGTGCTCTCATTACTACACAAAATTGCCTCATGTTCTGCCTTTATTCATTATTTTCCGGCTTTCAATCGAAAATTTACCACCCAGTCATGTTCAACATGTACTTTTGCACGAGTTCGTCCAGAAGCACACGTCAAACCTATGTCATGCCAATATTCGGGTTGTATATGGGAATGAGACTATAGAGCGAACACAAATGCCAACGATGGTTTACAAAGTTTCGATCTGGTGGTGATTCTCTCGAAGTCGAACAGCCTGGCAGACTCGAGATAAAATGAAAAGATGCTGATCTTCTGGCACTTCTTCAGAACTAAAGGACTTGCTTCATACGAATTAGCAGAGTAACTAAAGGTTGACCAATCCACGGTAGTCAGACATCCACACACCCTTGGGTTTACATCGAAATTGGAGAGTTGGATACCCCATACCCTGACCGGTGCCCAAAGATTGAACCGGATCTCGATCAGTGCCGCCCTTCTTTCGCGTTATGTGCCATATTCTTTTTTCGCCCTTATTTCTCCTTTTCCCGTGGTGTGGGTGGTCCTTGCCTCTCCGCGCTCTCACCCAGAAACGGCAAAATCGGCTCAGTCGCTCATTTACATAGAGTTTTTTTCTTTTGCTTTGTAGATGCTAGAAAAAGAAGATATTGAGATGTAAATTTGTACCCGGGGGTTTTCCGGGTCGGGGAATCGATTGGAGCTATTCATTTTATTGAGTCTACTAATTGGAACTCGGATTTAATTGGTCTAAACTTTTAGATTTAGTGAGATTTTGGTGAGAATCCTAATTCTGACCCAAATTACCAAATACTTTTCTAGATGGATTCAAGTCAAAAATTGAGATTTGTATTCTCGAAACACATATTTATGCTCATATTCAAATAAAACCTCAACGAAGTTGAAGTAGAAGAGCTAGTGGGGAAAGTGGGAAGTGTCGATAAAAGTGATGTCGATGCTTCGGGAGTTGTCAAGCTTGATAGAGTCCTAAAATATTTAATAAAAGAGTTGGTTTATGCTTTTTCTTTGTCGTCTTCATCTTGATCAACAATCAGACTCAAAGCAATAGAAAAGAAGTAAGCGGAAATTCACTTTCGGAAGAAACCAGATACTAACGAAGTCGATTCAGAAGGAGAAGTGGGTGATCCAGTAGCTAATGAAGTGACTGTAAGAGATGAACAACACACATAACGACCATAACTAAATAAATTTGAATCGAATTTTTTCAGAAACAATTTTAAGACAAAATTTATCTTGTACCTGTAAAGACATTCGTAACCAAGTGGGCATTTTGTTGAGAAACATTTTTGTGGTTGTCCGTTTAATAAATACGGAGTTCTTCCAAATGGACAAGCTGAAATAAGTTATTCGTTTTGTGTATCTAAAGATTTTTTAAAATTCTAAAAATTTTTTATCTAAAGATGTTCTGAATATCTAAAGATGTTCTGAATATCTAAAGATGGTTAGTCTCTAAAGATGGTTAGTTCCAAAGAAACCTAGATACAACGCACTACTTGTTTTTTTAAATTTTCGTCCCCTTCCCGTTGTGGTCACAGAGATTGTGGTCGTCATATCAGCATCATCAGGAATCGAACAGCAAATGTATTGAGTTCGTTTTGAATTGATTTGACATTCATAATCTAGAAATTGGTTTCTCTTTTGTCGTGTATAATAAAGTAAAGAAATGAATGGAAAAGAAACGAGGGGATTGAATCCTCGACCTTCTGCTTACCAAGCAGATCCTCTACCAGTGAGCTTTCTTTGTTGACAAGGAAGAGAAAGAAAGGAAGAAAGAGTTAACCTTTCGGACAATTGTTTCCAAGTCGTTTACACTGAACGACTCTTCCCGATTCGTCATCAGTTAACGCATTCGACAACGGATTTCCACAAGTATGTTGCGATACTGAAAAGTAAATGGCTACTAATTTCTTAAAAGAATGCTTAAAATATTTACATTTGTTTGCCTGATTGTGCACACATTTGTCATTTCGTGGCACCATTCCTTGCCTGGAAATCATTTCCTCATAGATTTTTTTTCAGGAGTTTCATACTTGCAAACACAGATCCCTTGAGCACAAGTTGCACCATCGGGACATTGTTGTTGAACGGTGCATTTCTCGGAGAGATCCGCTAATGGTAAACACAAACCGCCGGCCATGATCTCTCCTTTTCCACAATCTATTTTATCATGGATATTTTTCTATAAATTTTAATAGACTTACCAATGTCTTTCTGACAAAAACGCCCAACTTGACCAGTACCTTTCGGACAAACGCATAGATTGTTCACACACATTGATCCGCCAGCTAGATGTCAGCATTAAAAAATTTCCCTCTTTTCTTCACTCACCACATTGCATTGGTGATTCGCATTTGTGCTGTGGATCGGCTCTATCCAAACATTTCCCATCCACCATTACTTGCTCTTCCGAACAAGTTTTGGCTAAATTTTTTTCTACTTGAACCATCTACTATATATAAAAGAGCAGTGAAAGACCCGGGATCGAACCGAGGCCATGAATCGGGAATGAACCCGTAGACAAGCGCGCCCCCGACTGCGCCACAGTGACACAGAGATCCACCTAGAAAAGCCCGCTCTTAGCCGGGCTTTTCGGCTGGTTTAAGATAATGCGTACCGATTCGACTTGTTGTGCAACAAGTATGATGTCCGACCATTGCTCTTAGACAAGCAAAACCGACCGGGCACTGCGATTGTCCAACCTGAAATTGATCTTTTTCAACTAGTAAAGCGAATCTTCTTACCACGCATTTCTCGGCTTCACCCGATAAACCAATAAACGCAACACCGTCTTCAGGGCAACCTAGATAAGCTGTATTTTTTTTTGAATGTGTGATATTCATACCAGCGCTAACACCACAGCATTGGAACTGATTATTGGCATTGCTGAATTGACAGAAATAACCAGCCGGGCAATTAGCTGCCCCGGCAGTGCAGACACGGACAGTTCCCGTTTCTCGGAAAGCTACTTGCCCTGATGGACATCCATCAGCTGAAAATTAACTGTGTAAAGGAAAAGTTTTATCATCAAATGAAAGAGTAATCTTTTTGAGTGAGCGAATCAGAATAACACCCACCAGCTCGGGGCACGATCGGTGCATTCGATCCACAGCATTGATAGCGTTGATTTGCCGTCGACCATTGACAAGTGAAGCCTTCAGGACATGGTGCATTCGGTGGATTGAATGGATCGCATTGACCCGCCTCTGCTCCATCCATCCAAACGAAATTCCCTGGTGGACATCCATCTAATATTGTAGTGTTTATTGTATACTCTTTTTTTTTATGCTCACCAGTGACCGGCCTTGCAATCAACACTGATGAGCCGCGACAACAAAAGCCTTCAGTTGATGAAGTATGGGATCTGATCATTGAGAAAACTATTATTGTGAGTGTTAAGTCTTATTATCTAAATCTATTCATTTCATTATCTAAAGAAATGAGTTTTAAACTATCAAATACCAAACGGTTTCTTTCATTTGAACTTTTTTTACTTTACTTTTCGTCATTTTTAAATAATCTGCGAAAAGGAAAACTGGTTTTGTTTAAATATTGAAAAATAAGCACATAAAGAAAATCGCTACACGGGTTATTCTGAAATTTTAGTTGTAAATCTAACTTTTTATGCGCTTTCTTTTTTATTTTATCATCAAAATAGGTTTAATTGAAAGAAATGATCCAAATCGCATCATCGGACCTTGTCTTTTTTAAACACTCGGCTTCTTGCTAATGAAAAACCTTCAAAACAAAGCTTTTCAAAAACTTTCAAAAGTCATTTTGCAAGAGAAATGATTGGGCTATCTAATGATGAATGCTATTTATCTAATAACAAATCTAATCTAGTGAATAATGGGCTAAAAACCGTATTTCATTTGGTATTTTGAGACTTATTCAATTAGAAAATGAATTTGGATGAAAGACTATACTCAATTTAATATATGAAACAATCTAAGATCGAAATGATCTTAAAGAGTTTGATAAGAAATCAAGTGCGTTACTTGATTGTACTTAATTACTTAATTGTGCGACCTTTAATTTTTATTTACCTGCATGAGTACCCAGATGGACAAGAAACAAAAGCGCCCATTGTGCAAGCTCGAGGTTGAAGTGAGGACTCGTCCACGAAATATTCCGCATCATCGGGACAAATTGCTAGATAAAATAATTGCTTTTTCTTTTCTCAAAAAACAAACAATTTGTTGTACAGCAAAAGCCTTGAAAAGCCTCGGGTAGATAGCTTTGACACGAGTACCTAAAGTATGGTTTGAAACAATGTGAGATCGATCATAACATAGGCATCTATCCATTGATGAACAACTATTAGGGTTGTCCATAAGTTCTTGCGGTTCTTTAATTTGTGATTTCTTAAAAACGAGCCAACGCTTTCATCTGAAATTTCTACTGAATAATCTATAAGTACCGTATTTTTATTTTTCTTAGTAGTAGTGCGCACTACTATTTTTTCAACCTCCTCCCAATGTGCACTACTATTAGAGATTTTAGCATTTCAACAAAAAATGTTTGGAAATAGAAAAGATATTGCAAAAAAAAACAAAAGAATCTTTTAGAACGATCAACTTTATATAAATTGATTAGCATGATATTCAAAAAATAAACAACAAAACATAACAAAAAGTTAACTACTTACCTAGTCAAAATCAAGAACAGAAACTCTATCCAATCCAAAATTACCGAGTTTATCCTTTATTCCATTAATCGATTGTTGAAGGCGCGTGTCGGCGAGAAGTTTTGCTCCTTCAGGAATCGGGCCTTCATTTTTGAAACAGTGAATGAAACCATCTTCCGAACCATCAGTAGCCGTAGCAATCGCACAATTCTTGAACGAGTGAACGATCAAATTTTTTGGCGGTTCATTCTACGCAATCGAAACCCATTCTAGGTAAGCATCCATCAGTGAAGGACCAGGGTTGTCATTCCGTTTCATTGGCTTTAGTCCATTCAACATCCAATCCTCGTAAAGTGATAGCTTTTCGGGTTTTCTTAGCTCGAGTTGCTTGAATCCAATCTGCCAGCTTCTTGTCGAAATCAACATCCTTGAGTTTGCGTCCGCCGCCTTTGATTAGCTTCAGTCCCGTTCCGTACTCTTTGCTTTATTTCCCGAGCTCATCCTTTTGCAGGGTGCCTGCTTCTCTCATTCTCTCGATTGAACCAAGCAATCGTTGTCAAATTTTTGCTACAAGTTAGTATATAATTTTTGTTGATTCAGTTGAAATTTCAGATGAAACTGGTGGCTGCTTTTAAAGAATCACAAATTTAAGAACCGCAAGTTTATGGACAACCCTAATATTTAGCCAATAGGCCTATTATCTAATTGACGACTTTTAAAACAAACCCATCAGCACATTGATCAAATTTCCCGATTGTGCACTTGACAGGTGCTCTAGATCGTTGATCTTTGAAAAGGAAATGTCCAGCCGGACACATTCCTAAATATCATTATTCTTTTGTAAATGTCTGAAAAAATTACTGTCTTTAATGTGACTGCAGCAATAGTATTTGTTCTTTTGTATGTTGAAACGACATAAATAATTGGCAGGACAAGAGGCCTCCAAATTGATGAGACATTCTCTCGGAGACATCGACAACACATCAACAAACGCTTTTTCTCCATCCGGACAAACTCCTAAAAAGTTTACAATTTATTTAGGTACCGTATTTCCTCTAATAGTAGTGCACCCGGAGCGTCGTCTAAATTGCTCGAAATCTCGAGAACCGCTTATCAGAACCTATCGATGTGGGGTCGGAAAATGTAGCTGACGATGAGATCTAGTGGGGGATTAGAGTGTTGAGCTTCTGCAAAAGCTTGGAAACCGTAAAATCGTCATCAACTCGGCTCGGCGGGGTGCACTACTATTAGAGAAAATACGGTAATCTAGTTTGGAAAATTTGCTAAGTTTGTTGTTACCTTGTTCCGTGGCTCCACAACAAACATGTCCATTTGTGAGTGGATTGAATGTACACTCGAATCCAGGAGGACAGCTATTTGATAAAGCCTAACAAAAAATATATTTTGTTAATGAAAAACGAAACACCTCATTGCATTCAATTGGCAGCTGAGTGTTTGGATCGACATACGCTGTATTTCCGGCTGGACATGCTGAAATGCGATTTGCTTTTTTATTTTCACGAATCTTCCAATCACCCACCGTTACTCATACAAAAATTCCGGCATTGAGTCATTGTGAGGAAATTGTTGTGATTCGCATCACAACCGCCAAATTGAAAAGAAGTGCATTGACCTAGAATAAAGATCGGGAATCGAATTGCTAATCACTTTATCTACCAGTTACAATATTGAAGTAAAAACGTTGAATTGGTTGAGCTCCACATTGGGTGCCAGTTTGTGGAGGCAATGAGCACATATGAGCTAAAAATCGATACCAATTCGAGTGTGTTCTACTTTTAAACTTTTTATATTAAGTAAACGCCCTAAGTCTTTATAATTTTTTCAAATTTTTGTTAAAGAATCTTTTACGAAATTTATTGCATCTTAAACTAATAAAAAAGGTCTTTAATTTTTCCACAAAATGGTTTTTGAGAGAAAGCTCAAAGCAAAGAGCAAAGAGCAAAGCTCGCCTTAACTCAGTAAAAACTAATTTTTAAATAAAATGGCTGAATGAATCGTTTTCAAATTTTACAGACTTATGTAATCAGACTTTGAATTCGATTCGACTTTTATAGAGTTTACCTCTTGTTGGGCAACATCTTTGAATAGAGGATGAGCCGACGAGAACCGGCATACATTCGTGTGTGTCCGGACAAGCCTCCTAAAATCACTTTATCATTAGTCTACTTCAACCACTTTATCATTAGCTTGAAATTCTCTACCTGGGTCGAGCAGACAGTGATTTGACCGAAATGATCACGATGTGGAGTACCACCATTTGGGCAACCTAGAAATGGTTTAATTTCTTTAACCAAATCCTCGATCACTCACCACCAACCGAACAAAAATGCTCACAATTGTCACGAGTTGCAAAATTATTCGAATTACCTAAACTCAGTAACAGTAAAACTAGAATCTAGAAGAAAAATGACCATCACATCCATTGTATTGGAAACTGTCACAGTTCTGAGTCTGTGTGTTGTAGAAGAATTTGAATGTTGACCCAGCACCACATTGAATGCCCGGATCTGCTGCCAACGAACAAGTGTAGGCTAAAAAGATTTCAAAATTTGTTTAAGGAAACTTTTAAACCTTTTGTTGGACAACAACCCCATTGATTTCCATCAAAGTAGCACTCATGATTTTGTGGACATCCCTGGAAATCGTTTCTTTTATTGGACAAAGTCAATTCAACAACCTGGCCATTTTGACAGGTAACAAAATTCCCGTAAACATCTTTGTAAGCTTGTCCTTGAATGCACTTGGGTTCAGCTAAAATTCAACAATATAATAATGATTTTTGGAAGACAAACGAATCGCGTTTTTGCAAAAGTTTTGACAGTCAAGAATTGTCGCAAAGTTGTTGTCATTTCCCTAAAAAGTTTGTGAAAAATGTTAGTTAGGCTATCACTCACTTGACATCCCGTGTATTCAAACATTTGACACTGACGAGTTTTTGCATTGTACCAATATCTAAAGTTGTAACAATATATCACAAAAGTTTAGCCAATTTCTCAACCTCTTCACATTTTCCGTGCAATCACCAACGCGTAGTGGTTGAGCACAGATTGTCTCTGAAAACAAAAACAATTAGCCAACTAATTGATCACAAAATTTTTTCGTTTTAATCTTAAAAAGCGAACGTTTCCGTGGACAGCACACTCCTTGCTCCATTTTGCACTCATGTGAAGAGGGGCACTGTGCTTGTGCATGACATCTTTGTGCATCCTCTCCCACTCTCAATGGTGATCCTCGCTCACATTGCACTAAATAGACAATAAATCATTCGTATAAGTTTCTAGAATAACTGAATATCTAAAAAGAAATTAAAAAAAAATCACTTACATCTTGCGCAAAACATGTCACACTCGTGCTTTGACAGGAAATTATTGTAGTTTCCGCCAGCGCCTCGATAGACAAAATCTTGGCATCTAAAATCGATAAATGAAATTAGATCAAAGCTTTGAAATAAAAAGCATGCAGAAATTAGAATTTAAAATGTAAAATACCTTCCCAAAGCAGGATCGTAATAAAAACGAATGCTCTCTTTTCCGGTGTTGATGAGAAAGCCGGCATGGTAGCCGGTAGATCTAGGGCTCAAGTCCAATGGACGCCCACCCCGAACAGAACAAATTGAAGCTCAAATTTTTGTGTGAAAACTTTTCTTATTGCTTGAGTCGTTTGTCTTTGTAGGTTTACCGTATTTTTCTTTTTCGGTTTGTAAATCGAGAAAATGTCTCACTCACCGGGGGTCGGACAACAGAGATGTTGACTCCCCACTGCCGTACATGCGAAATCATTAGCACAAGCTGTAGACGCGCCACAAGATGTAACCGCTCTTTCCTTCAAATTTTAAAGCTCTATAGTTTTTCACTTTTCCTGCCTAATTGTCTATAGGCTTTTAATTAGATCTCCTTTGGTTTTTTTTAATCACTTTCCTTTAGTATTGCCAGATTTGTGCATAACTAGCTTTATGCAAATCAAAAGCTTCAACATATAAATGTCTATTAAAATTAACATCCACTTTTTAATATAAAATGAAAGCTGGAGCTATTTGCACTTTTTTTTGTAGGCCAACGCTGTGTGGTGTTTGAAAAGAGAAGAGAACAAGATGGGTGGTCCTCGCCTCTCAGCGCTCTCACCCACCAAACACCCATTCCCAAGAGTTGAAAATTTTTAAAAAAATTCTTAATTTGATATTTTCTTTATCTTTTTTGATTTATAACTCAAGTTTACACAAAATAATCAAAAAAAATAATGCATAACTAGCTTTATGCAAATTCAAAACTTCAATATATAAATATTGGATTAATGCATATGAAATGGCTAAATTTCTCCAAAGAGCGGCCGTTGACGCTCTTTGTGTGAGTGAAGGGAGTGGGACAAGTGCGACCTTTTTTTGCGCACCCGGACATTTGCGCACCTTTTTTTCCGCACCTTGCCCATTAGCGCACCTTTTTCGCGTTTTTAAAAAGCTCTAAAAAGCTAATATTAACCAATTTCTATTCCAAATGTTGTTTTTCTAGGTAATTTGAGGGTGTAGAATTCAAATTTTGACATATCAGAGCTTGTGGAAACAAACGGACGGAGTTATACAAAGAGAGAAATCGACAATTTTCTGTAATTTGATCTAGCCGTTTTGTCTTTCAAATTGGTTCCACACGCTCTGTTATGTCAAAATTTCGATTCTACGGCCTAAAATTACCTAGAAAAACAACTTTTGGAATAGAAATTGGTTAATATTAGCTTTCAGAGCTTTTTTAAAACGCGAAAAAGGTGCGCTAATGGGCAAGGTGCGGAAAAAGGTGCGCAATGTCCGGGTGCACAAGGTCGCACTTGTCCCCACTCCCGTTGTGAAAGCCCTAAAGCGCTATCGGTTTTGTTTTTATACCAAAGTGCTTACACCAAAGTTTTTACACCATCGATTCCCCGGGGCAGCTTTATGCAAATTTAAAGCTTCAACATATAAATATCTATTAAAATTAACATCCACCTTTTAATATAAAATGAAAGCTGCAGCTATTTACACGTTTCTTTTTTTGGAGGCCAACACTGTGTGGTGTTTGAAAAGAGAAGAGAACAAGATGGGTGGTCCTCGCCTCTCAGCGCTCTCACCCACCAAACACCCATTCCCAAGAGTTGAAAATTTTTAAAAAAATTCTTTAATTTGATATTTTCTTTATCTTTTTTGATTTATAACTTAAGTTTACACAAAATAATCAAAAATAATGCAAGTTTTATCTGCAAATCCTTATCATTTTATCTGCTTTATCATTATCTGCATAACTGCAAACCCAAAACTTCAACATATAAATATTGGGTCAATGCATATGAAATGGCTAAATTTTTCCAACGAGCGACTATTGACACTCTTTGATTGTGAGAGCCCTAAGCGCTATGGGGTTTGTTTTTACATCAAAGTGCTCTCATTACTACACAAAATTGCCTCATGTTCTGCCTTTATCTCTTATTTTTTTTATTCTTTCAATCGAAAATTTACCACCCAGTCATGTTCGACATGTACTTTTGTACGAGTTCCTCCAGAAGCACATGTCAAATCTATGTCATGCCAATATTCGGGTTGTATATGGGGATGAGACTATTAGCGAACACACAGCCAACGATGGTTCACAAAGTTTAGATCTGGTGGTGATTCTCTCGAAGACGAGCAGCCTGGCAGACTCGAGATAAAATGAAAAGATGCTGATCTTCTGGCACTTCTTCAGAACTAAAGGACTTGCTTCATACGAATTAGCAGAGTAACTAAAGGTTGACCAATCCACGGTAGTCAGACATCCACACACCCTTGGGTTTACATCGAAATTGGAGAGTTGGATACCCCATACCCTGACCGGTGCCCAAAGATTGAACCGGATCTCGATCAGTGCCGCCCTTCTTTCGCGTTATGTGCAATATTCTTTTTTCGCCCGTATTTCCCCTTTTCTCGTGGTGTGGGGGGTCCTTGCCTCAAAGATGACCGAAGATGACGTCAAAAAGTGGCCGACGGACTTTGCTAGAAAATCGAGAGACTTTTATGAGAAGGGCATCCAAGAACTCCGAAAAAAATGGGAAAAGATTATTGAAAATACTGGAAAATATTTAGATTGATTTGATGGTTAATCGCGAATAAATGCTTTGTTAAACATTTAACCATTTGATATGCATTGACCCAATATCTATTAAAATTAGCATCCACTTTTCAATATAAAATGAAAGCTGGAGCTATTCGCACGTTTTTTTTGCAGGTCAACGCTGTGTGGTGTTTGAAAAGAGAAGAGAACAAGATGGGTGGTCCTCGCCTCTCAGCGCTCTCACCCACCAAACACCCATTCCCAAGAGTTGAAAATTTAAAAAAAAATTCCTTAACTTGATATTTTCTTTATCTTTTTTATTTATAACTTAAGTTTACACAAAATAAACAAACAAAACCTGTTGAATGGCAGCTGTTGTATCCGATGTGTATTGGGGTGCACCACGGCTGCAAGCTGAAAGTTGTGATTTTAAGGAGAAATCGAATGCTTTTAAAATACAGGCTGGCCCACAATTATAGCGCCACACTACAGAGGGCCTAGATTGGCCAAAATTGGGTCAATCTTTTTGATTTTTCTGGAGTTAAATCTTAAGTATACCTCCTGTAACGTTTTGATTGCATTTGAATATACAGAGTGGCTCACAATTATAGCGCCACCCTTCAGAGGGTCTAGATTGGTCAAAATTGGATCAAGCTTTTTGATTTTTCTGGAGTTAAATCTTAAGTATATCTCCTGAAATGATGCTCATTGTCTAATCGATTCAAGCTTTCAACCTTTTTGTATAACCTTCCAAAGTTGAGAGTCGAGTGTCGCTACTCATTTATAGGATTTTAAAAAGTTTCATTTTTTTGATAAAAAGTCTTTAAGCTTTTAATGATTTTCAATTAATCATAATTATTTATGAAATTTAAAAGCGATAGGCCATGAAAAAATAAGAATTTATTGTTCTTTAGTGACTTCTCGTTCTTCTTTAATGACGTCATTAATGGGGGTAGTCAAAACAGCGCCATAAAAAACAAAACAGCGCCGACAAATTTCCCCAAACCAAAAACAAAGACAAGTTTTATCCAAAAAATTCCTTGCGTTCTTGGCTACATGATGGGTGAAACAGTTTTCTGAGGAAGAAAAAAGTTAAAGATATTAGTTAACAAAAGAGACCAAAATGGGTCACTAGATAAAATATTGTCTGCTTACCATTTAACCGGTGTAATCATCGACACATTTTTGGTGTTTTTTATAAAACTGTTTAACCCATCAAATGTAGCCAAGAACGCAAGGAATTTTTGGGTGGGGGGGAAGGAACCGGCCTGGTTTTTTTGGATTTTGAGAAATTTGACGGCGCTGTTTTGAACGTTTTCTATTATGGCGCTGTTTTGACTACCCCCCATTAATGGCCATAAATCGTTCAAGTGAAAACAGGCCATATTAAGTGAGTTTTGGTGACATTTCTCAAGAATTTTTGCACTTAAACTGCGTAGAGTATGTAAGATTTCGTTCATTAACATAATGAATTCAATCTGAACGAGATTTTGAAGTTGGCCATTTTCACTTCTTTCGAGTTTTCTTTTTTCAATTTTTAATCGCAAAAATCTAGATGGACAACGGTTTTTGATGTTGGTCGGCTCCCCTAGTCAAATTTCCTTTAATTTTTGAAAATCAAAACGTTACTTTGGTAAAATCAATTATTGAGGCCTAAAAACTCGTTTTGTCGAAATTTTTGCACCAAAAGGTAGAAATCTCGAGCCCCTTGAATTCTTTCAAATTGAATTCTTTCAAAAAACTATTTAGACAGTTTTGTAGTCTGAAATTTTAAACAAATATAATTTCTTGGTCGGAAATGAATTGGGAGTAGCTTCGAGGAGCTCGGGTCGTTAGACTGAAAGTCGCGAAATCCTGGTCACTTCTATGGTCTAGTGGATAGTCTTCTAGGCTACCTCATCTACCAGAATTTTTTCCCCAAGTTCGAGTCCCACTCTCGTCAAATTTTTTTGCTTTTCTAAAAAAACTGTTTCCCTTCGTATTTGCAATGAATAAACGAGTTGAATTTTATGCACAGCTTTCTGTAACTTTCCGAAATGTAGCAATAAATGTTCAATTTTTCAATAGTTATCTATTGATTCTGACCTTTTGTAAATTATTTGT